GCTGATTTAAAACTGAATTAATCATATACTTTTTTTTTTTTTTTTCATCATTAATATGCTAATTAGTAAATGGATAGAATTGCTAATTTGTCAGAATTTATTTTGTGCTTGATCGGATGATTTGTCAGCAAAAGGTTATTATCATTTCTCGCATCCACCGAACATTTATTTCAAATAATTAAATTTAATGAAATATTCTGTTTATACAAATATATATAATATTAATATAATGAAAGCAGATCGAAAAAAAAGACAAAAAAATTCGTTGTGATCATCGAAAAGGAAAAAAAAAATGAAAGCTAAATATTTGTTAAATTTCATTTTTATTTTATTTTTTATTTTCATGTGCAATTCTCATGTTGTAAACTATTATAAAGGCGAGGAAAATAAAAATTAAAAAGTTATTATTAATATGAGTAAGCATTAATTAATGATTGTTTATTTGTTATTTATTTTTTTTTCTCTTTTTTATTATTTTATTTCTGTGTGACCAATTGATATCATTCAAATTAGTAATAATACAAAATAAAGCATTAAGTAATACGAATAAGTATTTAATAATTGTTATTTGTTAATTAATTATTTTTCCTTCTTTGATACTTAATTGTTGTGTAAACAAATTGTCTTTGATACTTAATTGTTGTGTAAACAAAAAAGAAATCAAATACCTAATAGAATTTGAGAAATGAATAAATTAGAAAAAATTATGCAAGTGATAAGATGAAATACCAATATTTTAATTAACTAAATTTTATTAATTATTCAATTCAAACTATTTCTCAATTCATATTCAATATTTTTTTCTATTGCTTTGTGTATGCCATTTATAAAAGAATTTCTCTTTATAGAAAATTTCTTTCATATTAGATTTGCCATTTATATTTAAAAAAAAAAAAAAAAATTAAAAAAGATAAATTATAACTTTATTGTCTTTTACACATATTTTCTTCCATAATTTACCCAAATTTTGCTTTTTTTTTTGTTTTTTTTTGTTTTTTTTTTTTTTTTGCAATATTTTTAAATAATTAAGGAGGAGCCTTATTTGTACACTGTTTGTTTATTTTTTTAAATTTAATGTAAAAATATAACAAATCGATTTGTTTGCTTTTGCATACTATTAAGTGCAAATATCACCATCTGTCATTTTGTTTATTTGACGAATGATAATTTGCTTAGCTTTCTCAAAATTTGTCAACCAAAGCGAAATTACATTTGTAGCATTTCGAAAATAGGATTAAAATGTAAAGTTTAAATTTTGAAAATCCAAATTAGCTAGTCAGTATATAGTGCAATAAAATTTGGTTCAAAGCAACTATTAAGCATTAAATTTGTTTAATAATGTTTTAGATGAATTAAAATATTGACAATTTGCAATTGATGATGTTACATATTTATAGGATAAATTTAAAGCGTAATATTATATATTTTAAAATTTCAAAATATTATTTAAATTCACGACGACAAATTATAATATTTACAATATGAGAGAAATCTAATTTAATTCTTAATTTAGAATTTTTTTTTTCTTGTTTTTGAAAATTTCAAATTTGAAACAAGCAAAAAGAAAAAAAAATGAAATAGCTAATTAGTAAAATATTAAAATAATAAAATTTGACTCAAATACAACTATTAGTAAATATTTTAATAAATTTTTATACCAGAAATTTATATAATATTTAGATTATCTTTTATCGCTAATATTTTATTAATATTTGATTTAAATTTTTTCTCCTTTTTTCATTTTTTTTTCATCGTAATTTAGTTTAATTTAAATTCAATTCTTTTCATTTTTTTTTTTTACTAGAATAATTTTTTGCCAACTGTTATTTGAGAGAAATTTATTTGTTTTAATTTGAATGAAATAAAATAAACAATAAAAAGCATATCATCTATTTCATCCTTCTTTAGAAATTTGCTAGCAATAACAACACTTTCCGCCCAAATAAATCCCTTCCTTTCCCATATTTCCTTGTCTTCTGCGCCTCTATTAGCTTACTCTTCTGCGCTCAGCGCTCATTTCTTCTCCGATCCATTGCCATTTGATCATGATTGATTGATTGTATCGATGATAATGAAGAAGACGAAGCTGCTAAAACGTGTTGCAAAAATGAATGCACCGATTGATTCAATGGATCCTTTCCACGTGGTCAAATCACACAATTCATATACTTATTTTTCTGCTCCTACTTCCATATATCACTTACTTATGCTATTATTTCAGCGTTACTTATACTTCCGTCATTATTTAAGCGTCATTCACGTCCATTCACTATCATTCGACCATCACTTCCGTCATTATTTAAGCGTCATTCACGTCCATTCACCATCATTCGACCATCATTTCCGTCATTATTTAAGCGTCACTCACGTCCATTCACCATCATTCGACCATCATTCCGTCATTATTTAAGCGTCATTCACGTCCATTCACCATCATTCGACCATCATTTCCGTCATTATTTAAGCGTCACCCACGTCCATTCACCATCATTCGACCATCATTTCCGTCATTATTTAAGCGTCATTCACGTCCATTCACCATCATTCGACCATCATTTCCGTCATTATTTAAGCGTCACTCACGTCCATTCACTATCATTCGACCATCACTTCCGTCATTATTTCAACGTGATTAACTTCTAATATTATTCCATTTACCATTTTCTACTTTTTATTTTCATTCCTTTTTTTTTTTTTTAATCAGAATGCTGGGAAAGTAATAATCTGATGTTTCACTTATTTTTCAGTACTATATCTTTATTGTCTATTGTTGTTATTGTTATTGTCACTGTTACTGTTGTTGTTGGTGTTATTACTATTTACTTATTGTTGATACAATTTCATCTAACAATAATATATGAAAATTCAGTTGTATTTCTCCCTCTCTCTCTCTCTCTCTCTCTCATTTTTCCATTACAGTTTTACCTTTTTTTTTATATGATTCATAAATTTTTGTAACCTTTTTCTTTTTCACCTCAATTAGCACAAATAATTCAATGATTCATATTAGTAATGTAAACGTTTCTTCTAATGCATTAATAAATAAATAAATGCAAAGAAAAAAAGAAAGAGAGTTACATTTCATTTTAATCATTGATATTTAAATTAATTCCAAAAAATGTTATTTGCTTATTTTCTTCTTCTTTTTTTCTAATTATTTTGCTTATCCTTTTTTTTTTCTTTGTGCATATTCTAATTATTTCAACTTGTTTATATTTGTTTATCAAAAAAAAAAAAAATAAATAAATAAAGTTATTGTGCTATAAATATATACATAATTTTTTTTTTTGCTTGTATTAAAAAAAAAAAATTTAATTCTAACAGAACGCTATTTGAATTTTTTTTTTATTTCTCTTTGCTTTTTATTTTTATTTATTTTATTTTATTTTATTTGCTTATTTATTTCACTTATTTATTTGGTTTTATCAAATTTTTATTTGTTACAATTTGCTTTTATGCTTGTTTATTTTAAAAATTTATAAAACTAAAAAATAAGAATTTCTATTTTATTTATGCGATGATAATACTTGCATTATAAATTTATTTGTAATATATCTGCAAAACGGATCATAAAAGCTTTTCATTATTTTATTTTATTTTTTTTTTTTTTGACACTTATGGTTTTTTTTTTATATGATCAAGTAGTGATTACCAATGAAATCATGCTGATTTGATATTGATAAGAAAGAGGAAAAAAAATGAAGAGAGAGAGAGAGAGGGGAAGAGAAGAGAAGAAAAGAAAAGAGAAACATTTTTTCTACTTCTCTTAGCAATTTCATCGACCAATTTCAATTGTAACGATGTAAAACTTTAGCGCTATATAAAATATTATTTCTTTTTATTATTTAAATTTTTATTTTTTTTTAATTTTAATAATTATTTTTTCTCCTTTTTCTACTGATTTTGTTACTTTAATTTTTTTTGTTTATTATTTAATTTTTTTTTTTTTTTTTTTAATTTTGATAATCATTTTTTCTCCTTATTCCACAGATTTTGTTATTTTAATTTGTTTTGTTTATTATTTAATTATTTTTTTTTTTTAAAATTTTGATAATCATTTTTTTGCTGACATTTTTACGTTATATATTTTACTGATATTGTTACTTTAATTTGTTTTGTTTATTATTTATTTATTTTTTTTTTTTTTTTATTTTGATAATCATTTTTTTCTCCTTATTCTATTGATACTGTTTACTTTTAATTTGTTTTTTTTTTTTCCTTTTTCATTTCTAAAAACTTTCAAAATAAAATAACAAAAATGATAATTCATGGTCAAATTTATTTACTGATTAGAAGATAAACACTAAGTAAAACATTCAACATATTATTATTTCTTATAATAGTAAATACTTTTTTTATTCTTTCTTTTATTTTATCGCATTTTCTTCAATTTTTTTTTCTCTCTAATTTTTAAATTTTTAAATTTTTTTTTTTTGGAAAATATTTCAACTTTTAGTTAATTTTTTATTTTTTTTTTTTAAAAGCCAAAAATCATCGAATTTTTTTCTGTTTGTAGCAATGCCAAAATGTATTATAGATTGATTGAAAAGTGAATTTAATTTCTTTCTAAATCACTTTTCACCGCAATCGTCGTCTTTTTATTTTTTATTTTTTTGAAATTTTTTGAATTTCATTTGATGTTGCTAAGTGTAGTGATATTAATATTTTGTATCAATCGGATCATTGAATAAAAAAATTAATTAATTAATTAAAAAAGAAATTTTTTTTTCTATTTTTGATAAATAATAATGTCTTTTTTTTTAAGAATTAAAAACTTTTTAAATTTTTTAAAGAAAAAAAAAGAAAGAAAAAATCTTTTAAATAATAAAAATATGTAATTTCAATGATTATTTTATGTTTAAACGTTTTTTCAATAAATTTCATTTGTTGGTTTATTATTTAAATTTTTTTTTTTTTTCTAATTACATTGTCTAATTTACAGAATTAAGAATTGGCTATTAAATTATTACTGTAATTTGCCTGCTTATACACATATGTATATGCTAATTCTATTTTTATTATCAACATTTGATATAATTGATAAAATAAATGGTAAGAAGGAAAATATCGCAGAAGCAAAAATACAAATAGAAAGTTAATATTTATTTCTTTTTTTTTGAAAAAAAATAATAGCAAAAATGTTAAAATAGATTATTGAATATAAGAAAAGAAGAAATTATAAATAAATTAGTAATCGATGGAGATGAAATTATTTAATTATTGATTAGTAGTGATATTTCTGATAAAAATTGATTAATTAATTAATTATTGATCAGTAGTGATATTTCTGATAAAAAAAAATTGATTAATTAATTAATTATTGATAGTAGTGATATTTCTGATAAAAATTGATTAATTAATTAATTATTGATTAGTAGTGATATTTCTGATAAAAATTGATTAATTAATTAATTATTGATTAGTAGTGATATTTCGTGATATTTCTGATAAAAATTATTTCTTCAGTTTTCCTCTTTAAATAATGGATAAATAATGAAATACTTCCTTTTTGTCAATAATTTTTTTTTTTTTTTTTTGCTAATGTAATTTCTAGGAAATAAATTATCGTGTCATAATGGCTGGGTACCGTATGCATCAACCGGATCAGTTAAATACACTCATTGCTTGAAGATTTTAACGGTATTCCGGATGACATGGCAACAAGCTGAAGAAAGCTGTCGACAAGTTGGAAAAGATGCTCATCTAGTTTCGATACAAACTATGGAACAAATTAGCTGGCTTACAGAAGCGGTTTAATTTTTTAAATAATTTCAATTTCAAAATTTGCAACTTCAAATATTTGTAAATAATTATTATAAATATTATTAGCAGAATAATAGAAATTGCTGATGTGTTATTATAACAAATTTTAATTTATTTTTGATATTTTGAATTTTAAATTTTTTTGGGGAAAACAACACACACACACACACAAATACTCAAAAATAAAATAAAATTAATTGTTTGTATTTATTTTAATTTATTATCAAATAATTGATTTAGTTTTATTTTGCTTTTTTCCCTTCTTCTTTTCTTGCTAATTTATATTTAAATATAATAATTTAAATATATATAGATCAATTTTACTGATAATAATTGATAATAACTTTATTTAAAGATTGATAGAGAAATGCAAATAAAAGGGAAATCATTGTATACATTATTTCCAAAAAATTCTCCATGGTTTGATTCTGGCTGGTGGATTGGACTTGGCCAATTATGTCCGAAGAGTCAAAGTGATCAAATGCCTTCCTTCAGGTTTAATTTCCAAGTTTTATATCAATTTCAAATTTACAACTTTGCATTTTCATTGAATGTATCAAAAAACAAAAAAAAAAAAAAAAAAAAGATGGCTTAAAATGAAATCAAAAATTTATACATTAATTAATTTCCAAGATAAAAAAAAAGGAAGAAAAAGAGAGAATAAAAATCATTGTACCATCAAGAATACACGTGATTCACGTGATATTTCATACGTCTTATAAGTACTACTTATCAATAGCAATAATATAGTCAAAAAATTTTCACCTAAAAGTTGAATTTAATTTCTTGTTGGATTGCTAATAATGGTAAATGTTGATAAGAAATAAAAATTTTCTCTTCATTATTTGCTTTTTTCTTTTCTTCTCTTTTTTTTTTTTTTTTTTTTCATATTTTCGGCAAATTTCCGGCAAAATTTTTGAAATAAATGATTTCAGAATTTATTAAAAATTAATAATATTTAATTATAGATGGACTGATGGAAAATTATTTGCAAATGATAAATTGATAATTGGTGATGTAAAACTTACCGTACCAAAATCAAACAAATGGGATAATCATTATTGTGTTTTTTATGATTGTATGTTTTCTGAAAATTTAAAATTTAATTCATCAATTTTTGCTATTATTTGCTTAAATTGTGCTATATATCAATTAGGAATGAAATTATTAATTAGCATAAATATGAATTTTTGTAAAAATTCAGGAAGTAGTTAATAAGAAAAAAGTTTTAATAAAAAAAAAAAAAAAAAAAAAAAAGAAGCATCAAATTCCGTATTGTTATTATTATTACTAAAATTACAGTTCAAAAATCTCCTACCGGATTAGCAACACATCGAACATTCAATATTACCACATGTTCAGATCGTCGACGATTTATTTGTCAAATGCCAGCTTTTTCACAGGTAAATTTAACACTGAACTTATAAATAAAATTTTGTTCAAAAAAGAAAAAAAAAAGAAAAATTTATTAAGTAAATAAATAAACAATTGAAAAAAATAAACAATGAAGAACTTATTCTAAAATTTCTGTCAATAATGTAATTTAATTATTTCATTTAAAAAAAAAAAATTTAATTTTAAGTTTTTTATCATTTTATTATCAAAAATTTTGGATTGATATTTTAGGATCAACTTTCTAGTGGTGGTAGTGCTATTGTAACAGAGGAAGAAGTAGAAATTACGGAAAGCGCAAATAGTGAACTTACCGCTGATTGTTAGCCATTTGTTTGCTTTTTTTTTTTCTATTTATTTATTTCATTTAAAAAAAAATTAATTTCAACTTTTTATCATTTTTAATATTTACTAACAATAATTTTAACAATTTGGCCAAAAAAAAAAAAGTGAAAAAAAGTAAAATATAATTAGATAAATATAATAAAATATAAATTATATAATTTTAAAATATAATTAAATGAATAAATATATTATTATATTATTTTTAATTAATTAATTAAATTATAGTTCCATGTGGTGTTGATCCATTATTTTGTCCATTAAAAACAAGCCAAGGAACTGTATGCTATCGTTTACAAACTGAGCCATTTTATTGGGAACAAGCAATGAAAGAATGTGATGCAAAACATCAATCTGATCTTACTTCAATTCATTCAAAAGAAGAAGCAAATTTCATTTATGAAATGGCAGTGTTTTCTTTTTTTTTTTTTTAAATTTTAATACGAAAAATTTCTCGTAAACAAATATGTTTATTAAGAAGAAAAAATAAACAAATTTATCAGTAGAATTGATTAGATAAGGATATATCCATGCAATTTGGATAATTTGAAGAAGTGATAAAGAATTGAAATGAATGCAACTTAAGATAAATTATTTATTTCTTATCTTCCTGGAAAAAAAAAAAAAAAAAAAAAAAAAAACGTTACTTTTAAAATGATTGAAACATAAAGAGAAGTAAATTTATCAGTATAATTGATTAGGTAAGATATCCATTTTGAGAAGTTTAAAGAAGTGTGAAAAAATTTTTTAGTTAGCTAAAATTTATGCTATAAATTAATCAGTAGTATTCAATTTTATTTAAAATATTTAATTTAATTACTTAAAATAGCTTAATGATGTGGGAAAGATTATCACAAATATTTTTATTAAGGATAAAGTAAATAAAAACATTTTTTTTTTTTTTTTTTTTTTTGAATAACTTTTCATTGTAGTCAAATTTAAAATATTTTTTAAAATATTTAACAATGATAAATTGAATCAAAATAATTTTACTAATTTTGATTAAAAATTCATTCAAAATAATTTTGTTAATTTTACTACTAAAAATTTAGATACAATAATTTTATTATAATAAATTGGAAAAGAAAAATGAATTATTAAGGTACAATTACAACCATCAATAAGTGGTGAAACAAAATATTGGATTGGATTGCATCGAAGAAATGCCCAAAGGTATCATTTTTTTTACCTGTCGTAGTTATCTACTGCTAATAATTCGAGTCAAAAAAAATTTCCAGAAATGATCACCGAATTAAACAAAATAATCAATTTATGATCATCGTTTTTTATTTTTTATTTTATCATCAAAATAATCTTTTTTATTTTATTTTATTTATTTATTTATTTTTGATTCTATTAATTATGAACAGAAAGAAAGTTTAATTTTTCTTTATGTTTTTTTTTTTTTTTTTTTTAAATAAAATTTTTAAGTAAAATAAGATAATTTTAAAAAATGAAAATGAAATAAATTTGTAGTCAATACGAATGGTCTGATGGTTCATCATTTGATTATTTATTGGAACGATTAAGAAATGACGATCCGGATGAAGAGAGAGGTATTTGTGTTGCAATACAATTCAATGTTAGGTTTGTTTTTTGTTTTTTTTTGTTTCTCCACAAAAATATTTTTTTCATTTTATAATTTTTATTTTAAAAAAGTAAAAAAAAAAATGAAAAAAGAGATTATAAATGTAGAAAACAGAAATTTTGATTTAAAAAATTTTGAAAATTTATAAATTTCAATTTAAAAATTCTGAAAGTTTACAAATTTTGATTTAAAAATTTAAAATCATATTTGAATGATGAATTGTTGAATATTTTAGTACGAAATTACTCCAGAAACAACCGCTATATAATCTTTTTGGTGTTCCAATTCAAGTAACAAAGAATACTCCAGGTTCACTGCTTCTCTGTTTTTTTTTTTTTTTTTTAATTTTTTTTAAATTAAAAATTTAAAATGTTTCATTAATCAACGGATCATTTTTTTTAGCATATTTTAAAAAAAAAAAAAAAAAAAATGAAAATTTAAAAATTTTAAAATGAATGAAATATTTTTGTAGCATATTTTTGGACACATCAACGATGTGATAATCGTCATTTGGCGATATGTCGTAAACCAGGCTTTGATTATCATTCTCGTTTTGAATTATCAGCAAAAGAAGAAAGAAGATTGAAAAAGCAAAGCAACTGGAAATGTTCAAACGGATACAAATTATTCAGTTCGTTTTCTTCTCTCTCTCTCTCTCTCCCTCTCTCTCTTTCGTTTTTTTTTTTTCTTTTTAAAAAATAAATTTTTAAATGATGAAATGAATTTCATTACACTAAATTATTCATCAATCTTTTTTTTCTTTTTTTTTTTTTTGCTCAAACAGTAAATTTTCCGTTGATTTTTTTTTTTTTTTAATTTATATATCAGATTCATAATTTAGTTATTTGCAACTTAAATTTGAAATGATATTAAAATTTGAATTTAATTTTTTTTTCTTACAGTTGAATTTTAGCAAGCAATTTCTAGTAAAAAATTTATTAAATCAAATAACTTTATTTTTTATCTTTCTTTTATTCATTAAATTAATTAATTTTCTTTATGTATTTTTTTCATTCTTTATTTATTACCATTAAAATTAATTTCCAACATTGATAAATAAATACAAATAATTAACAGAAAAAAAAAGAAGCTTATATAATTAATATATAGAAATTAATTACAATTAATGATTAGCATTTGTAATTGAAGTAATTAATAATATCAGATTTAAAATTTGATTGCCCTCTTTGAAAAAATTCAAAATGTTACTGAGAAATTAAAAATCTTATTAGCTATTTGAGAAATTGTGAAGAATTAGAAAAAAAAAGAGTCAAAATTAAATTTAGAAAAAAAAAAAATTTAATCTTTAATTTATTGTTAAGGAGGAATGTGTTATAAATTATATGGAACAAATAATAATGGTGTAACATTCAGTGAAGCTATTCAACGTTGCAAAAATGAAAAAGCTAATTTGGTTAGCTTAACTGATATGTATGAAAATGGTAAGAATTTATTTTTTTTTTGGAAAAGAAATTAGGAGGAAATATTTCAATTAATAATTTAAATATCATCAAAATAAACAAACATTTTTAGCTAAATTTAGTCCTTACTAAAAAATAAACAAACAAACAAACAACTACTACATTTAGTCCTTACTAAAAAAATAAACAAACAAACAAACAACTACTACATTTAGTCCTTACTAAAAAAATAAACAAACAAACAACTAAATTTAGTCCTTACTAAAAAAAACAAACAAATAAACAACTAAATTTAGTCTTTATTTAAAACAAACAAACAACTACTACATTTAGTCCTTACTAAAAAAATAAACAAACAAACAACTAAATTTATTCCTTACTAACAAAAACAATTATGCAAGTAAATTTGAATTTTATTATTGTTTCTTTATAATTTCGGTATTGTTCAAGCTGTCTAATAATTTCCTAATTAATACTAAACACATTCAACTGATTTTATTGTTTTAATTTACTTGCACAGATATAATATTTCTTTTCTCATTTCTAAATAAAACGAAGCATGCAAATATTCACAAAATTATTTAATATGTAAAAATTAAATTTTTCTTTTTTTTAAAAAAAATTTATATTTTTATTTCTACAATTATTTAACTTAAATTTTAAAATAAACCTCATTTAATAGGATTTGTTACATCAATGTTGCAAAATTTAAATAGTAATGCATGGATTGGTATGGATATGACAGATGGACGAGTACGATGGTTGGATGGTGAACCGTTAAAATTGATCCGTTTTGGTCCAGATAATCGAGTAATCCGGATTGGCGGTGATCGACATATTTTTCAAAATGTTGGTGAACCTGGTTTTTCCAATGAGGTTATTATATATTTTATTTTCCTACATATATTTATGTATTTCAACATTTAATAATTTAATTTATTATTTAATTTATCATTTATATATTTTTATATTTATTTAGCAAATTCATTTTGCTAAAAATACATTTTAAATATGTCAAAAAAAAAAAAATGTTTTTTTTTTTTTATTTAATTGTAAATATTTTTAGGCTTGTGTTGCATTAGATGCTACTAATATGGTCGGATATTGGAATATTATCTTCAATAAAACTAGTAAATCCCATTTCTTTCAAAAATATTTGAAATGAACTGAAAATTTAATTCATTCTAATAATTATCTATGAATTGCTGGTATAATAAGTTAGTTAATAACTACTTTTTCATTCAATTTTATCATTTCGTAAATGCTAAAATTAGATTAAATAAGATTTAATTTTAATTTAGATTTAATTAGATTTAATTTCCTAGTTCAATCCGTACTCATTTATCAATTTTAGTTATCAAACATGAACTATCTTGATTAATGAGATCTTTTAATGAGTACTAAATTCATTTAATAAACTAATAATCTTAATGTCTAGCTTATACTAAGCGAATTTCAAATTAAACTTTTAAATGGTATAAAAAGGTTAAAACATTGAAGCAATATTATTAAAAATTTCAAATAATTTACTAGCTTTAGCTAATGAGAAATTTAAATTTAACTTTTATTTTAGATTATTCCATATATTTTACTTTTATAAATAGTTTCTCTTTTTTTTTTTTGTTTATTAGAAAAATGATTCAATTAGATTTTTTTTTTTTTTTGCTAAGAGATAATTAGTTTCAAATTGTGGAATTTTTTTTTTAAATTCAAATTTTGTAATTTGAAAAATGAAACTTATTGATTGTTTTAGATTATGTTTTTCCTAGTGGTTCAACAAAAGCAGATAACAAATCAAATCAGTGTGATACAATGGAATTACCATATATTTGTGAAACTTATGCAGGTTAATGATTTTGCACTGTTATCATTTATCATTTATTTTAAGAAGTGTTAAGTCTGAAATGATAAGATAAGATAAGATAAGAGGGAATTGTTGAAAGTTTATTAAATGTTTAACTTAAACTATTTCATGTATTATATTGAATGATGATTTATTTAATTAATTAAAAAAAAAAGAAATTCAAACTTGAAGTACCAACAAAAAAAGAGTAGATAAAATGTAGGTATGATGTCAGAATTAATTTTTAATGAATTCTACAGTTTTAATTAATTAATTAATCAATTAAATATTTCAGATGAATCAGCAAATGTAATTCAAAACAAAAAGACATGCAATGAAATCGATGATATTACATACTGTTTTCTTCTCAATGATCCTAATAAGCATAGTTTGTTATCAATAAATGAAATTTTTTCATTTTTTAATTTTTTTTTTTTTTGAAACAAAAATGAAATTTTTTTTTTAATGCAAAAATAAAAAGAAATATTTAAATGTATTTGATACATTTTACATTACCATTACTAAAGAATGAAAAAGATTATGGCCTTTTTTTTTTGTAATTTTTGTAATTTATTTTTTCAAATATGAAATATTAATTAGTCATATTTAACCTTTTTTTTTCTTTTCAAATTCAATAATTTCCTTATGTTATAATTTTTATGAATTTTTCTAAATTACAATTTCATTTTTTTTTTGATTTTTGTTGAAAAAAATTATTTTGTATTTCTTGCATTTTACTCATTTTTTTCAACTATGAAAGTTAAAAATTTTTTGTTTAAATTTTTCTTTTTTTTTTCATCAAAATTTTCTTCAAAATTACCATTTTTTTTTTTTGATAATTTTGAATTCTCATTTTGTTTTATTTTCATGTAATTTGAGACAAAAGCACAAAATGATGCAAAAAATATTAGTTTAAAATTTTTTTGCTAAAAATTTTTTTTCTTGTTTAGAAAATTTTTATAAAAATTTTCAGTTAATGGTCATTTTAATTTTGTTGATGCATCTGAAATTTGTGCAACATTACCAACAAAATATACAAATTACGGTAGAAAATATGGTCAATTAGCACAAGCTGATAACATTTTCGAATGGTTATTTTTGACAGCAATGGCATTGGAGAATGATTACGATGAATTCTTTATGGGTATTCGTTTCCGGAAATCAGTTGGGTTAGTCCGGCATTGCAAATTTCTGTATGAAACTTGCATGAAAAACCCTGAAAATTTAATAACTGTTAGAGTATTTTAAAATAAATTGCCACTTTCTTTTGATATTTACAATAATTTAAATTATCTAATCACTTTCTAAAACTCCGAAAATCAGTTGGGTCAGTCCGATATTGCAAATTTTTAGCTGAAATTTTACTAAAATTTAATATTTGTTAGAGTACTTTGAAAAATTGCCACCTTCTCTTTTGCTATTTATTACAATTTAAATTATCTAATCTATTGCTAAAAGTATTTTTTAGGTAATATAATTTTTGCTAAATTTATTAATTTATTAATCTATCATTGTTTTTTTTAAGATTATTATTATTATGGTTACAAGTATTACCATTATTATTAATTATGATTGTAATTTATAAGCGAATCTTAGATAAAATGATGAAACACTTTTTTAAAAATAAAGTAATATAAGAAATTCAAGAACAAATGCGAATTAATTTAAATATTAGAGTAATAAAAACGATAGTTTAATGTTTTTTGAAATTTGTTGAATAACGCATGCAATATTTAAAAATTTTATCTCACTGAATAGTTTAATAAAATTCAGAAATTTCGAGAATGTTGTGGATAATTTAGAAATTATTAATTCAATATCCATATTTATTAATTAATTTATTTTCTACTCGTTTTAAATTATAAAATTCTGATCGCAGTGTTATTTTTACTTCTAGATAAGATGCAATTTTCAATCAATTAAATCAATTTTTTCTTGATCAGTTTTTTGAAATAAAGCATCCGGAATGAAGGATATAGTCTTTTCTTGTTTTGATAACAAATACCGATTTCTTCCTGAATGAATGCATTTCCTTTTTCAGGTTTGAAAGAACAGATAACCTTCGATTACGTCTAGCACCTTGGGATATTGGTGAACCAAATTTAAAAAATGGCAATTGTGTTGTTTTGAAAATTGGCAGAAATGGTCCTGCATGGTACATTGATGATTGTATGAAACGTAAACCGATCGTTTGTCGACTTACAAATGGTAAAAATTTATTTCAAATTTAAATTACATTAATTTTTTTTTTTTTTTTTGCGAAATTAATTTTGACAATTTTTTTACGTATGCTAATGTGAATTAATTGAATTGAAAAAAAATTTAAAAATAACTTTTGTAAAACACTACGATAAATTACAAAATTTAAACATTTAATCATTCTTTGTTGATAATTAATGTGGATTAATTGAAATATTTTGTGAAACACATAAATCATAAAGTCTTCTGATAGATGTTATGACTATATCAGTTAACATTAAAGGATTAAAAAAAAAAAAAAAAAATGGTATTTTTAATTGTTACTTTAATTGATAGCAACGTGATATGTTTAATATGATACGTAATATTACTATTTTCTAGATTATAGCAACGTGATATGTTTAATATGATACGTAATATTACTATTTTCTAGATTATAGCAACGTGATATGTTTAATATGATACGTAATATTACTACTTTCTAGATTATAGCAACGTGATATGTTTAATATGATACGTAATATTACTATTTTCTAGATTATAGCAACGTGATATGTTTAATATGATACGTAATATTACTATTTTCTAGATTATAGCAACGTGATATGTTTAATATGATACGTAATATTACTACTTTCTAGATTATAGCAACGTGATATGTTTAATATGATACGTAATATTACTATTTTCTAGATTATAGCAACGTGATATGTTTAATAGGATACGTAATATTACTATTTTCTAATTTATGATTACGTGATATGTTTGATAGGATAACGTTGTAATTACGTGATATATTTAATCGGATAACATTATAATTACGTGATATATTTAATCGGATAACATTATAATTACGTGATATATTTAATCGGATAACATTATAATTACGTGATATATTTAATAGGCTAATGTATTATTACTAAATCATTGCTAAACTTAATTTTAGAAGAACCAATGAGTATGGTACCACAAACAGTACGTTGCCCAGATGGTAAAGAGGATTGGATTCTTGGTGAAACACATTGTTATCATTTAGTGAGTAATACATCAATGTTTAGCTCAGGATTTAAAGCAGATCATGATTGTTTCAAGGTAAGTATAAAAGTATGCTAATTAGCTAATTCATTAATAATACAGGGAATCAATATTGTAACATATAGTTTAAAAAAAAAAAAAAAAAAACATATTCATCGGATTTTTTTTTTTTTATTTTTTTTATTCTATCAAAAATTATTCAAATCTTACTTTTATTTTTCAATTAATTATGTATTAATTATACTTTGATAATAATTAATTCTTTTATACAAATAAAATATTTATTGATAAGAGAATTTTAATATGATATCAAAATCATTCTGCTTTAATGGGCAAAATTACTTCGCCTGCTTGCGCTCCAGCTTTAAATGGTGCCTGTGGATCATCTTCTTCGTCTGGTACCTCAGCCCATTGAATGACAAATTTATCCTCTTTAGGTGGTCCTTCTAGACGAATTATTGTCAATTCTGTTTTGTCACCTTTTGAAACAAAACCATATACTGGTGTAACACGATAATGATCATTGTTGGTTGATTTCACCTGAAATTTCAATTTCAAATTTTATCTATTTATACTATAATTTATCATCAATACTGATAATCTTACAAAAGAAAAAGAAAAAAAAATGAAGGAATTTATAAAAATAAGATAATTAGTATGAAAATTACACATTATTTTTATTTATTAATTTATAAAAAATTTTTAAAACATTTTTTTTTTTTGTAAAACTATTTTACAAAATAAAAATTTTTAAAAAATTCATAGATGAGAATGAAACAAACTTTAAAACCAAGTCTGCCTTCGGTTTGATTGATTATATTAACAGTAGCGTTACCTCCAGATGCTTGGAATGTTACATCGGGAGGATCGATATTCATTGCCATCCTAAATTATAGTACCTTTGAAATATATTTTTGTAAATAAATGACTAAACGTAAAAACGTGAAATCGTTCGTAACGGTATACGTCGAAAAGCAAAATTGAAATGAAATATTTTTATTGAATTGTGATAGTTTAAATACTTTTCCTTAATGATTTATCTGTTAACTAATTTGCATCATTTGCTACAAAATTACTTTTACTTTCTTTTTTTTTTTTTTTTCTGAAATTTATGCAAATTAGTAGATGAAATTAATTATACAAAATAATATGTTTATGCATTTACTCAAATAGAGTATTACTTTTTGATGTTTGACTTTTTTTTTCATTCTATTCTATTTCAATATTCTATTTCTATTATTTTTCATTCTATTCTATTTGAATTTCTATTAGTTTCTGAGTAACACTTTTAAACAATAATTGTTGTGTTACAATTTTAATTACTTTTTTTACTTGCTAATTACTATTTCGAAGATTATTCATTTTTTTTTTTTTGTTAAATGTACATATTTTCATATTTTTATTTTTGTGAATTTTTAAATTGTTTATATTTTTTTTTTAATTGTTAATTAATTTTAGTATTTTAATGCAACATTGGCAAGTTTTGAAACACAAAAAGATTTTGAATTATTCAAAAGTCACATACTGCATAATGAATTATCCGTATCAAATGCTTTAATTGGGCTCATTCGACAACAACACGGTAATCATTACTCTAAAATTTCCAAAAAAAAAAAAAATTAATGATAAAAAAATAGCAAATATAAATGATAAGCATAAATTGTTATTCTTATAATTATGATAAAAAGAGTGAAAAAAGGGACTCATATCTGGTGATAATATTGATAATTATGATAATTTTTAATAAGAAAAGTGAATAATAATGACACTAGTAGGTATTTCATAATGATAATAGTAATGATAGTGATAATAATGAAAAAAACAACAACAACAGTAACATCAATAACAAACAATAATTGAAGCAATGATTTCAAATAAACTGCAATTGAGTAAAATAATTTTTACAAAAATTTTAATTTATACAATTAACTCTTTGAAAAATTAAAATTAAATTTTGAAAAAAGAAAAAAAAAAGGGGAAAGAAGAGTTGGTGACAAATATTTTTTTTCAGGTTCATATGCTTGGAAAGATTTGTCACCGGTGACATTTCTGAATTGGGCTGAAGATGAACCGGCTGATACGAAAGGTCGAATAATTCAACAATGTGTGAAAATGCAACTTAATGGTAATTACACTTGGCATAGTCTTAGCTGTTGGCAAAGTACACATTTCTTATGTTCAACACCAGTTGTTAATGTAAACTACAATCCTTCTGCAAGTAATTTTTATAAAATATTAACTTTTTCTTTTTCTAAAATTTAAATTTCAAATTTTTATTATTTATTTGCAAATAATTTTGAATGTATTATGAAGAAAAAAAAAAAATTTTTTTTTTTCCATCAATAACTAAATAGTAAATCGATGAAGGTAATTAATTATTAAATTAGATTAATTTAATTTTTTTTTAATGAAAAATTTTTGTTTTAGGAGAAAATGATAAAAATGAAGGATTTTCATCGCAACAATTATCATATGATAAGGAACGAAATAGTAGGAAGAAATTACCCAACGATTATGATAGTTATTCTAGTAAAACAGATCAAAGTTGTAAGTATTTACATTTTAACTACTTTTTTTTTTTTGTTTTAAATTTTTAAAATAAAAAGGATTTATTGATTAAATCATTTGAAAGTGCTAAAATTGATATTTTTTAACTTATATGAATTGTTGTTAAGAAAAGAAAGCAGTGGAATAGGTAAAATTATGTATGTTGCTATGCAAGAATCATGATTGACAGATAAATTATATAATATTTGAATAAAACTCAAATTCAGTCTAATTTAATTTAGCCTGATTAAGATTTACTTTCAATTAAAAGTTATAGCATATAAAAGAAATAACAAAGTTAGTGTTCAAAAGCTAAATGTGAAGCAAATTATCTGAAATTAAATATCGTTAATTCCTAAGACTAAAGTTAATTATCATAATGTTTTATTCTTACTTTGTGCTAGATTTTTCTTCTAAGGCTTAATTAAAATTAAAACTTGATAGGCTATTTAATTAGATTCATTTCTGATTAATTATTAATAGCAATTACGGTATAAACTGTAGTCAAAATTTGAATTGAAATATTGATATTAATTGCTCACTGTTATATATAGTTATTCAATTATAGTTTATGCAACAGTTTACAATATTTTAATATTCATTAAGTTTTTCATTTCTATTCTATCTAAATTACATTATAATATATAAAGTAATTATTAAGTTTTCTATTTCTTATCTTCTTCTTCTCTCCCTCTTTCTCTCTCCCTCAAATTATATCACAATTACTATCAATAATTAATGAATTGTTAATTTTCAAATTTTCTAATTTGTGAAATTATTTGAACAAAAATAAAGTTTATTTAATTCTTTTACAGTATTACCAGTGCCATCAACTCAATCAATAAGCGCAATTAGTACATTCGGTGAAATTTGTTTAGTGCTTATCGTAGCGCTAAGTATAGTTGGCGGTATACAATTGTGGAAACGAAAACGACGATTGCGCTTAAGCAGTCAACGAATTGTACAATTTGATCAACTTCAAAATGAGGAAGAAAATACCATGTAGATGTTGATATGATACGGGTAACAATGATAACAGTAGTAAAAAATGAAAAATTAATTTTATTAAGTTTTAAAAGAAAAAACATTTTTTTATACTCCTCAAAACAACAAGAAAAAAAAAGTTAAATTAAGTTATATTTTTATTTCAATTTAGTATGGAAGTTAATATGCTTCATACCTCTATTTTTTCCATTAACTATAATTTGTCATTTCCCTTTTTTTGTTCATTTATGCTAATTTGTTTAATTCATTTATCTCAATTTTATGATACAATAATAATTGGATGATGATTTAAAGAAAAAAAAAAAAAAAAATTATACGAATATATTGGCATATTGCAAATAGCACAAATTATATAGAAGTTTTCATCTGTTGCAAAAAATTTATTTTTTTTTTTTGTAGATAATATTTTAAATTTTATATAATATCATATTTTCTATTTTTTTTATTTTCTTCTACCGTAATACCGTAATTTAGAAATGAAATTTTGATTTCGTTCCTCATTTTTGTTTCTGCTTTTATTGACATTTTTCATAGGTATTTAAAATTTGGTTTAATTAAGGTTGGAAGAATTTCTGATTAAATTAAATTTATTTGCAAACAGTTAATGTCAGTCAATCATAGTAAAATTTGCCGCTTCCTTTCAAAAAAGAAAAAATTGTGTTACTGTATCATTTCATTGAAACTGTATTTTCAAATCCTGAAACGGTAGCTTATAAATTGCGATATAATAAAGTGACGAAAAGCGCAAATAATCTTATAAAATATTTTTATTCTAGAAATTTGTTCTATTTCTATCATTTATTCAAATTCATATGTAAATTTTTCCGGTTTAAATTTTTTATGCTTTAAGCAACGAACTGATAAATCGTAAACATCTGATGAATTAATTCACATATAAATTCTTGCATTCTAAAACTAAATTTATATTTTAAAAATTATTTAAAAAAAATATTTTAAAAAATTTATATTTAATGATTATATTCAAAGTTATAAAATGTAAAATAGCTCTTTCACCCGCATAACTATCTTTTATATCGAATAGAATTTTATCACAAAAATATCTTTGTGAATTTTTCCATATTATAGAAATTAATGCTATTACTTATCATATCTAAGCAATTACTTACTTACTTACTTATCCATTCTTTACCGAAAATTTTAACTTCGACAATTTAAGAGCTGTGCTCTCCTAGATTAATCAAGTTCTTATCTTAACTTAACCAATTCCTTACCAATTTCCTCTTTTTCAAACTTCAAAGCAATTTCTTTATTTATCAGTAATCAGGCAGAAAACTTGTTGTATTGATTAATAACTATTTTATCTATGAAACAACAATCTACGCAAATCAAATCAAAAATAGTCTATTCCGATTCCGGATTGGTTATTTTTTGAAAGAATCAAACCTTTTTTTTTTTTTTTTTTATTTCTTTTATAAGAATTAAACATTGGTTGTTTACTTAAGAAGATGTCAAAATTTAGGCACTCAATGGTTTTTCATTAAATTAACTATCATTTTCGTTCATTTCCTGAAAATTTTGATCTATGCAATAATTTTTTTATGAAAGTTGAATTATGAAAATTTAAATTTTACATAAAAAGTTAACATGAAAATATATGCAAAATTTGTCATTAAAAAGATATTATTCTAATAGATTTTTCAATACATTGAAAATAGATAATCGACAAGTTGCCCACCCCTTAGGGTTATTTTCCCGACACTTTCCCATTCTTTTGCAAAAATGCTTGCTTATAATGCAGAATTTCTAGACTTTTCTTTTTGATCTTTAATTAAGCTATGATATAATATAATCATACAATCTTTTGGGTAGAAAATTTTCAAAAAAATAACCGATAAAAACCAAAGATCAAAGATCAAGTATTTCGAACTGTACAACAGTGTAAATTAATTGACCGATTACTGGATTCAATCGTTTCCTAATAATTAGCATATAATCACTAATTTAAATAATTCTGGTCATGTAATATGATTCCGGAAAGTTTTCAAAAATAGCAAAATTTATAAACTAAACCAATTCTCGAACAAATGTAACAAGAAGGGAAGAAGAATCAATGTTCCGTTAAGTATGATATGATAATGTTTCGACTTTTTTATTAAACTTTAAAAAAAAAAAAATCCGGAATTATTTTTTCGTTTTCGGATGCTAAAAAAAAAAATGTTTGTTTCATCCTTTTTCTTTCTACCTCTTTGCAATTTCATTATAAATGGACAAATTATTTGAAACATTTGACATGATGCAAGTAAAAATAAATATATTTTATACACAAAAATAAACAATGAAATTTTTTTTTTTTTTTTTGTTGGAGAATTTTAAAATTTAATCAACCATCATTTTCTCTTTATCACCAAATGGTTCTTCTTTGAGATCGATTCGTTGTTTCAATGCAAACTGAAATTTAAATTATCATTTCAAATTACTGAGGTAAAATTTATTATTATTACTACTTTTATTTTTTGAAAAAAGCGTATAAAAAAATTTTTATCACAATTATTTGTTCCAAATTATTTGCTTTATTTAAAAAAAAAAAAAGAAAAAGAAATTTAAAACCAGAAATTTAGGAAGAAACTACCTGAAATTATTATCAATTAATAAAGCAAAAATTGTTTAGCAGTGATTTAGACGATAGAGTAAAATACTCACTCAATAATGAAATGTGACAAATTTATAACATTAAGTAAGAAATATAGGAACAAAAATTTAGTTAGAATAGTTTAAAAAAATTTTTAATTTATTATAAATTTTCTTCCATACTTTTTCTTTTTGTAATTTGAGTGAAAAAAAAAAAGAGGGAAAGAAGTTGAAATAAAATTTCAAATTTAATAAATTTATAAAATTCTTCAGCATGCCTTGGTATAATTTCTTATGAAAACACATTTCGCTCATTCATCCCTCCAATAAATTGAAAAATAATCGATATGAATTTTAGCAAAATTATTTATCGTTGTTTGTCACGGCATCTCAACTCATTATTAATTACAGGTATTTCATGCATGCACTCTTTATAATAATTTTAAAACATAATTAAAATTTTAAAATAACTAATACGGGGAGTTTATTTTTTCATCTCCTAAATAATAAAACATTTAGCAAAAAAAAAATAGCAATTTTTTAAATTTCATTTTCATAATTTCTTATGCATATTTCTTTTCTCTCAAAATTTCTCACTATATTTTTACAGATTAAATTTAAATTTTATTTTGAGCCTTTTATAGTATTTTGAAAAAATTAAAAGATATCTTAATTTTAAATAAAAGTAACTACCTAATATATCACGTACAGCTGCATGTTATAAATCAACAAAAAGAGAAAAACCGGTAATAACAATAAATGCAACTAAGACTTTTGTAAACATTTCAACTTATTTTTTAATTAATTTTTTTTTTTTTTAACTTTATAAATAAAAAATTGAAATAATAAAAGTGGTTGTAATGTTTTCTTTTTTTTTATGTTAAAATAAAATAGTATTTTTATAATTCGTACTTCTTATATCGTAATCTTTTTCCAGAATTATTTATAATATATATGTCAACAACATATTTGTCTTCTTTTTCTTCAAGGTTATTTATTGTTAAATCTCGAGACAAGAAAAGAAAAGAAACGACCAAGTAATGAGGGTAATTTTGTTGAATTTTCAATTTTTCTTTTTTTTTTTTTCATAAGGCAATTTTTGTTGACATAAATGAAACTAGTTTTTGTTATTTTTGCCGTACAGTTCCTATCATTATTTCATATCAAAAAAAGAAAAAAAAAAAAATGAAATGAAATGCAATTGCAATTTTCATAGCAATCAAAAAAAATTTTCTTTCCTTTTTTATAATCAATACTGAGTAAACAAACATTCAACTTACAATGTTTACAGTAAATACTTAAAGGATATATTCACGCTGAATTAATCAAAAAAAAATTTTTTAAAAAAAACTTTCTAATTTGCAAATAAATAATAATTTCTATCTTCAAACATTATATTTATAAAAAATATTCTAAAATAATAAAAATAAACTTAATAAAAGTATTATTATCAAAATTACAAAAAAAAACAAAAACAAAAAAAAGAAAAGTTAACCTGAAATGAGCAGGTACCCTTTGATATTAATCGTACAAATTGTGTACCCTCTATCATAACAGCTGATTTAATTTCCTTCCTGGCATATCTTGATTCCAGATGATCACGAAATATCTCAACTATATTCATTGTTAAAGGTAATACTAAGGCACCATCTTTCCTCCTAAAATATTTTCTACACTAAAAAATTAAATCTAAATAGCATTCAAATTTATAATACAAAGAAAAAAAAAATTAACAATTAATATATTTTTCATTTCTATTTTCATCTATCCAAATAGAACTTTGAATTTAATTTTTTTTATAAATACTAACATGTATATAGTAAACAAATGTATTCCTATTATTTTTATCTTTAATTCCATGAATTTTATTAAAGTCTGTAACATTTTCTATGAATGCAAAATGAAACTTATATTTCATGAATAATTTCATTACTGAAATTAAATTTTACATATTTAAATTATAATATAACAAACCTTCTAATTGATATTGTCACTAAACCGGACAATACTGAAACAACACTATATGTGCCTTTATAATTCATTTCTTCGATGATAATTGATGCTTCCGTTTTGTAATGTGGTGGTACCACAACAGTACTATCAACAGCCCATGACATCATTTCTGATTTTGCATTTTCATTTACATTATTGAAATTCATTTCACTCTTGAAACCTGCTTTCAATTCAGCTATTTCACCTAAACAATACATAGAAAAATTAACAATTGTATAATATTAACTATTTATTACTTACTTATTATGTAAAATTATTTGTTAGTATTTTTAAAACATTTCATAAAAAAAAAAAAAAAAAAAAAAAAACATTTTATGATTTCCGTTTAATACAGCAAACTTCGCATTTTACTTCATTTTAGGTACAATCAACAGTTAATGATATGAGTTTTAATCTAATATTTACCCATGAAAAAATAAACTGAAAAATTATTGCAAAAACATTTAATTAATAGAAAATATTGATCAATTTTGCTTCGTTTTTCTTTTTGTTGAAAAAAAAAGGTGAAATAATTCTTGAATTTTTTTCCTCATTTATTTCTTGGTTTAATTTATTTTTTTTTTTTATTATTTTAATTTATTATTATTGTTTTTCATTATTATCAATAATTTAGTTAATTTAACAATTACTACTTCAAATTTATTCTTTTAAAATTTAAGCAATAAATAATACAATAAAAATAGTAAGCAAATTGATTATTTTACATTATTGTTTTGTTAGCATCAAAAATTTTCTTAGCTATCATTTTCTTTTCTTTGTTCAAATTGCTTTTATTTTTTGAAAAAAAGAAAAAAAAAAAAGAAAAAATGAAATAAAATGAAATAATTCTTCGTGCTTTAATATGCAATTCATGCAATTTCAATTTTTACTTCCAATCAATCATTGGCCTAAGCCTTATTTAACACGCATGCCAATAGACAAGAAAATAAAAGCCAAAAAAGGAGAAATGCAAAAAAATGAAGAGAAGGCCAAGTAGGTTTTGTTCCCATAAATCACAGACATAATGATTTAACTACTATTTTTTCAAATTGGATCGGCAAATAAACGAATTTTAGGAGGAAAAAAAAAATGGCAAAAAGAGAGAGAAAAAAAGAAATGCATTTCTGGTACGAACGAAATTCATCGATTTTAAGTTTTAATTTTGCTTTTTCTCGTTCATTTTAGGATAAAAATGAAAGAAAATAAGCGTAAAATTTGATTATATCATTTGGAAAATAGCATAAAATCTTACTAAACTTCTCGAACTACTTTTAAATGACCTTCTTGAATAGTTAATTTATGCAACCATTATTAATCTTATTTAAAATTTTTTCAATTGCTGTGAATCGTCCGTGAAGTCTTTTCAATTACTTTTAAATCTCTCTAATACCTTTCTCGCTATTCAAAATTTTGTTCGTCTAAAACGAAGTAAATGAATATTATTATCATCATTAATCTAACCTTTTGAACTTTTTTTTAAAAAAAAGAGTTTGCGTATTCTATCGATAATAAAAAATTCAGTTGTTGATTTTCGATTTAAAGAAAAGTGGGACAGAAGGTCAATCAAGTGTCATAGAAGTTGTAATCTCCTTCCTGTCTTTCTTTCTTTCTTTCTTCCTTTTACTTACATTCATTTACTTTTACCTTATTTATAATCGTACTAAACTTCTCGAACTACACTTAAATGACCTTCTTGAATAGTTTGTTGTCCTTTACTATCCGTCATCATTTTGACATTTCCGAAACAGAATTATAAAAGGAAATCGTTGACTGTTAACTACATCATTTTGTTGACAAGTTCCGCTAATCAGCGGGAAGCCCTGTGAAAAAAAAAAATTTCCACAATATTTGCTTTGTTCACCTCCTTTGCTTCTTTCAATTTTCACTGTTTGAATTTATTGTCTTTGATGAATTCACATAGCAAATAGAAGGTTTTTCACCTTTGCACCGCTATACAAACACTTTTCAGCATGAAATCAGATATCAAATTCTCCTTTCAATATTTGACTTTCAAAAAAATTTAAATTTATTTTATGTGATAATTTTTATGCTTTTAATTTTAATCCGATGGCTATAGAAATGAAAAATGAGTTTTGAAAATTCAATAAGAAATAAATTTCTAAAATTTAAAAAATTCAGAAAAAATGTGCTTAAATTCTTTTAACTTCATTAAATTTTAAGCCTACTTGCTTAATTGATTTCTGTTTTATCATTACATTTCGTTTTTTTTTTTTTCTCAACAATTTGTGATGCTATCAAAAAAATTTGAATTCAGCTATAGTTTTAGCTTTAAATTTAAGGATTAAGATTGCAAGCTTATTGCAAGCGTAAATAAAGTATCAAATTTCATGAATGTTTACAGAAGAAAGAATTTAAATTCGACAAAATATTTGATTTTAGCGAAAACGAATTGCCTTAACCCATTTTCAAAACTAAATTTGCTTTGCAATCATCTTATTGACATTTTGCATGCATGCATCTAAGGGAAAAACTGGATAAGTGAGTGAGAATAGCCTGGTAAACAAAAATTATATATCATAAAATGAACCGAATAGACTATAAGCGACAATATCGAAATGTAAACAAAAATCACATGCACAATGAGTTAATAACTGAGCAGGTTGGTGAGAAATTTTTGGCAGATTGAATGATTAAATTATACTTTGTTTATAAAATATATAATTCGTTATCTCTCTTTTTTTTTTTTTCATCTCTCTCTCTCTCTCTCCTTAACACTAAATTTCTGATAAATTTATGCGATAAATTAAAAAATTCTTTTTTATATGCTATAAAATGGAATTAAATCCAAATTTAAAAATTTTTCTAAGATTTCATTAATTTGAAATTGTAATAAAAATAAAGAAGAAGAAGAAAAAAAGCAAACAAACATGGTGTTTTTAATGTTAATTCAGTTTCACCGCCGATCATATAACCTTGTTCACGTACAACGCTACATAAACTTTCGGTGGTACGTTCAGTTTTAAAAGAATATTCCTGCGATCGATCAGTATTATTTGTATAAACTGATTTGAAAAGCGTAAATGGACGAGCTCCTTGACAGTTTAATTGTGAATACTGTGGCTCTTCATGTCTTACAACCAATTTACGCCGATTCTACAATTGTTTAATTTTATAATAACAAAAAAAAAGGAAAGTATGTGATATATAGAAAAAAATTACGATAGAAAACACGGTAAACAGTTATGATAAATTACGGTAGACAGCTACGATAAATTACGGTAAAAAGCTACGATAAATTACGGTAAAACTGAATTGCAAATAAATTGTGCTAAAAGTACTAAAGATTGCTCAGATATTAGATTTTCAGCAAGAGATACTCTAGACAGTGGGTACATTAAAGTAAATAGTTAAGACGATTTAAAATGTAAGCTTATTATTCAGTAAAATAATAGTGGCTTGAAGTTATGTCAGAATGAATGCTGTAACAAGTGAAAATACAATCAGAGAGACTAATATCTCAGGTATTTTCACTTAAAATTCCATTTGCAAATTTATCATTGATGCAGTAATTTTGCAACGATCAAGTAATGATGATTAAAGATAAGATAGGATAATCTTATCTTGAAGATTCATTAATGTCTTTTAAATAGATGGTTGAAATGAGATGAAGTATAGCAACTTTATTTTATTATTAAACATAAGGTCATTTTATATAATTACATTTAGCATGCCAATTAAATCAAATCAATTGAAAAAAATAATTTTTGCATACTATAAGTTATGCTCATCTCAATGCTAGTTGAATAATTGAATTTTGTTGGTTTTATTTATTTGAAAAAAAAAATTTTTTTTATTGTATGCATTATTATTAAACGTAATTGTATTATCATTGCTACTTGTATGTGATCAAATTTTTAGAAAGAACTGAATAGTAATTAATTTGGTAAGCTTTTAAAAATTTTTTAAGAAATAAAGTTCAAATTTGAGAGAAACAAATATATAATGCTTAAGTGATAATTTTTTTTCCTAGTCAAAACTGGCAGTATTATTAGACAAAAAAAAAAAAAAAATGAAATGGGTGACAGTTGGGAAAAAGGAAGGAAGAAAAAAAAAGTGGAAGGAATGAGAATTGGTTAGTTGTCGTAAAATGCTAATTGAGTTCCGAAATCAATCCCAATGGAATTCCGCTTGCTAATGCGATAAGTGCCAAATCATCGTTCGATAATGCGAGGTCGAATCGATCAACATTTCAAACTTCTTACCAAATCAAAATAATATTCTATTTATTAAAAAGATTCTAAACAAAATTTTAGTTTATATATTTAAAATAATCTTCCAAATAATAAATTCCTATGGGATGTAAGTAAATAATAAAATATAGTTATTACAAAAATTTTAATTTTTATTTTCTTTTTTTAATTTTCCAAAGTAATTTTTTTTTTCAAGATGAAGTAAATGGCATAAAATTGTCATAAAACAGTAAGGGAATAAAATTACTTAATACATTAAGAAGTTTTTGGTCATAAAGTGATTAAATTGAAGTGAAAGTAATTACTAATAATTGTTCTGCCTTCTCATTTATTGTGCATATGCTAATGGCTTTCTTTTAAAAATTGATTTTAACTCACTCATTGACTTTCACTTCGGCAAAGAGTATTTTCAAAAAAAGAAAAAGAAAAAAAAACTACACCTTTTGCACAACTCAATTATTAGCAAAATTAAATTTTCATATTTCTTCAAATATATTTTTGCAGCCTATCAAAAAATTAATCGAAAATCGGGGCCAATAATAAATGAAAAAATTTATTTCTTTTATTTACTGAATTTTCATTGAATATTTTCTAAACTACATTTGTGTGCAATAACTGCTAATTAATCATTTATTTCTACCGAAATGACATTTTCTCCATTTATTGACTAATTTAAGTACTAATTTTTCTCACTTATAATATAATATTATCATTATTGGTTCAAACTTAAAAATTGCTTTCGAGGACGAAATTATTTAGAGCTATTTCCGAATTTTTTTAAAGTTTATACAAAAATTCAAAATCATAATTTTTGAATTGACTGCAAAATCGAAATATTCATTTAATAATTGTTTATTAGTTGACCTTTTAATTGATTTTATGAAATTGTTAAGCTTTTCAAAATCCTATCTGATACATTTTAAATTATTATTGTTCTGCATTTGCTTTACTACTTCAATTCTCTAGACGTTAATTAAGTTTTAAAAATCCATTTGAAAATGCGCTAAACTTGCGAATTTCCCTCAATGAACTGGTTAGTTGAAAAAAGTGAAACGATAACAATTGGACCAAGCAAAGTAGAGATCAGAGAGAGAGAGAGAGAGAGAAAGGGAGAGAGGAGACGTCAAATAATGGTGACATTTGATGGGAGTTAGGAAGATGTGAAGTGAACAAACGAACAAACATGATAGGATGACGACGGTGAAGTGCTATATGATGATGGTTACGGTAACTTTTATTTTCATTTCATTGCTGAAAAATTTTAGTTGAAAGAAAAAAAAAATGAATAAATAGAAAGAAAAAAGAAAAGAGAAAAAGTTGAATAAAGCTTATTGAGAAAAGAAGGAGAGATTGTTTTTTTTTTAAAAAAAAGCATTAGTTATGTTAAAAAAGAGATTTTTAATAATTTTCAATAAGCTGAAAATGTGAACAATTTGAGGTATTGCAAATAGAAATTTAAAATAGTTAAATTCTTTTGTTAAATCAATTCATTTGAGAAATTTTATCTATTTAAATGATTTTTTTTTTCTTTCTTTTTTTTTTTAATACCTACAATATCAATCATTAAAATCTACAATACATTTGAAATTTATCAAATTCACTTTTTCTTTTTCCTTTTTTTAAAACAATCATTCTTTCTTACACATGACTTGCAAATATTTTTTTCGAAACTTTTAAAGAGAAAAGTTTTTTTTTTTTTTTTTCTGTAGCAGGATAAAAATAAATTATTTTATAAGTGTATTTTTTTTTTTTTTTTTTTGTATTTTTTTCCTCTGCCATACAATTTTCATAAAAATTCTTCTTCGAGAAAATGCTAATTTTTCCCTTTTAAAATATTTGAATATAGAAAGAAGAGAGTTATTTAAAATTGCTGATTTCATTCTTTGACTATTTCGGTTATGAAGATCAAAATTGTATGGCAGGGAAAAGTTAATATTAATAATGCCAAAGTATGAAAAAGAATCAGGTTAAATAATTTATAGAATTTGTGGGCATTTTAATTAATTACCTTATTTTCTCGTTGGATTTCTTTTCTTTTCAAAACAAATTTAATTAGATAAAAATTGGAAATGAAGTGTATAGATGATTTTGAGGAATTTTGGACTAAATTATAAATAACAAAAAAAGGTTAAACAGATGATTGTTTCACTTCTAAGGATACATATATGCCTATAATAATGGACAAAATATGTATTAAAATAAATTGAAAATAAATTAAATCCGTTAAGCATAGTATATTTCATAGTGTTTTATTCATATATGCACATAATTACATATAATTTTAGTCTATTAAATGTAATTAGTGTTAATTTACAATGTTAATAATTGGACATTAATTTGTAAAACAATCTTAAATGTCTTCTTTAGCTAAAAAATTTAAAAAAAATTTTTTTTTTTCTGAAACTCTTTTATTACTTAACATAATAGTTTTAACATCAATATATCGTCTATAAAACATTAATGAAACTAAAAATTTTTCAATCATGATAAAAGAAAAAAAATTGTCAGAAGAGAAGGATTAGGAGGTTTTGTCTTTTTTTTTTATCATGATTTTTCTTTTCTTTTTTTTATCATGATTTTTCTTTTCTTTTTTTTATCATGATTTTTCTTTTCTTTTTTTTTATCATGATTTTTCTTCTCTTTTTTTTTTTTTTTTTTTTTTCTGTTTTATCATTTTGTTATCCTTTGTACAAAAATGTCTGATTTGGTTTTGGAAGAAAGGAGAGGAGAGATATATGCATAATACCATTTTTTCTTTTTTTTTTCTTTTTTGTATGGAGAGAGGAGAGTCAAACATAAAATAAGGGAATAGGGAGAGAGAGAGAGAGAGAGAGAGAGAGACGATTGTGATCAGATAGGCATTATCAATCGACATCGCATGCATTGTTGATGATCGGTTGCTCTCTTGATGAGGTGAATGCTTGAAATTATTGCAGTTTTCATTGCATTTTTGTGGGTAAACCCAAAAACTTAGTAAAGAAGATAGAATGGGTATCTTTTACATTTGGGTAAATTGAAAATAGAGTTGTATAAAATGTGTTATAATATAATTCTTGACATATTTTAGATACTTGTATAAAGTATCTAAAATGAAACAGCAAATGAATTTTTCGGTCATTAATGATCAAATATGATAAATGATCTATATTGATTTACTTTATGCTATCTGTGAATAAGTTTCAGTGATGAAAAAGAAAAAAAAAATAACTAATGCTAAATAAAAGCAATTTGTTTACTGAGAAACACATATACAACATTTTTTTGTCTTTGTTGAATATATTACATTAAAAGGGAAAAAAGTGATATGATAAAAGAAAAACACCGTGTATTTTATCCTTGAGGTAAAAACTAAAAAATTAAAATAATGCTTCAGTGGGAGAAATTTCAGGTATTTCACTTGAAATGTCGTAGTGGGTAAATTCGAAATATCATTGTAAAAGAAATCCGAGTACTTACTTGAAGAAGCTCAAATTTTTTAGTGGAAAATTTTCGAATTACTTTATTGGAAGAAATCCAAAGTTACATTAAACTTAATTTATAGTTGCAAAATACCACAATAAAACTTATAAAAATTGTTTTTATTAATCAAATGAATCAATTGATTTCGATTCCACTTCATATTTTATTTTTTCAAAAGTTATTAACAATTATTGATGTAAATTCACATTGTATCAATAACTTAATATTATTTTCATCTTAAATTTTTATGTTTATTTATTTTATTTCATTAGCATGGTGACGAAGATATCGAATGATTCCTGTCATTAATAAATTTGATGTAAAGTTGCTTTTGAATTAAAATTCAGAATTTACTCGTACTTCCCTTTCATTATTTGTTTAACAAAACATTTCCTTCAAATAATATCACGAAATTTCAATGAAGATCAAAAAGGAAACAATACAATTTTAAAGTGGAAAAAAACCTTTATATAATGGTTATTTCATTGCAATTTTAAAATAAAATAATTATACATAATTTATTAGTCTCTCTAAAATTTACACAAAATTTTTCCCCTAAAAAAAAAGAGGAGATTCTTCTTTAAAATTTCTTTTTAATCATGGATGAAATCATTTATTCATTATGGAAATAAAATGAGAAAGATTAGGGCAAATGGTTTTAGCTTTATCGTCCAAAACACCTGCTTCCGGGAAAGTTTAAATGAAATAATATTTGTTATCACTCCTAGCTTAAAAGTTTATTTAATTTGCAATTTTGAAAACTGAAAATATTTTTGCATAATTTATTGATTTTGTTAAGATTTGTTCAGAAAAATATTTTTAGAGGAAAAAAAAATTTTTGTTTTTATTTTATTTTATTTTTTTTTTTTCTAAGGAAGGGAAATATTCTATAGAAGAATTAAATGTGAATGACTAAAGCAATTCGTTGTTGTTTTGCCCCAATTTAAACACCTGCTGGGGAAAGCTTAAGTGGAAATGATAATTATTTTCTTGCATTTCTTCATTCCCTTGCTCTAAGCTATTAATCTTGAATTTGCGAGATAGAAACGTAAATTGATTGAAACAGCCCTGAAGCGACCATTTGATTGACGGATAGCTTAAATTTACTAAAGCTTTCATTTTGTTCTACATTCACTCGAAAACGACCACTTTAAGAAAATGTTTATCACATTTCAATCGATTCCTCTTCTTCTTCATTCATTTTCCTCTGATATTTTAATAGCATCATCATTATCAACATTATCATCATTATCATTACTGTGCTATCATTAAATCTATAACAAAAATTTGAATATTTGAGAAAATAAAATTCAATCAGAAATACATATTTTTTTCCTCTCCTAAATTGACTTTTTTTTTGAATTTTATGTAATTTTTGATATTTTTCACCAACCACCCTAAGACACCTCATAATACTTTTCACTGCTTGATCTTAGAAAAATTTTTAAATTGTTTATTTTTTATTTATTTATTTTTTTTTAGGAAAAATATTTCATTTCCTTCTTTTTGCCATTTTTGAAAATTTGGTTTAGATGATTGCATGGAGATGAACATATTAACTGATAAATAATTCATAGGAAAATAGACATACGTATATTTTTGCTAACTGAATTTAATTTATTAAATTGATTTTTTTTTTAATTTTCATCTTTTTTACTATTTATTCTATTTGGTATTAGAATTTTCCGTTTTTTTTTTTTTGTCATTTAAAAGAAATATTTTTATTTAGTACTTTAATAAAATACAATGAAAAAAATAAGAGATAGAAATAATTTGAGAGTGTTATTTCTCACTGAAGGAGAAAATATTCTCACTTCTAGAAGTGGAGAAGCATCATTGGCGCTATTGTCATAGATAAGTAGTAGCAACTGGAAGCGAAAAGCTTAAGCTTTATATTTACCAATGGGATTAGTACCATTTTGTTAAGCACTTCAGATAACGATGATTGGAAATATAATGCTTCTCCTACTAACATTTGGATTAGTAAATTTGGAAAAGGGATAGAATTTTAAAATCAACATTAAGAATTATTTCTTATTTCTACCTTTCTCTCTTCTCTCTCTCTCCCTCTCTCTCCCTTTGTCTCTCAATGAATTGTAATAGGTGGATCAGAAAAAAGTGGTAAATGTTATCGATTGGAAATATCAATACTATAAATTGAATTGATTATATTAATATTATGAAGATATTATCTCCTTATAAATTTTGATTGTAATATTTTTGAATTCTTCAATATCAATCTTTTCACTATTAGCATTTATGATAAGATCAACAACTATTTGAGTGAAATAACAAAAAGCTAATCAAGCAAAAGTTATTTATTGCTTGTATTATTTAAGCTAAGCATTTTCAATAGAGCACTAATTACACTTTTATATTTCATCTTGTCTTATCTTCCATATAATTTCATTTTCATTATTTTAAAAGATAATTTGAAGTTAATAATTTACTGAAAAGTTTTCTATCATTTCGACGATATTCCTTACATAATTTAAGATTTACATCAGAATGTTCAAATTATATGAGATAATATTTAAGTTTTACATTTATATCAAAACTTTATTATCATTATTTTTTTTTAACTAAATCTATTCGTTTAGTGTATTTCAAAAATGAGGAAACGGAGGGGAAAAAAAAACTGAAAGGAAAAATGAATGAAACATTTGCTTTACTACAGCAACATACTTTGTTCTTGTTGCTAATGCAATAAAATTTCGAAAAAGCACGAAAAAAAAAAACTTTAAAAATGTATCACAGTATACTTAAAAAATGATGAAAATGATTTTATCTGAAAACAAATTTAAAGTTAAAATTAGTAAAAAGAAATAAACAGATTAAAAAAAAATAATTGCAAATTTAAAATCTAAAAATTATTCGCATTGTTCAAATCTAAGCATTATGCATTAAGAATGAAAAAAATAAACAAAAAAATTTCAGGAAAAAGAAACAAATTAATTTTGCTTTCATTGTGAGATAAAATTGTTGGAATTTACCAAATCATTTCAAAAATGTTACATTCCTACTAAAAGATAAGAACAGTTATGTTGATTTGATAAGAATCACTTACTCACTTGATATCAACTGTTAAACATTAAAGAATTAATGATAGATGGATATCAGTCGATCTGTTGACGACAAATTATTTGTTCGGAAAATGTCAAATAATTCCTTTCGGACAGCAATTGTTATAAAGGTAAGAAGACATGATGAAATTGTTGTAAACAAGTAATTAATTTAATTTTTAGATGAATAAAGTAATTCTACAATTGTAGTCATTTAAGTAAGTAAAAATGAAATAATTAGTGTTTTTCAAATTAATAAAAATTTTTGTAATCGTTTAGAATTGCTAAAGTATTTGACATTATGTTTATTCAATAGATTAGTGTTATTTTAATCGTTTAGTGTACAAAATTCAACTGATAATATTGAGTTAAAATTGAAGAATTAAGAGAAAATAGTGATAAAAATAAAGAAACATTGAAATTTCATGAAAAACTTTTTCTAAATAAAATCAAATTTCAGAAAAATGAATTATATCTAATCATCAAATTATGTGTAAAATTATTCCGCAATGTAGCAAAGGTAAAAATATTATTAGCTGATAAATTGAGAAATGATCTCTTAAATAATCATTTTTATCAGCTAAGATATAGTCATACAAACAATTCGCAGCAAATTCAAAAACTTAAAAAAAAAAACTTTGCTAACGGTTCTGAAAAAAAAAAAAAAACTTTTAAAATAATCAGTAAAAATGATGAATTCTACAAAAAAGATAAAATATATTAAAACTTGTTAGTTGAGAGTTCAATTAAATTTTATCAGTAGAGAAAAAAGAATTCATTTGCTTTTAGCGTTATAAAATTATAAACTTACCAAAATAAATTCTACGTCTTCTTTCTCAAGACCTTTGAAATCATCCAAACGTGTTTTGCGTAAACTTTGAATATCTTTGAAATGCCGCCATGCATAATCTTCTAGCAATGAATCAATATCGACATAACTTTGCGCCATTTATTTGATCGAGATTAGTAAGTTGATCTAATTTTAGCTTTAATTACAGAAATGCAATATTAATTAAGTGTAATAATAATCAATTGCAATATTTTGATAATACGTAGTAAAATTTCACATATTTTATCTCAGAGGTAATTAGTTCATTGAGATTAATTCTGATTAAATATAAAATAAAACTGACGTACTATATCTTGTGATATTTCTCGATATAAAAACAATTACACGTTTCACGTAACATCGATAAATTAAGATTTCTTATAGTCACAGTAATACACTTTGTACATTTTTGTATACTATCGATGCAATGATAAACGATCGAATTATTATGGGAAAAAATATTTAATAGTTGAATGAAACAAAAATTTCATTAATAATTATTATCATTTTATATTAAACGTGGAACTTAGCTTACTATATACAAACGTAAAACTTGATATACACGTAATAAGTTAGGATTCAGGTTACGTCTACTGACTAAAGTTATATTTTTAAAGAAATGAAAAAGTTCAAAATTCATTTCAGCTACTAATTAATGATGTAAATTTACTGCAACAAAAGAGAGAAATTGAATCGGCTTGTCAAATATACTGTCAAATTTATAAGATTTAAACTTGAAGCATTTCTAAATGAGATTAAATCTAATTCGATCAGATCTAATTCGATCAAGTCTGATTCGATCTAAATAATATGAATTGGGATAGTCGAAGCAATAGCAACAGCAGCAATAGCAATAACTAAATGTACACAGAGAGAAGGAGGAGGAGGAGGAAGAGGAAGAGAGAGGGAGGTCTGTTCTGTTTTCGTAGATCGGATAGCTGATAGATTATTTTTCGTGTCGCCGATGTCATCATCATTGTCATTGTCATCGTATGTCGTCTCCATGCTGTGTGCTCCGTCTTTGATGATGACATACTTTCCGGTTGTCTTAGTGCATTTTCAAAATTTTAAACCTGAAATGAAAGGTCAAATTTTTTAAGCCGGAAATGATCTATTCTTTGCTAATCAATTGAGGGATAACCGAAAATTTCCATAGCTTCCTAGAAAAATATCAGGAAATAAAAGGATAACAAATTGGTAGCTCTATTTGTGAAAGATTTGAAAACTAGTATTAGAAAACATTCCGGATGATTATAATCCGGAAATGAACAGGAATAATTTGATAGAATTTTCCTGAATAAGACTTTATCGTATATGTTTCTTCATTTTGTTTTAACTCATATCTCGATGGTTATAAATTAAGCGAAAGAGTAAATTATGGATTGGGAAAATAAAGACAAAATCAAATAAGTTAATTGATAATTCAATAATTCATTCATTAATTAAGATCTTAGTTTAAATTTTAAAATGAAAATAGTTTTTTGAAGGAAGAAATTTTATTATGTTGCAATTGTACATATTTAAATGGATGAATAAATAAGTAAATAAATAAATAGATTTATGTAAAGAGAAAAACTAAAACTTTGCTAATTATAATTTGAGTTTTTAAGCATTAAGTAAATTTATTGATCTATCAAATAACATTTTCATTTGCAAATTTTGTTTTTACTGAATCATTTACCATAATATTAAGTTAAAAATAAGAAAAATCATTATACTAATTATACTGAAATTCATCAAAAATAAATCAGAAATCTTTTTTCTAACTTTATTTTTTTGCAATTTCTTTTCTTTTTCTTTCAAATCTCTATCATTCTTTTTAAGTTCTTAATTACCTTCATCGTAATTATCGGAAAGTTCGATATTTACATAATGATTTCATCTAACTGATTAAGTTGACCTTTCTATTTCTATGATTCATATTTCCAGCTAATAAAATACAAAGATTTTTTTCATCCTTTGAGAAGAACATCTTCACTAAACTGTGATCTTTATAGAATGAGTAATACTATGTTAGCTAATCAATAATGATTAATGCTTAATCAATGCTTAAGGATATTTACTTACGTTTAAAATATAATCAACATATCGATTATCGATCTATCATTACTTCATGATTCTCTGTTAGTCATAACTATTTGAGAAAAATTCCGTAAGAGCGCACTTTTATGTGTTTGAAATCTATATCATGAATTTAAAAAATTCCATTCTAGATTATATCAATTTCTAAATAATTTACATAATATGTGAAATTGATGAATTTTAATTTTATTGATCATATCTTTAAATTCTTTTCAAATTTCTCATCCTCATTTAATATTTTCAGCATGAAAATTGAATTCTTTTTTTTATCATAACCTATAATCAATACCGTATACCATCGATGATTCGTGTTTTCCTTTTCTTTTTTTATCGCAATGAGAAGAATCGGAAAAACAAATGAATATGAATGAATGAAAATTGTCAATTATAATTTACCGGATGATGACATCATCGTTTCATAAAATATTACAATGATTCATCGAAAGATGGAAGCTAATTTTTATTTTATCCTCATTTTAAATTAAACATTCTATGAATTTTATAAAGTTTATATACTTTAACAAATTTCTTGGTTCAATCTCTTCCGGAAAATCAAAATCATTGAACAATACCATGAATGCATTCAATTTATTAAAAGTATTTCAACTTTTCATCCAGCAATAACTTTGAACTACAAATATATGTTCTTATTATTTGATTAAATCAGTAATGTCCAGTCACTATATGGAAATGTTAAATTGAATTGAAATTTTCTATGATATAATTCTATCGGAGATATAATCGTATAAAATGTTGCAATTTGAGTATAATTTTAGTTTTCAGGAAAAATATAATTTTCAGGAAAAGTATAACTTTCAGCAGTAATATTCAACATATATCCTAATAAAAAAAAAATTAATAATTAACAGAAATTTCTCATATGTTTCCAAAATTTTAGCTTGCAACTAAATTTATTCCATTCATTGCTTTCTTTTTTATTTTTAGATTAAAATTTATTTATGAGAAACATACTGATCTCATCAATTAATCCATTTTATCATATCACTAACTCATATACTTAAGGAAACTGATTAACAATTTTATTCCTCAATAAATAAATCTGATAAATTATCTTACAGAATACATTCACTCCTAATTTCTGCAACTCTGGAGTTAATTTTAAAAACTTATAACAAAGAAATAATAGCAAAAATGAAATTAAATCAATACCAATTAACATTACCGTATCCAAGCATTATCCATTTGTTAATATACATGCACTAAAATTGAAACTATAAAAAATTCTCTTCCAGCAAACACAAAACTATAAATTCAAAGAGGAAGCGCTAATTTACATACAGTAATCCATCCTACAGTATCAATCATCACAGGATACGATCATCATAATTATTTCATCAAATCTTACATTTTCAAAATATCTTCTTCAGATTACTCATAAACTTCGTCATCTGTGCCAAACACACATTATAATCTACAACATTTGTCAAATTGTATGCTTTACTAATTATACAAATCCAAAATATAAATATCACAAAAATATTGAAAACAAAATTTATAAATAACAGAGAAAAAGACCAAAAATAATATCAAAAAAATCACCAATCAATATCAATTGGCAATACACAACTTATAAAAATGCCTAAATGATGTGTTCATGATTTACAAAAATTTGCCAAAATCTATTTAGCACATAATGTTAACAATTTTAAATGAAAATGCTGATAATAGTATTCAACAATAGCATTTATTATCTATTAGCAAAAAGAATGATTGATACTGCTGCAGAAAATTCTAGAAAATAGTATCATAAATAACATTAATTAAGATCATATCTCAGATTTCTTTTTTTTTTCTTTCTGAGAAAAAAAAAAAAAAGATAATCTGCATTAGAGAGATTTCGAATCTTTAATAATTTTCATATATTTATAATATGTTAAACAGCAGTAAAATATTTCAGAATTTGAGAGAGCAGATTTTGAACCATCCATATATTTAATTTCTTTTTAAAAGTAGTATTATACACCAAAATCAAACAAAAAAAGCTTTGCTAATCTTTGAAAAAATTTGCCAGCATAAATACAACGATATACTGGTTGATCAGTATTAAATTTAAAGTAAATAAATGAAATATTGCAGATTTATAGTCCAACTTCTCCTTTCCAACAATATTAAGAATGTTGTCGATGAAATAACAACGAAAATTTTCAAAAGGTTTGAAATTCAAGCAGAAAAAGATTATTATTTCTAATTTTTTATCATAATCTTCGAGCGCATACTCGCGGAAACCATCCTCTAATTATAATTTTTTCTTTTTCCTGTTCCGTAGCTTTCTGCCCATCCAGTAAAGCACCATAAAACCAATGTTTACGGACTCGAGTTACCATCCAAATTTCGCCAATCTTAAAAATCTTTCTTATAGCAGGAAAAGTTTATGATCAAATCTTAATTCACAAACAAAAATTTGATTCTGGAATTCAAAATTTTCATGTGTTGTAAATTAAATTGCAAGTGGAGAATGAACAATAACTTACAATTAGATAACTTTAATAAAAATGAAAACTCACCCTAACCATTTGTCGTATTTCGTCTGACCATGGTTGACAAAACCAAACAGAAATACCAAATTTAAAAGATGTACAATAACCACCCGGGAATTCCCGTATAATTTCAACTTTATGAGCATTATCTCGTTTGTATTTCTTTTGCAACAACTGCTCTTCCTCAAAATATTTTGTTCAAATATGGTAAAAAAAAACAGCAAATTTTGTTATCCGAAAAAAAAAAAAGTTCAAATATCAAAAATACCATTAGAATTAGTAATAAAAATGAATAATCATAAATTAGTTTACTTTCAAAATTATTATGGTACTTATCTTTGAACGAATTATGCAAGAATCTTTGACAATAAGAAGTAATTTGCATGCAACATTTAATATAACTTTAATATTATAACTTTAGTATAAAATGAAAGAAAACCATCTCTTTTCTTTTTGTTTAAAAAAATAAATTCTCTAAATGAAGCAATTAATAATCAAAATGAGCTAAGCCAAAAATGTCATTTCTTTTAGATAAATTGATGAATCCATTTGTTTATGCATAAGTGTCTCCGTATGTGTGTGTCATTTGACAACTAAAGGATGCACCGCCATCACCGCCACTACTAAATCAACCAAACTGTGAATAATAACAATAATAATCTCTTAAATGGCTCGAATTAAAAGCTTTGCTGTGATAGAAGTGAGAGGCATACTTCAAAAGAAGAATGAAGGACATTGAGTCAATGCCTTAATCATCGCAACATAGCAAATATTAAATAATGCATGTATGAATATGTCGCCAATCTTAACTGTCTACTGAGTTTTGAGAATAAACAGGGACTTGAAATTTTCTTTTTACATATCAGGATGAGGGATAATTTTTACTTCAGTTTATACAAAATATTTGCTAATACGGTTTAGGAAAAATTCATTTTCTTTTCATAATTATTTTGCATAACAGTAACATTTAAAAGAAAATAAACCTCGTCCAAACAATGTCAGAAAATATTTGGTAAAAACTGAAGTAAAAATGTTTACAGATTTTATTTATTTCTTTCTTTCTTTTCTTTTTTTTTTTTTTTTTTTTCAACTCCTTTGGAATTTGTGATAGAATTCGAAATAATTTTCTAAAGTCTAGAAACTTTAATAGAGCACAATTCTTTTTAATATCAATTTTTCTTCCTTTTTCTATGCAGACGCAATGGTTATGGAGAAACAAATTTCTCCTAATCAGCTTCAGATATTTAATACTACATATTCAAATATTCACTTGATAATTTTATTCAAATATTTACTTGATGTTATTTTACTTCTTTAGAGGAATTAATTAGATTTAATATCATCTTGGACTGAAAAAATTCAAGATAGTAAGCTTGAAGCGTTGATTTAGAAAGGCACTAATACGTAAAAGTGTTCTGAGATGTACCAGAAAAATTCTATTGACTGAATTTTTTGTTTTCAGCAAAAACTGAAGTGGAATTATAGTTATGGTAGTTATATGAAAGAAATTCTTAGCAAAAAAAAAAAATAACGAATACAAGATCCTTTGAAAAAAAAAAGTAACATATATTTAGGAAAAACGTAACCCAACTTTTATTATTAGAAAAATGACAAAGACCACCTAGAATAATTTATTCCTATAAAACATAAAGAAAATGGGCTATATTCAAACAGTTTTCCTAAATCATTTTCGATTTTATATTTATAATTAGTTCAAAAAAAAAAATTTTCTGCTTTAAAATAACGAACCGAAAGTGTAAACTGTGTAGTTGGATGTATAACAGGCCACCAAATTCCATTTCCTTTTGGCATACCATCCCATGTTAATAACACATCAGAAATATTACGTCGCCAACCCAAATCGTACGGATAGATAAATGCAGCATTTCGTTCACGTGCGTTTGCTTTATCAACTGCAACAAGTATGAATGCCATAATTATTTGATGTTAACATTTAAAAATTTTATACTATATATTTCACTCAGAAGTTAACTCGTCTGCAATTGATGTGTATTAATACATCTTATAATAATTTCTCATTTAACAATTTCAGAAAAAAATTAAATATTAGTAAAGAGTTGTTTGAAATCGTTTCAACAATTATTACCGATATAATCTTCAATACCAGTACGATTCCGAATTATACCTCGAATCTGTATACCTAATAAAAAACCGACTGAAATTATGACACCTAATGTAAGACCAAATGCAAATATAACAAAAATAAATGAATATAATGATAAAATAATCATTTCATTGCTACCACCATAATTGTAATACCACACCTGAAATTGTGAATATAAATAAGTTTAGCAAAGGATTAATTTCGAAACTTTCAGTCGACCGATAAAAATATATTTCATAAACAGCATACTTCTTCTAAATAGAGGTCACCAATAAACTAGGAAGACCTGTTAACAATAACTTTCAATCAAAAATCATAGAATTCATGCATTCTTAAAGACTCTAATTATAAAAGCAAAAAAACTGGAAAATGTTCAAAAAAAAAGGAAAAAAAAATCAAGAATACACAAAATGAATAGCTCAGAAAACATCAATATCATGAATAATATCTCACCACAAGCAAATAAATGCTAATCAATATTAGCTGAACGTAACTTATCACAATAGAGTGCTTTCTGATTATCAAAAATTTTCTTTTTTTTTGCGAATTATATTTGTGGAAACAAAAAAGCAGCAAAACCACAACATGGGTAACTACAATTACGCATGGATATTAGATAACTACATTATGCAAAACGAATAACAACAAAAAGAGAGAAGGATAAATTACTTGCGCAAATAGCAGATATGTAAAAAAAAAAAATGAAAACAAAAATTACCCGAAATAAAAAGCGATATAAAGCAAAAGATAGAATTATAGCAGCATGAATGCAACCAAATATTGCTGAGGCAAGAAAACGTACAAATAGTGCATGATTTCGATATCCAACACAGTTATTTATCCATGCTAAAAGTATAATATGTGAAATAAAAAGGAAAGTTGAAAAACTGACAGATAAACATCATCTAGCAAAATAAATACTGAATCTGATCAAACAATTTAAATTACTGTTTAGCTTTTAGTTTCGTTATCTTAATATAACTAAAGAGAAATAGAGGAGCATGATGATTAGGTGAGCCCTATTGGGAATGTTTTTTCTTTTTAAGTATAATTAAAGTTGATAAAATTTTGAATGCAGCCTACTCCTCCTTCAAGATGCGTCCCCTAAGTTTTATAAGCGCAATAAATCCAATTTCTTTTCAAAACAATCAAAAAACATACGGCAATGATGATCCATTTTACAAACGCAGCGACCACATTTTGAGCAGTGATGAGAACGAGGCATCTTAAAGCCATCACATATGCGGCAATATTGTAATCGATCTTCATCCTCCTAAAACTATGAATTCTTGAAATTTTTATTCTTCCACAGTCAAAAATAAAAGTTATCCATAAACAATCCTATTTAGCACTAATTACAGGATGACAGCTGTGCTCATACCTCAAAAGAAGTTAACATATAATTCCACCAATCAAAGCTGTTTTCTTTAATCTGTTCACTGGATATCTACGATTGTGAATAACATGACAAATTGTACTAAAAATGATACATACCTTTCTCGGTGGTTTCCAATTATATGGAGCATATCCTGGACCAAAGAATGATGATCTGCTAAGATTAATTAGAGTTAGATAATTGAATAGTAGGAAAAGTGAGAGATGCAAGAATGAAGTTATTGTTGTTAAAGGCCACCACTGCAAATGCACATATGTTGTAGCAGTTCCAATCTAAAAGAAAAATTCGAGTTATGAGTTTAAATACATATTGTGCGTAATTGAGGCAAAAATTAGAAACTAGAACAATTCAAAATTTAAAGAATCGAAAAATTGAAAGGTAACAACAAAACAGTAGGTTAAAATTTTATAAATCTTCATGAATCATTGCACAAACAGTGATTGGAACATACAGTTAATGTTATGCAAATCACTGCCAGTGGACCCCAATGGAATAATCTTCGAGTCATCGTTTTTCCCAAATCTCTCTTCATATCATAAGCATTACCATTATCCCAGTCTGGAGCTTCGATAATTTGGTCTGCAAAGAACAAATCATTATCGTTTGAAATAAGAATAATCATATAAAATTAACTAAAAGAGCTAATTCCTTCATAAGGTTACAATAATAATAAATTACACCTTGTTAGTAGCAGTTACTGATAAAACTTTACGTAAGACAGACCGAAAATTCAGTACAATAACCTATGAAAAAATTAAATGAAGAATATCATAAGTCATATTATCACTTCACTTCAAAATTCATAAGGAATAGTGCCAAAAATTCATAGGAAAAGTCCAAGTATACATTCTCGAGCAAAAAAAAAAAAAAAGATTGAATACCATTAACCTAGTTTTCTAAATTTTTAAAATATAGAAAAAAAAAGAAAATCGAAAGATTAAACTTACATTCAGCCACAGACAAATTCACACAATCATGATTATTAACATCCAATTCATGACTATTTACTTTTCGATGCCTTAAAACCATCATTATTTGTGCATCAGATTATTCAAGCTATCAATAGTATCCCTTCAAAATACGTCTTTCTTAAACCACAACCTGCAATTAGACATTAACAAACTACAAAATTTATCCTTTAAATCCTCTTTTTCCTTTCATTCAATTAAGTAATAAGCACCTGATCAGTCAGATATTTGATAAAACCTAGTTTTTTTTTTTTTCAAATCACGTAACTAGCTTAATCAATCGAACTATTTTGATAACATTAACAAATCGAAGAATAAATATTGTAAAATTATGCAAAGGAAAAAAAAAGCAAAGCAAATGTCGGACAATATTTTTGGGTAAACTATTAAGTTACACATAAAACTATCAGTAGTGAAAAACACCAAATAAAAAGTAAACTTCTGTTCTTTTCTTTTTTTCGTTAACTTACAGGAAAAAAAAAACGACGTGAATGTTTAACAGTACCTTTGCATCAAATATTATAATACATAAAAGAAGATACCTCTTTTTTCTTCAGTTCTATTTCTGAAAAAGCACTAATACTATAGCCACGTTACACGTAACAACCATCACGCATTGTCACTTTCCCGAACTTGAAAAGAAGCCACCGCGATATGATTATCGGTGCCCACTAATAGAAACACTGGTGAATGACCGGTAACGGTATTTCACCGTTGGCCGGTGCAATGTAATGCAGGAGTGAACGACAGCAGAAGTTCATGGGACTGAGGGGTCTCGGAGGTTTCGCGGTGTTTGAGAGATTCAGTAGTCCGTACACCACGAAGTCCTCGAAACTTCACGGTGTTTGAGAGACTCAGATGATATACAGACTACGAAATCTTCGAGACTTCGCGGTATTTGAGGGATTCAGTTAATCCATAAACTGATAGCATATTGCTGAATAATGTAAATTATACTTAGGTATACAGAAGCTCGCATATATTTTCTGAAATATTTCATCTTTGCATAGACAGGATTAATTCTTCATCCAGTACGGACAATAGTATTCACGTGAGTAACACGTATCAATTATTACGTAAATGACATCAATTATATTTATAATCTATAGCTAAAACATAGATTATTTTGTTGTTTTGTTTTTTGTTTTTTGTTTTTTTCTAACACTTAAAGCTATGATAAAAATTCAGGGTGAAAGTTCACGGACCATTTGATCATTTTCATTTTTTTTTTTCTCTTTTTGTTACATTAGCAAATAGATGATAACACCATATACGGAGAATTAAAATATTGATGACACGATGAGTGCAATTAATAAAAGGTTTATTTCAATTAGACCATTTTTCGCTATTAGATTTCATTTGAACTAAAAATTATAATTCATTTAATTTAAAATTTCACATGAATAAGTGATATTTTAACCAATTCTAGCTTTTTTTCCCATCAAAATTAAAAATATTGTATGCATTTTGATTTGCATTGTAAACTTTTTGAAGTTTGTTTATTTCGATTATACTTGATGTCTTCTCTGCAATTTAGTAACTATATAAAAGTCTATTTCGTACATTACAGTAATTACCTTATTTTTTTATTTTATTTTTATTTAATTTAATTTTATGTATGATGTTTTTTGTTATTTAATTTTGATTAATTATTTATAATGAAAAAGACAATATGGAATTTTGATCATTTTTTATTGTTGATTTGTATCTTCAGAAATAAATTAACAAAAGTTAGACTTTAGCTTAGTGATTGTCATAAAATCAGAAGAATGAAAAATTTCCTTTTGATTCAATCAATTTGTTTATAATTCTTTTTTTTTTTTTCTTTCTATTTCATTCCTTTTCCTTCACTCATTTCTAATGATTGCAAATTAAATTTTTAAAATTATTTTTATTTTGCTTTAAACATAAATAAATTAAACTGAATTTGTCGCATTGAAATTATGGAAATGTTGATGAATATGCCAATAAATTTTAAAAATAATTTTAAAAATTAAAATGATTTCAGAAATACTTCAGAGAACCGATCAACTTTCTAATTTTGATTCTAGATTTTCAACTCCTGACTACGCATTTTATGCTACAAGTAGATATGAAACTTGGATAAATCACTCGAACTTTTTTTCTATTATTATTAAATTTTGAGTTTTCAAATCTTCATCATTTTTTTTTTTCTTTATTTTCTTATAAAGTATTCCACAGATGTCACTTAAGAAATAATTCAATCGATTATATTTTGAATAAAAACAAACTGCAAAGACTTTTTTCTCATATAATATAATCAAAGAGTAATGATACTATAATGCTAATACTATGGGGAAAATTTCAATTCCAAACTGCTTCTTCTAATCAATGAATTATTTTATAGGATATATCAGGGATGAAAATTCATAATTCAATCTATTTTTTTTTCTCTTTCTCTCCTTTTTTTTTTCCTTTTCCATTATCAGTTATAAAGTTCAATTAATTAATTAACTAATTAATAATAAAAATAACTGAATAATATCTTCTTGCTCCATGTATTTTTTGTATGAAAAAATGTGTAACACACATAAATATGAAATATTTATTTATTCCGCACCATTTATTTTCTTGATTAATTAATTAATTAATTAACAATAATAAAGCTAAACAGCTAAAAGATCTCTCTTTTTCATAGATTTTTTTTTTTCAATGTAATACATAGATAATGGAAATATTTTTTAATCTAATTACTTCATGCGTACACACACACACAGACAGACAGACGGACAGACAGACAATTTACAGTGTGACAAATTGAAGAGAATTTGCATTACTGAATGAATTTTCCGGAATTTGCATTACTGAATGAATTTTCCGGAATGATATTATTTCCAAAAACAGAAATAAAAGTGACAAAAAAAAGAAGAAAAAAAAAAAAATTGGTTGTCGATCGGAGCTTTAAATAATCATTTGTCTTAAATTATTATCTATTATTAATTATCATACTGATATTAGTAATCAGATAATTTGATATAAAATAGATGTTTTTTTTTTTTTTTTTTGCCTAAATTGTATGATTCGAAAATAATTTAATTTTAAGTTTTAAAACTTTTTAAGATTTTAAAGCATCTAAAATTTTTTAGCAAATATTTACAATTTAGGTTGTGAATTTTTATTCATTTTGTCCGATCGACATTACATGTTATGCATGTACATATACGATTTCATTTGCTTCTCGAATTGCTTATTTGAAGCGCAATTCTAGTTCATTCACGATAGGAATGATTATTAAAGAAGCTATTATCAACATTATCACTGATAATGTATAATGGACAAATTATTTATCACACAATTTAAAATTTGAATGAAATTTATAAAAATTTAGTAAAACTTACGATCAAAATTCTAAGCATTGTGTTTTATAAAAAAAAAAAAAGGTTAAATTCGAGAAAAAAGGAAGCAGTCTTTTAAAACAATTTTTTTATTAATTTTGAATGGTTTTCTTTTTTTTTTTTTTCCTCTCATCAATCATACTTTTGATTTTTAAACTGTTCTTTAATCTTCGTAATTTTAAACTTTAAACTGTTTTAAAAATAGTTGCATAAATTTTTGAAATTGCAAGAATGAAAGAATAGTTTAAAAGTTTTTCAAAATTATTTCATGAAATGTATCAAACTGTATACCATTTTTTTCTTCACACATAACGCACTTCACCTTTTTTAATATTCCAAAACAGTAAAAAAATAAAATCGAGTCCAATTTGCATGCTAAACCGGGAATATTTCCGGAAAAAGAATTCAAGTAAAGCTTTCACATTTCGTATGACATTTGAAAATTTAAAGTGTAGTCTTGCAAAGATTTTCAAAAACAATTTTGTAGAGAGAAAATAAAATACGTAAAATTTTCTTTTAGTTCAGAGAATTGAATTCCAAAAGGAAAAAATTTGCCCTGAACAGTACATATTCTTTTGCTTTTGCCCTTTTTTTTTTTTTTTTTTTTGATTGTAAATTGAAAAATTCAGGAAGAATCGGCTATGAATGAAATACCGGAATGTTTTTTTCTTATAAACCGGAACAGGAAATCTCAATCACTACAATATGGTATAAATTCTCTTTTGTTTTTTTTTTCTTGTCTATCTAAAACTGTGCGTTCAATTAATGCTTGCTATGTGCTATGCATGCTGCAAATAAGTGAAATTGATGTGCTATCCGGAAAAAGTGCCCTCATCCGGAATGATAAAAAGTTTAAAACTAGCAAAAAAAAAAAAAAAGGAACAGTAATCTAAATGAAAATCTATTGCATCTTGCGCCAAGAAGCATGCGTTAAAACTTTAATTTTTCTTTGCTATTTGAATAAATCAAAAAATTTTGAAATTTGCAAAAAATTTTTTAGAATTAAAATTTTTAAACTAATTAAAACAAAATATTTCATTTTTACGATTTAAAAATAATTTGCATATACTTTTCAAAATATTTCAAATAGCAACTTCTTTAACAAATAACTCCAATTGGTCTCAATTACCTGAAATAATAAAGCCAAGCCAAATTATTATTATTTTTTTTGTTTTTGTTTTTGTTTTTTTTTGATATCAATCAATCCAGAAATTAAATTGTTTGAAATAAATGTAAACAATCAAAAAATGCGCATCAAATTATTTTACTTCAACAAAAAAAAAAAAATCAAACTGATAATATAATGGGAAAAGAAAAAAAAAATCAAGGCTAATTTTTTTTTTTTTTTTCATTGTTCTTTTAAATTTCAAAGAAAAAAAAAAGAAAAAAAAAGGAGAAGAAAACAAAAATAGAATTATGATATCATAAATGAAGCAAAGCAGTGCATAGAAAATTATTTTATGATAAAAGTGCCTCAACCAAATGTGATAAAATTATCAAATTAGTGTGTGGTGCAAGTGAAATCAACGATGGAAATGAACGAAAATTAGTTTAACACATATTAATTAATTAATTAACCAACTAATTAATTATTTGATGCATTTTAATTAATTACCGAAAAGGATAAGGGTTGAATGATGACAATTATGATGTTATATATATATATATATATCTATACGCATATTTATATATGTATATATGAGTAATTAGGCTATTTTTAATCGAAATAATTAGATAAGCTACTAATTGATTATTTGATTGATAAAGTAATTAAGCAATTAATTCAATTACTAATTGATTGCTTGATTGATAAAGTAATCAGATAATTGATTTAAATACTAATTGATTATTTGATGATAAAGTAATTAATTCAATTACTAATTGATTACTTGATTGATAAAGTAATCGGATAATTGATTGAATTACTAATTAATTATTTGATTGCTAAAGTGATTAGATAATTGATTCAAGTACTAATTGATTATTTGATCGATAAAATTTTAATGAGTAATAATAAAAAGAAATATCATTTGGATTATAAAGAAAATCGGATTATATTGAAATAACAGTTTGGCACTTTTTTTAACAGCTAAAAAACAATTTAGGAAAAAAAAAAAAAAAAAAGAGTAAATTTTAATTGAGAATTGTTATCGCTGTTGTTTTCATAAAATTTTTAATTGACAGTATGACTTGAGCGTTGAATATGCGATGCACGTTCCTGAAATTGGGAAAAAAATTCTTTTTTGCTTTTTTAAGTAATAAATAAAATTTCAAATCTTATTTATTATATTGTAATTTTAGTGCAAAAAGAAAAAAAAATGGTTAAGTAAGAAAGAAATCAAATCAATTGTCATATTAAAGTTTCATATTTAAACAATAAAGTAATTAATTGAGTTAATTTCATATTTAAACAATAAAGTAATTAATTGAGTTAATTTCATATTTAAACAATAAAGTAATTAATTGAGTTAATTTCATATTTAAACAATAAAGTGATTAATTGAGTTAAAAATTAATTTCATTTTTTTTTCTCTAAATTTGTATTTAATTTCGAATCGATGAATAATAATAGTTGAAGTTAATAAATTAATTGCTATTTGTATTAATTATAAAATTCAAACAATCACCTCTCCCTCTTTATTAAAGAGAATGGTTTGTACATTAGAGCCAATTCCGAATGATTCTTCCGCATCAAAGACTAACTGATCCGGTGGATTGTATATTCCTTGGCCACGAGCCCAGATCTAAAATTGATAAATTTCCGGTTAATGAGATAATTTGAAGTTAATTAATTAGATTTCATATAGAAAATATACATTATATTTATTACCAGATTGCATAAAATATTTCTAGGTTTTAAAAAATTTATTAAATTTCAGATATTATTCTATTCCAGTTATTTCGAAATTTAAATATAATTTACAAACAAATTAAAATAATCCAATTTCAGGACTGTTGATAATATTATCTTATTAAACTATACAAAATTATACTTTAAAAAAATTTTTAAAAAAATTTACCTTAACCGATTTTCCAGGTTTTAAAATGAAATCTCTTGGAAAAGTATATACAATTTCACGTTTACCATCAATTTTTCGTTTCAATCTCCATTCACCAATTGCTTCCTCCTTGGAACGATGTGTATTCTCCAATAAAACATATTTACCATCTGATGCAGCATCCTGAAATTTCATATTTAATCCTGAAATTCTATACCGGAATAATTAATTTCAATTTCAATAATGCAATAATTTATCATTTCTAATTTTGCATAAATTAATAGTGTTTTAGATTTGAAAATTATCAATGTTAGTTATTGCTTTAAAAGAAATTATTCCAAAATTTTTACAATAATAAAAAAAAAAAAACATTTTTTTTTTTCAAATTTCTACAACAATAAAACAATAAAAAAAAAAAAAGACCTGTATAGAAACATTTCCTTTGGCGGAACGTTGAAATGACGTACGACTAGCTGTTTCACCTTTCAGTACACGTATAGTCTCTTCAATAAAATATCATTTTTTTTTTTAAAATGATTAATTTGAAATTTGTTGCATAATTTTGCTTTTATATTTCTATATTTGTAAATCAAATATTCAAATGATCAAATGCTATATTTCAATTTTAATTTAATTTCAAATCAATTTTTTAAATGTAAAATGGTGCGAAAAATTTTTAATTTATCAGAAAAATATAATGAAATAATCAATAAAAAAAAAAAAAACATTAAAAAATATTTATAGAAATAGTTAATAAAGATAAGTAAGTAAATTTATGAAAGTAATAAAGATAAGTAAATTTATAAAAGTAATAAAGATAAGTAAGTAAATTTATAAAAGTAAGAAAGATAAGTGAATTTATTAAAGTAATAAAGATGAGTAAGTAAATTTATAAAAGTATAAATGCACTAATTAATTATTCGAAAGATTCTTCGTTATATCTCCGGAAAGAAATAAAAAAAATTACCAAGCGGAGTTCTGTAAAACATTTTGTTCAGGAATAAAAAAAAAAAATTCCGTAAAAAAGATGTACAAAAGTCTGATAAGCACCCGGAAAATAGATGTTATCAATTAACAATTTAAATTAAAAATGATGAAGAAAGGATCAAAAAAAAAAAAAAAAAAAAAAAGAGAAAACAAGTTTTAATTTCAAATAATATACTTTAAAAAAATAAAAAGTTCTTTCCTATTATATAATTTCTTCCTTCTTTTTAATTTAGAAACAAAATTCTTTTTTTCGATGTTTTAATTGCTGATGAAATTAAACTTTTAATTTGCAATTTAATGTAATTAATACTTTAAATTTGAAATTATTTTTTTCTATCAAAAATTTTGACAGTAAAAGTAAAAACAGAAATGATTATTTTCACTTTCTTTTCTCTAAAAATTTCAATAAAATTTAGACAAAATATGCAAAAAAAATGATTGCATAATAAAAATTTTGTTTACAGTATGAAAAACTAATTTTATTGAAAATAAATAAACATTTTAAGTCTGACTTTTCAAATAAATTTTAAATCTAATATAGTTGTAATATGGTTATAAAATTCTACTTTTAGTCTTTTAAATTTATTATATACCGGAAATGTTTGTTTTCTAGTAAAAAAAAAAAAAAAAAAAAAAAAAAAGGAAATAATCATCATCATTTTCCAATGAAATGATATGAATAATTAAAATGATAAAATTCTACTTTTAGTCTTTTAAATTTATTATATACCGGAAATGTTTGTTTCCAAATAAATTCAAAAAAAAAAAAAAAAAAAAATTCCCGGAAAATATATTTTTATTTTTTATTAAATAATGATTTTAACTAAAAATTTTGCTTTTTAATTTTTCATTAAATTTCATTAAAACAAATAATAATTTGAACTACAATGAAAAAAAAATTTTTTTTCAACCAAAATGAAAAATAAAGAAGAAAAAAAAAAAAAAAAATGTCATTTTTTAATTTTTGATCAAAAATTTGACAAAATTTATGGATAGTTGACAGTAAACGAAATGAAACGAAATGAAATGAAATGATTGATGTTTACCGGTTTCACCAACTTCCGTAAGGCCATGTGTTTTAACAACCTGTTCAACAAGTTGACGTAAACCAGCTCGATTCTCTTCACCTTCAAGCATTTTTCGATAAATTGCTATTTCAGCATCTAAAGTCTAAAATGAAAACGATAATTTGATACAAGAAAAAAAAAAAAAAATTAGCAAATAAAAATTTAAATTTAATTTAAAAATGAAATACTACATTTCATTTTTGAAATTTTAGCTATTACAGAATAAATTATAAATTAATAATTAAATAATTATTGAGTGAAAATTTTAGATGAAATTAATTTTCTAATAGAAATTTTTTTTTTTTTTTTTTTTTTTTGTTTGATAAAAAGATTTCAATTTTATAAATAGTATTATTTGAAATTTGAAAATAGAAAATATTTTTTTTATAAGTATATTGAATTGAAATTAAACATTTAGCATTTTAGATAATATTATCGTTTCAATTTATAAACTTTTCAATTTTATGATTAATTAATCATTCTTATTAGCAATTAATAATGCATCTGATTTTTGCTTATTTTTTGATTTTAAATTTTTAATAAAATTTTGTTAAAAAAAAAGTAAAATTATATTTTTTGTTAAAAAAAAAAAAAAAAAAAGTAAAATTAATGAATTTATTGACAAACTTGTTTGGTGTCTAAAAGCATTTGCAATTCCATCATTAATGCTTGACATTCTTCCCGCATTTTCCGGATTTGGGCATCTCGATCATTTAGGGCAGCTTCATAGGATCGTTGATCATCTTCCAATTGATAATTCAATTCTTGCATTTGCTTCTCTAGCAGTGAATTCTAAAATTTAAATCTTATTTTTTTTTTTCAACAAACATAATTCATCTTATATTAGCATAAATATTATTTTAAAATTTTTTTAAAAAAATAAAAAAAAATAAAAAGAAAAACTTTGCAAAAAACACTGATTGAAGCGCAGAATAATTATAAAATTTAATTAAATGAATGCATTTCATATGAGATTTTAATTAAAAATAAAAGCATTTTATTTTACTATCGCAAAATTTTTCAGTATTACTTTAAATTTCAAATATTTCATTTCTTAATAATGATTATATAAACTTTAAAAGTTTTTTGTATGAAATTTAAAAAAAAAATTTTGCAATATTTTGGGATAAAATTTGATAATTTGATGAATAATAAAACAATGCTTTTTTAAATTTTTTTTTTTTTTTGAAATTTAATTTATTTCCCCCTTAGAGCAACAGAAATTCATTCGCCCCTTTTTTTTTTTTTCGTTTTTTCCAAATAAAACATAAATATATAAATATAATATATATTTTTTTTTTATCTTCCAAGAAAAGATCAAAAATTAGTTTTTAGCAAAAAAAAAAAAAATTTATCATTTCAAAAATTTTAATTAACTTTTTAAAAAATTAAAAAAAAAAAAAAAATGAAAGAATTTAAAAAGCAGAAATACAGTAGTACTACTAACACGTCCTTCAAGATCAGCTAATTTTCCGCGTAGCTCGGAAAGTTGCACACGAAGTCGCTTCACCTCCTCTTTAGCATAACCTTGTTCCAAGTTTTGTCTTGTTGATTGAGTTTGAATTTCTTGTACTTTTAATTTATACCATGATTCCATATCTGTTCGATTCATATTGCATATCTAGTAATGCAAAAAAAAAAAAAAGTTTAATTTAATTTAATTAATTCATAACTTTAAATTTGAATAAAATGTAAAATTTAACAAAATGATTGATTTCCTTTTATTTTATTAGAAACTAGCAAATATTTTTTTTTTTTTTTTTTTTATTTAGTTGATTTAATTAATTCATAACTTTAAATTTGAATAAAATGTAAAATTTAACAAAATGATTGATTTCCTTTTATTTTATTAGAAACTAGCAAATATTTCTTTTTTTTTTTATTTAGTTGATTTAATTAATTCATATTTTCAAAATTTTAATAAAATGTAAAATTTAAGAAAATAACTTTTTATTTTATTACAGCTAGCAAAAATTTTTTTTTTGCTTAAACAAAAAATTTTTTTTTGTTTAAATTTAAAATAAAGAAAGGTAAAAAATTTTTGAACTTGATCATATTCAGCACGAATATCACGAATTGCAGATGAAAGTTCATTCTTGAAATATTCCCGATTTTCCGGTGTTGTATCACGTGCAGCCATTGCTTGCAATTCATTAATTTCCTGATCATGCACACGACGCATGAAATCAATTTCTTCCAGTAATGTTTGCACCTGATTTTGAAAATCGATCCGATTAAGCGTTTCCTGATCCAAATCCTGTAAAAAAAAAAAAAAAAAAAAAATGATTTATTTCCGAATTCATTTCATTTTTCGATTTCTAATTTTTGCATGTTTATTTAAATGCTATTTATTTTCATTTAACTATATTTCATATGGATTTTTTTTCTTTTTTTTTTTTTTTTTTTTTTTGGATTTATTAATAAATTTTTTGTAAAAATTTAAACTTAATTAACCGAAACATATATACAAAATCATATAATTATATTATACAATTTTAAAAAAGAAAAATTTTACTATTAATTCAATTTATTTTTTGCATTTAAATCATAAAATATGCAATAGCATATCACAAAGAGAGAAATTTAAATCAATTTCAAAAGTTTCAACAAAAATACTTTTAGAAAAATTTAAATTAACTTCAAAATTTTAAATAAAAGTATTTTTAGAGAAATTTAAAACTTAACTTCAAAAGTATAAACAAAAATACTTTTAATAACTTACTGCTCTTGCCTTGTTGAGTTCATTAACAAAATGCAAGTTATCTCGTTTGATACGGCTTACTTCTTCTTCCAAACTACTGACCCGACGTCGTAAAAGGTTAATTTCAGCTTCCAGACCAGATAATTTTACCTATATTATTATTTCTTGAAAATAGTAATCACTGATTATCAATGATAACTTAAAAAGTAGGAATAACAAATCAGTGATAACAACTAATGGATTATTGGAGATGATAATTGATAATAACAATACCATAATCAATCACTACAGCTTAAATAAACTGATAGAATAATTAACACAAAAATTTGCAAAAAAAGAGAAAAAAAAGTGAACAATGTAATGCTATGTTATTGTAATAAGTATAAATCCGGAAAACCGGAACTCACCAATAATTCATCAATGCATTTTCGATCAGCTTGATGTGCGCGAAGTGCATCATCATATCTGTAAAATAAAAAAAGTAACTTTTTTTTGCTCTTCGTTTGATAACGAAAATAACACTAACCGTTTTTTGCATTCCGTTAAGTCATCCATCAATTTCCGAATTCGTTTTTCTAAATCTTCGCGTTCGCTATTCGTATCGTTTATTATTTTCCGTGCCTCCTAAATGATAAAAAAAAAAAATTACGTAAGAAAAATAAGAAACCGATAAATAATTTAAAATTAAATTTTTGTTGCAAAAAAAAAAAGAAGCGAAAAATTATTTTATAATTAATTTGAAAAGTAAATAATAAAAGATTAACAATGAATAAACTTATTAAATAAATTATATTAGCCATAATTTAAGCACTTTTTTTTTTCCAATTAATATTGATAATATTTTAATGTTTAAAATTGAAAACGAATAATTTAGTAAAGATAATTTCCCTAAAGAAAAAAAAAAAATAAATAAATAAATTTCTAAGTTTTATTTAAAATTTTATACCTGTAGTTCACCTTCATACATCGCACGAACACTTACAGAATCTTTACCCCAACGACCACGTAATAAATTTAGATCAGCAGCTAATTTACGGTTCTGTGCTTCAAGAAAGCGTACCTGAAAGTTAGCCAAATTTTCCTGTTTACAATTTTTTATTTGTTTATTTACTTTTTTTGCTAACTTTTACTGATTAATTGTTTATTTGACTAATTATTTACTTCTTTTACTTATTTACTTCCGTGTTGTTTTATCAGGAAAAGAAAACCTTTTCTATGTAGGAAGCAAGACGATCATTTAAATCGCTCATTTCCTTTTTTTCCCGTTCACGTGTATCACGTATTGCTGATGCAGCATTTTGTCCAAATGGTGACATACCACTACTATGCAATGATGATGAACCGATTTCCGTTACGGTTTTCAGGATTCTACCACCGGTTGCTTCAAATTATAGAAATAGTTTTTGAAATTTTTTTTGTTTTTTTTTTTTTCAAAATTATATTATTCACTTAAAAAATGACAGATTCCAAAATTCTAAATTCTTATTTCGATACTTATCCGACAAGTAAATACAATATACGTTTTAAAGTATTCATAAAATATGGTAAAAAATTTTTGAATTAATTTTCAAAATCATAAAATGTTTAAAATTTACACACACACACAAAAAAAAAAGCTTCAAAATAAGATGATTGAATTATTATACTCAGAGTTTAATATTAAAATTAAAAATTAAATTAATCAAAATTAAAATGAAACTTACCTGTTGTCATACCATAAGTTGGACTAGATATTGATCCAACAGTTCGACTAAAAACTGGCCTAGCAGAAATTGTACTTCTATAATCCGAAATTGAAATTTCTTCCATATTACTGAAAAATGTTTGAATTTCAATCAATAAAATGCATTTTAATAGATTTAAAATTTACTTTATACATGTTTATTTGATTATTAAATTAATAGAATAATGAAATTTACATAAGTTTATTTATGCTAAATTTATTAGCTTTATCAAATTTGATAAAGTAACATTACACTATTTAAATTTAAACAAAATATATTCTCTAATCTAACATATTGCTACTTAAATCCAAATGAATCATTGCATATCAATTGACGTAATTGACGTAATTCACGCATACATTTTAACGTGTTATAATGATGAAATACGTGAATGTAAAGCAAAATTATGCAAAAAAAAAAAAATATTAATTCAAATTCAATTAGATTGAAAATTTTATTTGAGAGAAAAAAAAAGAAATTAAATAAAATAAAATTAAGCAAAAAAAAAAAAAAAATTGAATTTAAATTAGGTAAAGTTAAATTTAACTATTAAAATCAATATGTTGTGACAATTAAATTTTTGCTTTTGCAATCGATATGACACTCCGCCAAAATGCTATTTGCATGTTAGATAATACTAGCCAAATTAATGAAATAGGTAAACAATTGTTTTTGCATGTTGCAAAAACTTACTAAAATCTTTTTCCCTGTTTAATTTACCCGAATTTATTTGAATGTTTAACTTACCCAAATTTATTTGAATACCCATTTTAAATATTAAATATATTATATATATATATTATATTCTGCGATAATATACTTTAATATAACACTTACTACTTTACTTATAACTTTAGTGCTATTCAAATATTTTTAGTATTACTATTTGTTTGTTTATCAAAAGAAAAAAAAAATGATAAAAATAAATAATTATATTTCTAAATGAACATTCCTATCTTCAACATAAATTTGTAAAACTTTTTTTTTAAAAAAAAAATTCTTTCCTTTTCATTTCTTTTTCCTTTTAGTCAACGATAAAGAAAAGAGAAGAAAAAAAGGATCGTTTTTTTTTTATTTGAGAATTTATAAAAGTGCAAATATAAATAAGCTTAAAAAGCAGTACAAAACTTTTTCTCATTCTCGAATGATATCTCGATGATTATCAAAATATCATTCACTGATACGGTTGGTGACACTAATTATGTCACACAAACGGATCTTTTTTTATTTGAGAATTTTGCAAATAGAAATAAGCTTTAAAAAGTTGTAAATATAAATAAGCTTAAAAAACATTACAAAACTTTTTCTCATTCTCGAATGATATCTCGATGATTATCAAACTACATTCATTAATACAGTTTGGTGACACTATTCATGTCACACATTTGTATATACTTATAATAATTTGTCACTTACTAGAATGTTAATTAATGCAATTGATAATAGAATATGAATTATACTGAATATTTATAAATAAATGATATATTTATTAAATGAATGAATGAAAAGAATTGATGAAAGATGGAAGAGTAAAGATAAGAGCTTATCATATTTACTGATAATATAACAGAGAATTGATAATAATCATATGAAGCAGAGAATGTAATCAACAACAGTTGTGTGTGTGTTATGAACAAATTCCACAAGTAATTCAAAAAAGGGATGAAAATTTAGAAAGAGATAGGTGAAAAAAGAAAAAAAAAAAAAGAATGGAAAAAAGATTTCCATCTCTCTCTCTCTCTCTCTCCCTCTCTCTCTTTCCAAAAATTTAAAGGAAAAAAAAAAGAGAGAGAATTCAAATTAAATAAATTTGTCAGTTCAAGAATAACAAGAAATAATTCATTACATTTATTTGTAATTATTTTAATATATATATATATATATATATATATATATATATATATATTTACAAGAGAATTCATTTCAATAACTAATTAAACTAAACATTAAAAGTAGCAAAATTAATTAGTTACTTTCGTTAACAATTTAATTCAATTCATAGTTTTTTTAAAAAAAAAAAAAATTAAAAATTTTTCTTTAAAAATAACTTAGAAAAAATAAAAAGACAGAATCAATACAATCAATAAGAAAAAAAAAAAGGTTATTTAAAAATTATACATATATGTGCTCAACAGCTATTAAAAAAAGAAAAAAAAAAGTCAATTTAATGGAACATCTTTGAAAATGGATGGAAAAAAAAAAAGATTTGAAAGTGCAAATGTTTATTTTGTTAGAAAGCTAAATTTGATGGAATAATTTAATTCATTTGAAATGAATTGAAAATGTACTTAAATTCAATCCATTAAATTTTCTCATTATCATTTCATTATGTTTGTCGCTTTTTCTTTCTTTCTTCTTTTGTGAAATATTAATGCAAAAAAAAATTTGTAAATAAATTTTAGAACAAAATAATGTGACAAATTTCAGGATGATATTAGATAACAATTTCAGTAATAATAATAAAAAATATTGTCAAAGATTGTTTTTTTTTTTTTTTTTTTTCCTTTTCGAACTTTTTGTAATTTTTCTAGCATTCTTAGCTTTTAATTTTGCTTATTTTTTTTTCTATTAATTGTTTCAAAATTTTAATTTTAACTAATCAAAACAAAATAACTTGTAAAAAAAAAAAAAAAATATTAATTGTATATAAATACGATTACAGTGTGAACAAAAATTTAATGTAAAAATTATTTTTCATGATGTCCCCAATATGTTGTTGTCCTCAAATTTGTCAACAATAATATTTTTTTTTTTCTTTTTTAAATAAATTAAAAAATACGATACGATTCAGTGATTACAGATGAAATGGAATTATTCTATTGTAGCAATATTATTCATAAATTGTTGTAATTGAAAGGAAATAAAATGGAAGTAAACAACAACAAAAAAAAAAAAAAAAAATGTGTGAATTGAAATGACCTAAATATATGGATGAAATGTGATAAAGGTTAAACATTAAAAAAAGAAAATTCTTTCAACTTACTGATTAAAGAATTGAGTGATTGGAAGTAAGTATAAATAAAGTTTGATTAGAATTAATTTACTTAAATAATAAAATTATTTCATTCATTAACTAATGAAACAGTATGATTAATTCATATTGATTACTAAACTCTGATCGGATAACTAATTCAGTGAGAACTAACTGATCGGATAACTAATTCAGTGAAAACTAACTGATCGGATAACTAATTCAGTGAAAACTAACTGATCGGATAATTAATTTCAGTGAAAACTAATTCAGTGAAAACTAACTGATCGGATAACTAATTCAGTGAAAACTAACTGATCGGATAACTAATTCAGTGAAAACTAACTGATCGGATAATTAATTTCAGTGAAAACTAATTCAGTGAAAACTAACTGATCGGATAACTAATTCAGTGAAAACTAACTGATCGGATAACTAATTCAGTGAAAACTAACTGATCGGATAACTAATTCAGTGAAAACTAACTGATCGGATAACTAATTCAGTGAAAACTAACTGATCGGATAACTAATTCAGTGAGAACTAACTGATCGGATGACTAATTCAGTGAGACTCGATCGGATGATTAACGCATAATACATCAACGAGCTCTTATATAAACAAACATTATTGTTTCAAACTAGTTCGTAAAACAAAATTTCAAAATGTTTCAATTTATACATATATATGTGTGTATGTGTATGTGTGTGTCTGTCTGTTTGTCGGTCTATCTGTCTGTCTGTGCATACATGTAGTTATGGGCAAAGTGAGGCTAGCTAATTCATTGTGTTCTTTTAAAAATGAAAAAAAGTGGAAGTTCAATTTACATATTGTTTCAAACTATTGTGTATGTATGTGTGTATGTGTGTGTGTGTATGTGTGTGTTCGTCTGTCTGTCAGTGGTCTGTCCGTCTGTCTGTTCCAATGATTGAATTATTTTGGTTGAAAATTGTTTATTTTGATTATTTTCAATTGTTTATTGATTCATTTCTAGCACAGTAATAACACGTTGCAGCAGTATTTATCAACCGGAAAATAAAAAAGGAACGGAATGGAATGCTGTTCAAGTGATAAACGGAAATAAGCTTAAATTGAAGCAAACAAACAAATTTCTCAGCTAGGTTTTTTCCTTTTTCTTTTTTTTTTCCGGAAAAAAATATATTTAAGTTATAGAATTCTGCTCATTCTCTCTCTCCCCCTCTCTTTTTTCTCTTTCTCTTTCTCTCTTTCACTCTCACTCTCTCTATATATTTATTTTTTCTTTTTTTTCTACAACACTGTTAATTTCAACCTTTTCTTAAAAATTTATTTATTCTATAATATATAATTTTTTTTTTCTTTTTTAACAAATTCAATTCATATCGTTGCATTTCATTCAGCATATTTCGCTTAATTTCTAGTCGTCTGTTTTCTCATCTTTTCCTTATCTATTTTACAATTCTGTTTGTTTCTATTTCAAAGACAAAAAATAAAAGTTAAAAAAAAAAAAAAAACAAAAAAACCAAATCAAAATTTTTATGATTAATTTACATTTTCAAAATAATTGCTTCTTCCAAATATTTTTAGAATAATTCCATTCTCTCTCTTTCTTTTTCTTTCTTTCTTTTCCTCTCTTTCCTTCTTTTCCAAAAAAAAAAAAAAGTTTACTTATATAGCATACAAAGTTTACTTTTTCTTCCTATTTCTCCTTCCTCTCTTCAATCATCATTTTCTCTTTCTTATTTTCTTTTCTTTTTTTCTTTTCCTCTCCTAATCAATAATTCTCGAATACACACAATAACAACTATTTAGTAACTTTCTTGTTTTCTCAATGATTTTCTTTTTTTTTTTTTAATTTTAAATTTCAAAATTAATTTAAAATGTAAAAATGTGTTATGATAAAATTAGCATCAAATTAGCACAAAGTTCATTTTTTTTTTTATCAAAAAACAAAACAAATTTTGTCTTTTTCCTTTAATTTTCTCTTTAAATTTATAATTTAATTGCAAATTTCATTTGCACACAATGAAAAATTAATTAAATTCTAAAATTAAAATTAAATTCTTGTGAAAAAATTTTTCATTAGCATTATTTTCCATTATTTTATAGCTTTCTTTTCGAAGAAGAAAAAATAAAAAAAAAAAAAAGAAAGAACAAAATTATTTCCATTATTTCATCCAATAGCTAATATATTTAGTCTGTCTCGAGAATATCTCGAGAATATTTCAGTATTTTTTAAAAAATTTTTTCAATTTTAAATTTTATCATTCATTTTAAAAATTATTATCAATATTGATAAATGCAAAAAAAAAAAAAAAAAAAAGAAAAGAAAAGAAAGAGCTAAACAATTGAAATAAATAAATAATGGATGATAACATAGCTCATTTTGATGAGTCATTTAGCTAATTAATAGCAGATGAATCAATAAACAAACAGAAAAAGGTTAGAATAAAAATGTTTGTCACTTTTTTTTTTTTTTTTTTCTGGAATATTTGTCATAAAAGTTTTTTTTTTTTTTTTTTTTTTCAAAATTGTTATTTGCACCATCATATCGAATTTCATAAAAAAAAAGAAATGAAAATAAAATTTGAGAAAAGAAAAAGGAAAAAAAAAAAAAAAAAAAGTGGAGCAATTAAATAACCGGATATTTAATCATGCAACCGGATATTTAATCATGCAAAGAGAGATTACTCGAATATATGAGTTACATTCAGGAAATTCAATAATATATAAATATATTTGGAATAGTTCAAATAGCAGTTGAAATATAACAAATTAAAATTTTCAACAAAAATTGAATTTTTTTTTTTTTTGTCAGATTTGCTAAAGTTTAACAAATTTCGATTTTTTTTTTTTTATTTTTACAAAAGATAGCATTTTTTGAAATGTTTTATGAATTGTATAACTAAAAAAAATTTTTTTTCCCTCTTATAAATAAATATATTAACATCGATAAACTTACAATTTTTTTACAAAGAAAAAATTTTAGCCATTCTAATAAAATAATTTTAATTTTTGAAATTGATAAAAAGTAAAAAAAAAAGTTAGAAGTAAAAAATAGTGAAATGTTAAGAAGTTAAAAGAAGCTAGCATCTGGAAGAATTGACAATTTAAACAATTCGTCAATTTTAATATTCAAAGATTAGAACAAAGTAAAGAAATATAAAGAGGTATTTAATTACTTTGTTTTTTTTTTTTGAAATTTATTAAGTACATTAGGAATTTCTTCTGCCCAACCCGTGCCCATCTTTTTTCCCTCGTATTTACCCACAACGGTTGTATAGATTCTGATTTATTATATCAAAGAGTTTCTTTTTTTTTTTCTTTTCATTGCTTTTTGTTTCTTTCAAAAATTTTCAATTTTTCATATATTACTATTAATTGATAAATATTCAATTATGCAAAAGTTTAATTTTAAAACAATCTTTTGTTTTTTTTTTTTTTAAAAATCTTTTTTAAAAAAAAACAAATAATTTTGTTCCTATATTATTTTTTTTAATAAAAAAAGAGTCGAGATTTGTAAACCATTACAGTGGTTCCTTTATTGCTTAAATTTTGAATTAATTTTTTTTTTTTTTTAAATTTCTTTTATACAGAACTATTTCTATACGATAGTAATGTCAACAAAAATGTCATGGGAAAAATTTTAAGGGTAAGTGTATGTTACTTAAACAATAGATTTCTGTTAAAACGATATTGAGAATGGATATTATTTAAATATTCAAAATAGTGAAATGTTATAAGAATAAGAAAACAATTGAAAAGATATCTGTTGAGAGAAAAAATGGAATGTAGATGATTCAATAAAGGTTTGAAAATGCAGAATAATGAATGTCAGCTAAGAAAAATACGAAATGCTAATATCGATCTAACAGGTTAGATCTCTTATAATTTATGCAAAATATTGATTTATAAAATATTAAATAATCATATCTGAATGATATTAGAGTTATAATAATAATAATAAATAAATAAATAAATAAATACATATATTATGTTATTTAATTAAGATCTAAGAAAATGCTTTTTGCATTTTGGCAAACTGAGCTAAATGTATAGAGATGAAAAATGATATAATATTTGCTGATCATACTGCTAATAAATAAAAGCGAAATTGGGAAAAGATCGTTGGAATAATTGTATCAGTAAGCTAATCGATGATACTATTAGTGCAATTTAAGTATGAGTAAAATTTGATAATGTGATGAACGATAATAATAAAAACAAAAATAATAATCATCAATGATGATAACAAAAATGAATATAGCATTAGATTAAAGCTAAAAGTGATTTGTTGAGAAAAATGATAGTAAGACAGCTATGTAAACTTTAAAAAAACTCAATTATTTGAAGTGAAGTAATAACATTTCTAACATTATTCAGCCATATCTTTTTAGTTTTCCTCTTCACACACACTAATGCATATTCGATTAATTATGAATTATATAATTAATTATTTGATTATATGATTAATTATATGAATTATATGATTATTGTATATGATTAATTATATCAATTATATGATTATTGTATATGGTTATTTATATGAATTATATGATTATTGTATATGATTAATTATATGAATTATATGATTATTGTATATGATTAATTATATGAATTATATGATTATTTTATATGATTAATTATATGAATTATATGATTATTGTATATGATTAATTATATGAATTAGATGATCTATGAATTATATAATTATTGTATATGATTAATTATATGAATTAGATGATTATTATATAAATGAATAAGAAAAAAAGAAACAAATAAAAATCAACTAAATAATATATACGTAGAAAAGATTGGTTAGATGTAAAAAAAGTCAATATTTTTAAATTACTTCACTAGTTTTATAATAATTTGTAATTATGTCAGAATTAAAACAATGATTTAAATATACATATAACTTACTGATTCTAAACTACACAATATGATAAAATAAACTTGGATGTAAGATGAATTATTGAGATGCGGCGTACTGTAGAATACAGTATGATAAAATTCATTATACCGTAATACATATCTACAGTATGATAGAAATTTGGGATATATATGTCTTTACTGTCAAATAAAGCTTGAATATATAAAATTATTCGTCAAAAATGGAAAGAATTTTTGTGAAAGAGCACTTTTTACCATAACTTTCTAATAAACCTTTAGGTTTTCTAAGATTAGAAAATTAAAGGTTCGTTTATTCAACATCAGTATTTATCTTTAAAGTTTCTAGAAGAAGGAACGACCTGTTGACATAATTACTTATCTCTAAAGTGAAAAAATACCTGAAGAAAAGGTTGATTGCAGATAGTTATTCATTTTCCTCCTTCCCATTTCCCTACCCCTCAAACCTGTTTGTTTTCAACTTACCGTATCCATATGCAAAAGTATAAGTTTTAAAATTAGTTTCTCTTGAGTTTTTCTTAAGATTTTGAACAAAAGCATATTTTATTGAAAATGTTAAAAATTTTAAGAGAAAAAATTTAGCTAATAAAATTGTAAACATAGTAAATAAACATTTACAGAAGCAAATTTCACTTATGTAAAAATCGCATAAACATAAAATTTATCTTATTGAACATCCAATCTTAATTGCATCAAATGTGGCTATTTTCTTTTTTTCATTAAAGGGAAAATAATTCAAAATTGCACTTCAATAAAAAAAAGAAAATTTTACAACTTTCATTTGTAATTTAAAAAAAAAAAAAAAGGAAAATAAAAATTAGAATTTTTACGATCAAAAACTAAATCTTACCGCAATAAAAATGAAAAAAGCTTAAATTTTATTTTCACTTTTCCCATATTTTTCTATTTAAAGTGCAGTCATTTATAGGATTGCATTAGCTAAAACTTAAAAATATTAAATTCAATTTTTGTCATTATTAAAAATATCAAAAATTAAATATTAGAATATATCAAAATTAAAAATTAAATTCAAAATAAATTCATGATTAAAGCAGTAGGTGCGAATTCCATCCTTCTATATTTTTTCCTTTCATTGTATTTAAAATGTTACCTTGTTTTTGTTTTTTTTTTTTAATGCTAAATCATTTGTAAAAATGTTTTACAATTTGTTGAATTTTGTTTTTTTTTTTCTTTTTTTTTTTGTTTTTCGAATGACATTCAGTAAAAATAAAAAGTTATTTCAATTTTCTATGATAAAACACTTTGCTTTGTATCAAAATTGTTTTAGAATTAAAAAAAAAAAAAAAATTAAAAGGAAAAAAAAAAATTTTTGTTAAATGATACATTCATTTCTATGATACTTTTAATATTACATACACCGTTTTCTGTCAATTTTTTGCTACTTTTTTTCTTCAAAAAATATCAGAAAATAGAAAAAAAAAATTTTAATTAATTGTTCGTTTTTTTTTTTTTTTGTACTTTAAAATTATTGGTAACAAAATTGTTATCATTAATATTTTATTATTATCATTTTTATTGTTACTTTTGCTAATGTTGCTGATAATAATCTAAAAATACTGTTAGTTTCATTGCTATCACTATCTTCATCTTCTTTTTTTCGTTAGTAACATTGTTAATTTTGAATTAATATTTACTTTTAAGTTTTTAATATTATTTGATACTATCATATCATTATCAGTATTGTTATCATCATACTATTATTTTTGTTCACCTTTTACTCTTAATCCTGATATCTGATTACCTTCCATAATTACCTAAAGAAAAATGCCTCATTAAAGTTAAAATAATAATATATCACATTTAAGGCTTAATTTAGGCTTGCAAAAATTGAAAATTCAAGATCGAAAAATAAAAAATTTGGAGGAATCCAAATTTTGGATAATTCCTGGATTAATTAGTAACTTTTTAAATTTAATTACTAACTCTACTTTTTAAATTCAATTTTAAAAGCCATATGAGCACAATTTAAATAATTAAATATTTTGCTTCGCAAAAATGTTCCTTCCATTCAGATATCCATTCAAATTTTATATGTCATTTTCCTATTTAATTCTATTTAATTATTCAACTTCTTAAGTTTCATTTATCTTTATGTAATTTTCACTAAATAATTAAATTATAAAACTATTTGTAATTTTTTTTTAAAGAAAAAAAAAAAAGACTATTTAAAAGTTTGCCTTGGTCTTATTGCACCAGATCCTCCTCTTTCATTGCTTTTGTGATGATCAATGATTGTTGTTGTTTGAAATGTTTTCGTGGTACCATCCATCATTGAACTTTTCGATTCTGCTATCTTACCGGAACTTATCGTTTCAGGATGCTTCTAAGAATTTCAAAATTCATTTTTATCTATTTTGTTACTGTTGCAAAAAATTATAAGAAAATTTTATAAATGTATTTACATTAATTAACAAAATGAAACTGTAAACAAAACTAATTTCTACAAAATTTTAATTTAAAAAAAAAAAAAAAAAGAAAGTTTTTTAACATTTTTTTATCACCAAAACTAAATCTTTTTTTTTTTAAATTAAAATAAATTTTTTTTTATCACCAAAAAGTCATTTTTGTAAAAAACAAAAAAGAAGAAATATGGAAAACTGTAATAATCGATTGAATAAAAAAAAAAAGAAAGAAAGAAAAGAAATCTTTTATAATAACTGCAAATTTTTGAATTTAGTTTAATCGTTATAAATTTTTATATGATATAATAATTTTTCTTAACTCTTCTGGTTAACATCAATTTTTTAAAAATAGACTAAAAAATATCAAAGGAAAATTTTTTATTTCAAATATAGAAATTTATGATTGGATAAAATGATCGTTTCATCTATCTATCCGTTAAAGTATAATGTATTTAGAGAATGTAAGAAGTTTACATTTCAGAATTTAAATGAATCACAATTTCTCGACATGAAAAAGCAACAATTTATTGCAAACCATAAATTTTGCCTTTTTTTTTTTTTTTCTTTTTTGAATTTCTTTGATACATTTATTAATATTATAAGCAAATTTGAAATGCAAACATTAATCTTTCGCTCTTTTGTTGTTGAAATTTTTAAAATTATATATTAATTAAAATTTATGCAAGTAAAGTAATAAAAACTTGAAATCATTATGGTTTTAATAATTCACAAAAGTTATAAACAAAATTTCATTTCGTTTATCAATTTTCCTTTTTGTTTTTTTTTTTTTTTAAAGCACAATTTATAAATTGATTAAAGTGCTTGAAATGATGATTCAAATCAGACTAAATTTTAAAATTCTAAAAGATTGAAAAAAATTAAATGATTAAATAAAACAAAGAAATTTATGCAGCTAAAAAAGAGATCTATTATTAAATTGAATCATTTTAATAAATTCGTTAATATTTGTTATCAATTCAAAAATATTTATAATTTATTCAAGCATTCAAAAAGATTGGTTGCGTAGAAATATTTGAATAAACAAACGATAAACAAAAATAAACATATGTTAAACGATAGTTGGCTATTAAAGAATGATAATTGGAATGAATTGAAATGAAATGAAATGAAATGAATTGAAATGAAATGAAATGAAATGAAATGAAGTGAATTGAAACGAAATGAATTGAAATGAAATGAAATGAAAAAGTTTACGATTGGATTGAAAGGAATGAAAAATGAAAGAAATTGGCGAATGATTCATTTTACATAGAATCTTTTTTTTTCTTTTTTTTTTTGATTTTTTTTTATGACTAAAACTGATAATTTTATTCTATTCTATTTGAAATATTTTCAGCAATAGAAAAAAAAAAAAAAAAAAAAACATTCGAAAAGTTCGCTTATTTATTCATTTTTTTTCTTTTTTGTAAACAACTTTCTTAGAAATCGTACAAATAGAAAGAAACTTTTTTTGTTCATTAAAAATTAAAATTATAGAGTTTTTTTTTTTTTTTTAAATTTTGAGAACTTTAATAAATTTAATAAAGTTTAATTTCTAACAATAATGAAAATTTAAATGTTTCATTTTAATTCAAAACACATAATGAATAATTTAATCAATTTATCAAACTTATCAACACAATTTAGCAATTAAAGTTATTTTAAGTATTTCAATTAGAACAATTGCAGTTCAAAAAATTTTCAAAATTTTTTTTGTTACAGCAATGGAAGTAAATTTAATTCTCTTTTTTTTCCATCCAAAATAAATTTGATAATTTAATGAATGAACAAATAGAAATAATAACTATTATCCTTATTGTTGCAGCAAAAAAAAAAAAATGATTTGAAACATTCATATTGTTTGGAAGCAAAGAAAATAAATTAAAATTTTTCAATTTGAGAAAAAAAAAGAAATTATTCATCAACAATTCACTGATATAATCTTTTTTCTCCCTTTCCCTCTCTCTCTCTCTCTCTCTCTCTCTCTTTTCATTTCAATTCAATTATTCATTTCATTTCCCTTCAATGGATGAGAATTTAGAATTGTAAAAGATTTAACCGATTTGTAAAAAAAAAATATAATTTTTTTTATTCCAAAAAAACAATCTTTTCTCATGAGAAAATTTCATTACAAAAGCAATAGCATTTCGTACTGTAGAAAAGAAATGGGTAAGAATGACGGGTAAATATTTGCCCGGCTCATCTTTAAATAGTAAACAAATGCTATTGCTATGATTGTACCAATGATTGAACATTTGTTGTTGCAAATTTATAAATGAAATAATATGTTTATTTATTTATTTATTTTGAAAAAAAAAAAAAAAAAAAAAAGGAAAAAAGAAGGCAAATAATATTAGTTTAAAGTATAGAAATTAAAATTGACAAATCAAAAATAGAAATAATTATAAATTTTGATAAATTAATAAAAAATAATAAAATTGAAAGAATAATTGTATTATGATGATAATATCTTATTTACTAGCACATAATAAGTATCAGGAATAATAATAACAATAACAATAATAATAATAGTAATGATAATGATAATAATAATAATAATAACAATAATAATGATAATGGTAATAATAATAGTAATAATAATAAAGATAATAGTAATAACAATAATGATAATGATAATAATAATAAAAGAATTAATAATAACAACAATAATAATAATAACAGTAATAATAATAATAGTTCTATATTCTACAGTGGGTATGAATTTTTTTTAAAAAATTTAATAAAAATTTTTTTTTTTCATTAAAAGAAAATAAAGAGCTTTTTAAGATATACCTTAATTTATACTTATAAAAAAAAATTTTTTTTATTAATTTCAATCTACTTTCTATATTTCATTAAATTTTTTTTGCTTTTTTAATGGAAATTAAAATAAATTTCACAAAAGTTTTTCTTTTCTTTTTTTTAAATAGTATTTATGATTGCTATATTGTAGTGAAATTGTAGTAAATGAATTATTATAAATTTCTTTTTTTTTTTTTAAAAAAAATAATTAAAATGTAATTATGTCATGGATAGCTTACTTTTTAACATTTAACATTAAATTTGTCATAAGAAAATGAAAAAAAAAAAAATTATAATTCGTTTCAAATAAAGTTTTTATTTCAAAAAAATAAAATTTCATATTACCACAATTAAAATAATTTATATATTTAATAAAATTATTGTAATTTAATAGATGTGGGAGAAAATAAGAAAAATTAAAACGAAAAAAATTTGATTTATAAATTAATACAGGAATTTATTTTTTAAATTAAAGTAAAAATATTGTTTATCTTTTTTTAAATATTTATTTTATCATCAACTGTTAATAGTAGTAAATTTGTTCCATATTATTTGAGTATTTAAGTGAAAATATATTTGAGTATTTATATAATATTGGGTATTTATATAATATTTGAGTATTTATATAATATTTGGTATTTATATAATATTTGAGTATTTATATAATATTGTATTTATATAATATTTGAGTATTTATATAATATTGGTATTTATATAATATTTAGTATTTATATAATATTTGAGTATTTATATAATATTTGAGTATTTATATAATATTTGAGTATTTATATAATATTTGAGTATTTATATAATATTGGTATTTATATAATATTTGAGTATTTATATAATATTTGAGTATTTATATAATAATATTTGAGTATTTATATAATATTTGAGTATTTATATAATATTTGAGTATTTATATAATATTTGAGTATTTATATAATATTTGAGTATTTATATAATATTTGAGTATTTATATAATATTGGTATTTATATAATATTTGAGTATTTATATAATATTTGAGTATTTATATAATATTGGTATTTATATAATATTTGAGTATTTATATAATAATTGGGTATTTATATAATATTTGAGTATTTATATAATATTGGGTATTTATATAATATTTGAGTATTTATATAATATTTGGTATTTATATAATATTTGAGTATTTATATAATATTTATATAATATTTGAGTATTTATATAATATTTGAGTATTTATATAATATTTGAGTATTTATATAATATTTGAGTATTTATATAATATTTGAGTATTTATATAATATTTGAGTATTTATATAATATTTGAGTATTTATATAATATTTGAGTATTTATATAATATTTGAGTATTTATATAATAACTGGGTATTTATATAATATTTGAATATTTATATAATATTTGAGTATTTATATAATATTTGAGTATTTATATAATATTTGAGTATTTATATAATATTTGGTATTTTTATATTTATATAATATTGGTATTTATATAATATTTGAGTATTTATATAATATTGGTATTTATATAATATTTGAGTATTTATATAATATTTGAGTATTTATATAATATTGAGTATTTATATAATAATTGAGTATTTATATAATAATTGAGTATTTATATAATATTTGAGTATTTATATAATATTTGAGTATTCAAGTGTTTATGTAATATTTGAGTATTTAAGTAAATAAAAACATTTCCTACTTTATATTTAAATATTTGCTTCATTTCATCTACTTATAACGCTTCGTTTAAGTGTTTTGTTTATGTTTTTTTTTTTTTTTTTTTTTTTTTTTATATTTTTTAAAATATATAATTCAAATAAATTGCATTTATTTTGCCTCATTACACTAAGCTGTTTACACCAATTGAAAATATTTGTAATTTAGTTGTAAATTGTTTAAAAATTATTTCTACCTGAGATGATGAAGAGATTACAGGTAATTGTGGCGGTGTTTGTTGAGTTTTCTGTTGTGTTGTCATTTCTGAACGTTCCTTTGAACTCTTCAAAATCTTCATTTTCTACTCTATTTGAAATTTAAGAGAAAAAAAAATTAATGAATTTATTATTATTCAAATATTTCAATTTCGTTTTTAGTTTAGTTTTGATGGAAAAAATTACTTCAAACAATGTAAAAATTATTAAATTGTTGAAATTATAAAAAAGAAAATTATGTTAAATTTGATCAATTAACAATATTTAATTGTAAAAATTAACTTTTATAAATTTAGTATAAAAATTTAGTATTTTTTTATTTTAGTATATATATATATAATACTTAATTTAAAAAAATTAAATTTAGTATATTTTCATTTGGAGTACATTTGATTTAACAAATATTTTCATACAAAAATTGATTCAACCATTTTTTTTTTTTTTTTTTTTTTAATATTACAAGTTTATATAAAATGTTGTTTTAATAGAAGTTAAAATGATTAAAAATTGATAAAATTAATTTAATGTTTAGATAAAAACATTTTTATTTGGTCACATAATTAATTTCTAAAATTGAAATGGAAAATAATAATTTTAAATTTTATTCAAAATTTTGCTTAAATATATTCTTTTCATGATGATTAATATGTCATCGAAATAATTTATTTTGTCAACAAAAAAGAAAAAAGAAAATAGTGATAATATGTAACTAAAATTTCATAAAAAATTTCAATGAAATTTATAATTAATAAAATAACTTTGTTATTTTAACTTTCAATTGTGTTAAGTGAAAATTTGAAGTTTATGAAAAAAAAAAAAAAAAATATCAAAGTTAGCAATTAATAAAATATTTGTGTGCTGCAAAAAAGTTAAAGTTATTCAGTAGTAAGTTCAAATTGATAGAAAAATGATAAGCAAGTAAAAGTAAAAGATAACTGATAATAAATGCATTCGATAGATTATAATGATATGATAAAATGTTTTATGCATAAAATAATCATTAAAAATGATAAATGAAATAATGCAGGAAGTACTTCCTATTTGGTTGGGTAAGAAATGGGTAAATGGAAAATTGGAATGATGGAAAGTAACAATGATAAAATGAATTCAAAGGGAGATTTTTGTTTACTTATCACTTTATCACCGTTAAAGTGATAAGGCATGTACAGTCGCCACATATATCTATCAAAATATATTGACAAATAGTGCAAACAATTTCTAAAGTATCAAATACTTTTCAGTTTTATACATGACAAGTAATGGAATAAATTTAAATTAAATAATTGAAATTGAATTACTTAATAAAAAAAAAAAAAAAACGAAAAGCGAAAATGAAAACATTAAAATTTAAGCATTAGGTACAAAATTGATAGAAAAAATGTTGTAATCATTTAATGGATATTTAATTTATTTAAATTTAATTTATTATTAATTTTAAATGAGTTTTTGGTCCTTTTTTTAATACATAAAATATTGAAATTAATTTAAATATGATTACCATATAGTAAAATAAAGTGAATTATATAATAGTAATTTAAAAATAGTTTAATTTTATTTTCTTCTTCTTTTTTTTTTTTTGAAAAAAATTTATTCAATTCAATAAAAATTGTTTTTAATTCTAATAAATTACTTTAAAAATTTTGATTTCAAAATATCTTACATTACTTTTATTTTTAATTTTTTTGTTTTTTTTTTTTTTTTTGAAAAATTTAATTAATTCTAAAGAATGTAAGTTTTTTTTTTTTTTTAAAAAAAAAAAAAAAAAATAAAATTATCATTAAAGAAATTTTAAAGAATTAAAATATTTGATAACCTGATAATAGCAAACTCGCCGCATATAAATTACTATCAAATTGGAATGAATTAAGAGCAAAAATTTTAATTCCTTGTGAAATAATTTGAATAAATTGAAAAGCAAAAAAAAGAAAAAAAATGAAAAAAAAAAATTTATTTTAAAAATTTTTTAAATTCTAAAAATTAAAAAACGAAAAATGAAATTTTATGAGTGGAAGTTACATTTTCAATTCTGTTTTTTTTGAAATATTTGAAAAAAAAAAAAAAAAAAAGAAAAAAATTTTCCATCATTTTATGGCTATTATGCATCATTGATAATCGAATTAATAATATTCAATGCAAATGTTATTTAAAAATTTATAGAATGTTAAAAATTTCAAATTTTTTTTCTTTTTTCCTTTTTTTTTTTTTTTTGAAAATATATTTGCTAAATTTAATTATTATATTAATTAATTGATTTTCTAATTAGCTAATGATTAATATGAACTAATTAAATAGAAAAAAAAAATTATAAGTTGTATATAAATTAATTGCAATGAATGATAAGTAATATTATATTAAATTAATTCCTGAATGATTATCAGTAAAATAATCCGGAAAATTTGCATATTATTATCATTGCTTTAAAAGCACAAATATTTTAAGGATATTTAATATTTCATATCGTTATGCAATATTAGCTGAGCAAACATTTCAAATGTTTTTTTTTTTTTGGTTACAAATTTCTATCAAACATATTTTGCTTTATAAATAATTTTAGTAAACATTAAAAAAAAAAAAAAAAAAAAAAACGAAAATTCATTTTAAATAAATTGAATTGCAAAAAATTTATGATCCATTTTTATTTCAAATCAAATATTTTTCTGTTTCATTTTTTTTTTCCTTTTATTAAAAGAAAAACTGAAAAAAGAAATACAAAATTGAAAATTTTTAAAAATATTTGATGAATTTTTTTTTAATCTAAATTTTATTATAAAAACAAATATTCTTTTCTTATCAAATTAATTTGAAATATGCAATGAATTTAGCAATGGAAATAGAAATGAACATTTTTTTTTTGATAAAAAAAATCAAAAATGTCTAATTGAAATGTTCAAAAAAATGTTGGAAAGAAAAATATTTGTAATTTTTTATGTATTTAAGTTTTTAAGTATTAAATTCTTCCGCAATTATCAAAAATTTGTATACAGTTTTTGTAAGTTTATGACAAAAATTGCAGATTTCATTATCACTATTAATTTAATTAAATATTTTTTTGATGATTTTTGGTGATAAAAAAAAAATGAAATTTATATAAAAACTATTATTACTTTAACAAACTTTTAAGTTATACTTTATATTTCTTTTTATTTTTCTTTCTGATGCAAATAATAAAAAATGAAATTTATATAAGAACTACTATTACTTTAACAAATTTTTAAGTTATACTTTTATTTTTTCATTTTTTTTTTTTTTTTTTGATACAAATAAATAAAAGTTTAAATATCATAAAAGAAAAATTTATATTTATTATAAATTTTACCTTTTCCGTTGTTTCCCAATTTGACGTACGACTAGTACGAATGCTACTACCATCGTAATTTAATTTTTCTTTTTCTTCCGGCTAAAAACAAAAACAAAAAAGCACATTAAGCTTATTATATCTGTCAACAAAATATCTCAGATTTAAATTTAATAAAATTAAAAAAAAAAAATAAACTTCTTTTTCTTGAATATCATCATGACGAGTGGATTTTATTATTGCCCACATTGGTGAATGTTGACGAACATCTTCTTTTTCCTAAAATAAAGTGATAATTTATAAATGTATTTGTGAATTATTAAGTAAGCCTAAATAATTTTAACTAGTAAATAATAATCTAAATAAAACAAACATTGATTAATTAATTAATTAATTAATTAATCATTTTTTCCCCACAAAATTTTAAATAATTAAATAAAAAAAAAAAAAGTGGTTATTATCATTAATCAAGAAATTATATTCTTTTTCTCTTAAATAAAGAAAAGAAATATTCTTACAGCAATTTCTTCATCAAGTTCACGTGTTTTTTCCAACGTTGAAGCAGTAGAATATGACGTTTTTTGACGTTTCGTATCCCACGTTTCGGATGATAACATTCGTCCTTCCTGATCCTGTTTTATCACAACTGTTGATGATGTAGAACCAACATTATCCGTTATTGGCTTTGGCTTCTCATCATAACTTGTAACATTACGATGTCGTGATTCCGCACTATCCCTTAATCCACGACTGGATTCCGCACTCTCCCACAATCCGCGACTGGATTCCGCACTCTCCCATAACCCACGACTTGCTGTAGCTGCCGGTGGTGTTATAGTAGCAGGCGGAAAATGCTTTATATCATATTGCCAAACACCTTTAGAAGTAGATGACCATACTTCAGTTTTTGTCTCTTCAGTCCACTGATGTCGATGAGGCATTGAATCCTGTGAAAAAAAAAAAAGAAGCATTCCGGATGTATCATTCCGGATATGTTACTCCGATAGAGTAGGCATTAAAATAATGCCTGGATGTAATTAGCTAAGTCTTTTATTAAGCCAAAAATTTGATTAATGAAATAAAACTATGAAATTAAATTATCTGTTCCTATTACTAAAAAATTTTAAGGCCACTTTTTCTGGGCTTTCTTTTCAAAAAAAAAAAAAAAAAAAAGAAAAATTATTGTTTGTTTTAGTTTTATTTTTATTTTCTCTAATGCTTGATTTCATTTTTTAATAATTTTAATTAAATCATCTTTTTTTTTTTTTTAAATTATATATTACTTTTTTAAACTGCTTAATAAAACAAACCTTTTCGAGCTTTTGTTCGTATTCTGTAAGCGCAATTGGTTTTTCACCTGATCGACGACTGATTTTTTGTGAATCATACTCGTAGACAGTAATCTGAAAATTTGTTTAGCTGTTTTAAAAATGGTATATGCCAATGATTATATTACAACAATAAAAAAAAAAAGAAAAAAAAAATTCTCTAAATTATCAATTTTGAATTATTTAATTAATTTAAATATTTAACAAATTTTGAAGTAAATTACTTGAATTTTTGGTAAGTTTTTATGTGTGCGCAATGAGACAATTTGAAATTTTTAGTGCTAATTAAATTAGATATTTTCAACAAAACAATTAATAACAATATTAGAAGTTATAATCGGATGAAAATTGATTAAGCAATAAAAAATCATTAAAATATATGAAATATATTTTAAATAGTTATTAATATAATAGTAAATTCTAAATTAATAATTTTTTATTTTTCATTAATTTAAATGAAAAATAAATTTTGTCTTAAATTAACATAAAATTAAATGTAAACAATTTAATAAATAATAAATTGTTGAATAAAAAAAAAAAAAAACGAAAAACGAAAAAGAAAAAATTATTTAAAAAAAATTTTTGTGATAATTATTTGTTCCAATAATTAGTTATTATTAATTTACCTGTTCCTTTTGTTGTGAAGGTGTGATGAATTGTGTATCGGATGATGATGATGATATATCCATGGTACTCTCTTCTCGTTTCTATAATTTAGGTAATTTAAATAATTTATTTTTTAATAATTGAAATAATTTGTAAATAATAAAATTAAATTGCAAAAATGATTTAAAAAATTAAACTTTAATTAAGCTTTTTTATTTAGTAAACAAGCATAAATATGTATGGAAAATTTACAGGTAATTTTATTTTTTAATTACTTTTATTGTTAGTAAAATTTAAATGAAAAATAAACACTATCCTAAATTTTATATAAAATTTAACTTTAGCATTTTGAAAATGTTTTTAGAAATTTAATTTCGTATAGTAAATATGATTTTAACTTTTTTTTTTTACATATATATGAAGAGAAAAGTAAATATTTAAACAAAAAAAAGGTTCTGATTTCATTTTTTTTTCTTTTACAAATAAAGAAAGTACAAAAATATTTTCTTATCTTTTCAACTTTTTTCTTTTTTCATTTTTTTTTTTGACAAAGAAATAAAATAACTAAGTTTTTTTTTTTTTTTTTTTTATAATTTTAATAATATTTTCATTTTTCACTTTACACAAATAAATGACAATTATTTTTCATAATTAAATATTTGAAAAGAAAATTAAATAAATAACAATTTGTTATATTTTTTTCTTTCTTTTTGTATAATTAATTATAATTTGTTATTTCCAAATTAAAGAAAAATAAATAATTTATTATTTATTAAACTCGTTTTTTTTTTTCTTTTCGAGAATTGTTCTCGAATTTTTTTTTCTCAATCATAATTTATTCGCTTCCTTCTTTTCTTTATCATTACAATTTCAACAATTACTTCTTATTTTTAACTTTTATTTTATTTCATTTTTTCATTTTTTTTATTTGATTTATTAATCAGTAAATTTTACTTTATATATTTTAAAACAATTACTTTTGTTGCTTTTTTTTTATTTTTTTTTTTGTCTCATTTAATAACTTATTACTTACTTATATATTTATTTTTGGAATAAACAAAAACGAAAGTTTGATTTGATAAAAAATTATTCTTTTAGTTAAAGAGAAAAAAATAAACATTTCCATTAAATGAAATGAATAGCATTAAAAAATAAAAAAATAAACAAAGTAAATAAATAAATAAATTTTTTAGTAATTATATAAATAACAAATTTAGCGACACAATATTGACTATTTCACCTTTTTTTCACGCTTTTTTTCTCAATTTCAATTATTTCAATTGAATATTTCATACGTTATAAAAGCTAAAAACGTTTTCAACGTGTTTGTTCACGTTTACGCTTAATTAAAACTTACTTTTTCGAAGCTATACTTTGTAGTTGAATCATCTTGCAACTCATTTCTAGGCAATTTACTATCTTCAATCACCTCATAATCAATCTTTTTATACTTTCCACCGGATGGCGTTGTCATGAATTCAACACTTGGCAATAGTTGTGGTAATTCTTTTGGCTTTGGACCACCCTTAAAATTAAAGAAATTTTAAAATTTTACTCCAGAAAAAAAAAGAAATGAATACTAAATAACAAACAAGTAATAAGTAATAAAGTAATAAGTAAATAATGAAATAAGTAGGTAATAAGTAACAGGTAAGTAACAAAAGCAATATGCAAGTAACAAAAAAATTTTTTGTGTGAGTAGCAATAAAACAATCAAGTAATAATAAGTAATAGGTAAGTAACAAAAGTAATAAGTAAATAATAAAAAAATTTTTGTGTGTGAATAATAAGGAATAAAATAAGTAAGTAATAAAGTAATAATAAGTAATAGGTAAGTAACAAAAGCAATATGCAAGTAACAAAAAAATTTTTTGTGTGAGTAGTAATAAAACAATCAAGTAATAATAAGTAATAGGTAAGTAACAAAAGTAATAAGTAAATAATAAAAAAAATTTTTTGTGTGTGAATAATAAGGAATAAAATAAGTAAGTAATAAAGTAATAATAAGTAATAGGTAAGTAACAAATGTAATAATTAAGTAATAAAAAAAATTTTCTCTAACTCACTTACTTCTCCATTAATTAAAGATTAATTAATTAAAATTATTTAATTACTGAGTATTACTTATTGCTAATCAAACATACAAAATTATTTTCTACTATAAAAAGGAATTTTTATAAGTAAACAAAAAATGATACTTATAGCAAAGACAAAAATGTAATGAAATTTTCAAAATTAAAAAATTTTAAAATGTGCAAATTTTTGAAAAGTTTTTTTTTTTTTTTTTTTGTTTATTACTATGAAAGAAAATTTATTTATTATTTTAAAAATTTTTAGACAAATGTAAGCTAATAATTGTGCAAATATTACGAAATGCATTCAAATGTTTCAGAAAATTCATTGAATTTGTAAACAATAAACACTGAAAGAAAATATGTAAATAAATTGCATTGCATTTTCCCTCAATGAATTATAATAAAATATTTTATATTAAAATGTTTTGTTTTTTTTTTTTGGTAATATATAAATAAAACATTTTTGATATATTTATTTTCATTTCGTCTTTTATTTTTATTCATTATAATATTTGATTAATCATTTCAAAAATATTAGAAATTTGTTTTTTTTTCTCTCTCTCTCCCTCTCTCTCTCTCTCTCTTTCTTGCTTTTTTTTTTAAAGTAAACATAATTGATGTGTCATTTTTTTTGATTACAAAATTAAAAGAAATGAAATTTGTAAAGGTTACTGAATAAAGCAATGAGAAATTATTTCATGCGCATATGTCACACTTATAATTTTATAATAAATGTTAATTTATAAATTTATTGTTAGTTTAATTTATTTTTATTTAATATATTGATTGTTTTATTTATAAATAATTTACAAATATGCTAAAATTGATTAAATTTATTTTATCAAAAAATAAGTACTTCAAATGCCAGCATTACTTAATTACTTGAATTTTTTAATAATAATTACAAATTTTTTTTTTTTTAGTAATGCAATTGCATGATAATTAATGAGTAAGCATTAATTAGCATTTAAAGAAACTGCCAAAGTTATAAGCTATCTAATCATTCATTTAAATTTATTTTAATGGACAAATTTACAAATTTAGCAAGAAGTAAAATTTATGAAATTAATAAGAGTGTTAAAAAAAAAAATTGAATCAAACTATTTGTTATTATATAATTTAACTATTTATTTAATAATATTAAGACTGGTAATTAATTTTAATTAAATAAAGTAATATATATATTAGTAATTTGAATTGTAATAGAAATGTTTAAAATAAAATATTTGTTATTATATAATTTAATTATTTTTTAGTAATATTAAAATCGGTAATTAATTTTAATTAAATAAAGTAGTATATATTAGTAATTTGAATTGTAATAGAAATATTTGAAATAATAAACAAATTAATAGGATTTACCTTTGGACTCCATTTATTGCCATTGATTGGTCGTGAAAGTGACTCATCGATTGTTTGTTGTTTACTTGTATTCATTTCAAATTGTTTAGTTAGACTTGAGACAACGCCTAATTTTGTTGACGTATCGCTAGTTGGAATTATCGGTGAACTAAGTGACGGAACAGGTGACACTGACGCACGTGGCTAAAAAAATTAACAATTATTTAATAGAAAATTTAAAACAAAATTAAAAAAAAATATATTTCGTAAAATAATTTCTTAACTTTTACATTCTTTTCTTTCTTTCTTTTTTCTTTTTTTCTTTTATTTTTCTCATTTATTATTATTTTAAATTTTTAAAATTTAAAAAATATTTCTATTATTTTTCGTCGTTTCTTTTCCTTTTTTTTTTGAAGAATTGTTGCTTAGAGAGAGAGAGAGAGAGAGAGAAAAGAAGAAAAGGAGGTTTGGAAAAATGATAGAAAGAATAATGAGAGAGAGAGAAGAAAGGAGAAAAAAAAAGTTTAGAAAAATAAGAAATAAAAGTAAATATTTGAAAAGAACTTTTCAAATTGATAAATATTGAATCAAATTTTTAGCTTTTTAAATTTCAACAAGCTAACATTATTTATTTTTGTAATAAACTAGTAAATTAAAATATTGTTTACTTTACATTACATTACTTTACTTTGCTTTTTTTGTTTTTGCTTCTTTAGCAAAAAACAAAAAAAATTAAAAAAAAAAAATTTAATGAATCATAAAAATATGAATGAAACAAAAATAAAATTAAATAAGCATTACCTGAATTGATCATTTTTAAAATAAACAAATTGAAATAGTATTAAAAATTTGGTCCAAAAAAAAAAAATCAAAATATTGGATAGAATTTAATTATAATTTTAAATTAATTACTTTAAATTGTATTAATCATCGCAATTAATCTATTTCAAAATATTTTCTTCCTTTTCAATTATAATTTTAGAATGATAAATTTACAATAAAAAATTTTATATATCAAAAATTAATTAGAACTTACATTTTCTACAAATGAAACGATAAAAGAAAAAATACACCTATAATTAATATTAATTAATAATAATGATTAATAATAATAGAAATAATAATTGTTACTCAATCTTTTTTCTTTTTATAGTCTATAAAAAATTGAGAAAATTAATTTTAGGAATGGGAATGATTTAATAAAATAATAAAATTAAGCATGCGACATGCGACATTTTAAGATTATACGAAAATTAGAAAATTTTGTAAACAACTGTGCAAAATTTAAATTTTAAATGAGAATCGCTGATTTGTTTTTTGATAAAAAAGTGAAAAGATAATACCAAAAATATTTTTACACCAAAAAAAAAAAAAAAAAAAAAAAAAAAAAAAAACAAACAAATAAACAAAATAGTCTAAAATTGTTTACAAATATTTTATTCATGATATAAACTAATTTCAATGTTATTTCATTTCGGAAATTAACATTTCATTGGACGGATCAACATTTGAAAGGAATTAAATTCATTTGTAATCAATTGTAAACAAATAATTAATACATTCGAGTTGTAAACAAATAATTAATGCATTTAAATTAACCAACAAATACATTTATTTAAATTGTTAAATTATATTTATATTTGTTTAAAATTATTTTGAAGAACAAAAAAAAACTGAAAAATGATGGAAATTCAGAACAGAATTAATTAATTAACAAATATAAAAATGAGTTGAATTTTTTTAAAAATTTAATTCTACACAATTGTTTTTAAATTTTTTGACATTTAAATTTGCCAAACTTTCTTTTTGCATAATTGAAAATTACTTTAAAAGGTGCGCATTGTTAATTTTATACTTATCTAATTACTTATACTTATATCGCTGAACAAAACTCAATTAACAATAATTAATTAATTTCAATTAGTAAACAAAAAACTTTTACATTGTTAATAAAAAATTAAAATGTCAAAAGTTTTTAATAAAAAAAAAGAACAAATATTTTTGTTATTTAAAAAAAAAACTCAAAATTTCTTCATATCGAAATAATTATTTAGTCTTCGCTGTTTTTTTTTTCTTTTTTTAAATTTAAAATTAAATGAATAAATCTGTTCCGGTTAAAATCATTTTTTAAATTATTAAAGCTTTTTTTTTTTACAAAAGGAATTTTAGAGAGTTAAAAAAGAAAAATTTAGAAATGCTAAAAAATTTTTTCACTGATTGATTAATTTTATTTCTTCCTTCTTTTTTCTTTTTCACTATGAAATTAAAACATTTGTGTTAATCCGGAAATATGCAAATAACTACGAAATGATTATAATTCCGGAATAATCCTAGCACATATTGCATTACTCATTGTAATATGTAAATAATTAAAAATTTCACTCAATTTCAAATGAATTTATCAATTGAAAATTGACACTTTATAAATACAATGAAATAATAATAAATAAATAAATTATTTAAAATTTAATAAATTATAAAATTGTTTTCTTTCTTTTCCAAACAAAAAAAAAAAGAAAGAAAAAGTATTTCCTCAAATACATTTCATTTTAATTTTTTTTTTAATTTTTGTCAAAAAAAAAAAAAAAAAAGATAAAATGACAATATTTTGATGAAAATAAACTATGTCAATTTTTGAAATGAAATAAAATATTTCATTTATTTACAATTTAAAGATTAAAATTAAAATTTAAAAAAAAAAAAAAAAAAAACAGATTCATTTTTCATATTAGCTTATATAAAATAAAATATATTAAACGATTAAAATTAAATTTAAAAAAAAACAAATTCTTTTTTTGTTATTAGCTTATATCAAATAAAATTTTTATTGTAAAGCTATTTAGCAAAAAAAAACAAAACAAAAAAAGTTGAAAAAAATTAAATTCACCGTAATTTTATTGTGTCGGCGTCTCTTTGATCTAGCTTCTTTAATAATTGTATTCGTTGTATCAGAATTAGTAGCAGTTGTAGTATTAATATTAATATTTTTTTTAAATTTTTTTTGTACAGCACAACTAATACGATTAGTTGTTTTACTTAAGCATAAACACATTTTTTTTTTAAAAAAATTTAAAATTTTAAAAATTAAAAAATTTTAGAGGAAAGCAAATTGCGTAGGTAATAAATGGTAGTATGTGTTAAAGAAGGAAATAGAATTCGAAATGTATATTTTTTGATAAAAAATTAAAATTGGGAAAATGAAAATTGCGGTCGATAGAAGAATGAATGAATGAATGAATGATTGTAATAGATTGGTTGGAAATGATGTAATAATAAAAAAAAAAAAAAAATTATTAAATAAAGTAATTAAATTTAAAATGTTGACAAATTTTTTTTTTTTTTTTTTTTTTGTGACAAAGAATGTATCAAATTAAATTTAAAAAACAAAAAAAAAAAAAAAAAAACAAAATTGATAACTGATAGATTATACGGTTAATATTTGACAGTTTAAAAAAAAAAAAAAAAAAAGCAAAAATTGAATTAATCAATTTGACCGAATTGAAATTTAAAAAAAAAAAAAAAGGAATTTAATTTGTATTTGTATTTTTTTTTTTTGTTATTTCCTGAAAATTTTAATTTAATTTTTTCTTTTTTTTAATAGTAATTGACAGATAATATTTTTAGAGGATTGCAATGTTTTTTTTTTTTTTTTTTTTTTTAAATTTTTTTTAAATATTTTAAATACATTTGACATAATTTTTTTTTTTTTTTTTGTTCATTTTCTTTTCTTTGTCATCTTTCTTCCAATATTTTTACATTTTACAGTTTAAAAAGAAATTTAAAAAAAAAAAAAAAAATGTTAAAATTTCTTAGAAACAAGAATGGCAATTATAAAATTGAAATTTTTAAAATGAACAAAAAGCATTTTCGAATTTTATTAAATAATTCTAAATTTTTTAAAATTTTATTTTGTTAAATTTTTTTTTTCCGAGAATTACAAATTTTTGAAAATAATTTTAATCATTTATTGTTAAATATACATATGTATATATATCCTCGATTGTTTGTTAATTTTATTTCAATTAGAAATTAAATTTTTATTTCAAAAAAAAAAAAAAAAGAAAGAAATGGAAATTCACATCTGGCAAACATAAATTTAAGCAAAATCTGCTAAAAAAAAATTCAATTTTAAATTGTAATTACCAAATTAATGTTGAAAAAAAAAAAAAAACTGAAATTTTAACTGAATGTAAATAATAGAAAAAGAAAATTAGCAAAAACAAAAATTCAACATTTAAAAATTTTGATAAAAAAAGTATGTTTACAAAATTTATAATAAAATAATATCTGAAATGTAAACAATTCTAATTTTCATCCAAATATATTTTACCTTTTTGTTTACCTTATGCGACAGGTAATTTGATAAAATCAATTTAAAAAAAAAGTCTAATTACAACAATTTTTGTAATTTATTATCAGTTTTTTTTTTTTTTTTTAAATTCTTTCTCTCTTTTCTTTTTTATTAAAATAGTAATAATAAAATGAAATTTTCTTTCTTTCATTTTAATTAAAATTAAAATTTATTTCTATTTAAAATTAAAATTTATTTCTGAGTTATTTTTTTTTAATTATAATTTCGATTTGTACCTATTTTACTTTTTTAGTTGCTTATTTGTGCTCTAATCTAAAAAATTAAGTGTAATATTTTTTTTTTTTTAAAAAAAAAAAGAAAAACAATAAAAGTATGATCTATTTAATAGAGATTAAATTTTTTTTTTAAATTTCTTTAAAATTAGTGAATTATATTTCAAATTTAAATGTGCAATTATATTAGATAAAAAAATTATTTTATAAATAAATAAATAAGATTTTTCATTTTAAATAATGATTAATTTGCAAATTTTTGTAATAAATAATAAAGATTATTCTATTGAATTGTTTAAGATAATTTTAATTAATGAAAAGTTTATTTACTTTATTTATCTTCTTAAACATTATGTATCAAAATTATTTTAAAATTATAATTCCGCCTTCGAAAATTAACTCGAGATTAAAAAGAAATTTACAATAAAAAGTAAAAGAAATGAGAAATTTAAATATTAAATTTATATTTCAGTAATAATATTTTATAACTTTTGCTTAAAAAAAAATTTTTTTTAAAAAAAAAAGTATAATTTTAATGCATTTTATTATGATAACTTTTTATCAAAAATCATTCATTTTGCTGACTTACATTTGTAAGTATTAATTTAATTTTGTTAAATTTTTAATTTTGTTAAATTCTTACTGTCTTACTTCAATCATTCAACTTTTAATTGATTTGTCACATCGATTTATTTCATTTTACTACTGATCACATTATGTCAAACGATGCAGTTCACATGGTTTAATATAAAATTGAAAATTAAAAAATGTTAATTGAAATTCATAATTAATAACTCAAATATAATTTAAAAAAAAAAAAATTAAGCAATAATTGCATAATTTTCAAATGGCATATTTAATAATTCGTTTGATATTATAATTTTATGTTTTAAAATTATCAAAAATTATATTTCATAGCTATTAAAATTTCCTTTTTTTTTTTTTTTTTTGTAATTATTAATTTTGTTTATTTATTTACTCATATATTTATTTTTTTATTTTTCCTTTAATTTCTGCAGAAAAAAGAAGTGATAAAATTGGTAGTGATAATAACATGAACTATCAGAGTAATACTAATAATAATATTAATAGTAATAATAATGATGTTAGTAATAATAATGATATTATTAATAATAATAGTAATATTAATAATAATATACCATCGTTATTTTACTGCAACAAACAATTTTTACACAAACTTTTCTTTTCATTTTTGCATTTTTTCTCTTTTTAATTTTATTTTCATAAAAAAGTTTACAATGACCCAATTTTTTTTCTTTTTTTTTTTTTTAAATTAATTCAATTTTCCAAAAAAAAAAACAAAAAACCTAAAAATATATTTGTTTGTTTGTTCGTTTTTCTTTCTTTTTTTTGAATTTCGAACGTTTTTAAAAAATTATTTATTGGTAAAAATTCGAATGAAAATTGGTAAAGTTAAAAAAGTATTCTAAAATTAAAAAAAGTACATTGTCGAGATTTTTAAATGTAAAGTAAAAAAAAAAAAAAATGAAATGAAATGATCTATCATTTCTAAATGTCATTTGTCATCAGTTCACAACTAATGCAAATGTGACGATCATAGTTTGATCAAAATTATTTCAACGAAAAAATTAAACGAATAAAATTTTAATCTTTATTTGTTTTAAAATTTTTGCATTTTTAATTTTTAATCGAAATTTATTTTTTATTTTTTTTGAAAGAAAAAAAAAGAAAAGTAAAAAATTTTTTATAATTTCAAAATTTGTAAATATTGTTAAATGATTTAATTGTAATTTGATTTGAATTTAATAAAACACTCCTTATGAAATATTTCACTTTTTTTTCTTTTATTTGAAATATTTAAATTTCAAAGTTTATAAATAATAAAAACTTTGAAATTTTAAAAAGTTTAAGAATTTGGTAAAACAAATCGATTTTTATAAAAATAACAAATAAGCTCAAAAAAAAAAAAAAATCTTTAATTTATTTTCAAAATAATATAAATATTTGTTTACTCTTTTTTGTTAATTTAATAATTCAATAAGACTAAAAAAAAAAAAAAAAAAGATGAAAAACAATGATATCTGAAATTAAATACTAAAATACCTTTTGCTAATATAATCGAATTGAGCATAAATAATTTGTAATCAATAAAAGTAATTATCAATTAAATTCATATAAATAGATTCAAATTTTCTCATTTCAATAAAAATTCATTTCATACTTTCATTTATTAAAATAGAAAAATAATTAAATTCATTTTACATATATTTATTCACTCATTAAGTGAGCATTTAATTAATTTAAATTAAACTTTTAATTACAATTATCTAATTTATAAAATTTTTCTTCAATTTCCAATTTCATTAAAAAAAAAAAAAAAAAAACTGTTAATGATAGTACAAATTAAAATAATTGATAATAAACTGATAATTAAATTTCACACACAAAAAAAAAAAAAAAATTTAATACCTCAATGGAATATTTAAATATCGAATATTGTCTGATCATTTCATCCGTCACTTCAAACGTTACTATTTGCTCACGTACGTCACTTTTTTTTTTTTTTTTTTTATTTCAATTCTATAAAAATATCTAAAATTTAAAAAAAAAAGAAAAAAGCAACAGCTAAAGCAATGAAATGAAAAGAATTGAAATAAAAGTGAAATTGAAGAATGAAAAATTTTTGTTCAATTCGATGACAAATAATTTTTTAAAAAAATTTTGTTGAAAGAGGGTAAAATTCATTTTATATTTGCAAAAGCAACTAAACTATACTCATTTTCTCTTCTTTTATTTAAAAAGAGGAGAAAATGATGAGTGAAAGGGGAAGGAGGAAAAAGGAAGGGAAATGAACAAAGAGAGAGAGAGAGAGAGAGGTAGGAAAGGAGGTAAAATGAGGAGGAAGAAGAAGAAGGTAGAAGGAAGAAATGAACAGAGAGAGGGAAGAAAGGAGGTAAAATGAGGGAAAAGAAGAAGGTAGAAGGAAGAAATGAACAGAGAGAGGTAAGAAAGGAGGTAAAATGAGGGAGAAGAAGAAGGTAGAAGGAAGAAATGAACAGAGAGAGGTAAGAAAGGAGGTAAAATGAGGGAGAAGAAGAAGGTAGAAGGAAGAAATGAACAGAGAGAGGTAAGAAAGGAGGTAAAATGAGGTGGAAGATGGAAGGAAGATTAAAAGAATTGAAAGAAATGAAAAAAAGCTTATTTCTTGATGAATAGAAACAGTTAGTTTAATTTATGATTAAAAAGTAAATATCCGGAATAACCGGATATTTATTATTGTTTATTACATACCTTTATGCTAGTTTAATTTTTATTTTTAAATTCTGTTATTTCACTTTCTTTTCTTCACTTATTTCAATAATTAATTTTCTTCTACTTTTCATCATTTTTTCGTTTTTCTTTCTTTTTTTTTTTTTTGTTGTAATATTGATTAGAAAGTTTAGAAAAGATAATTTAATGGAACAAATGTTACATTATTGTTTACAATTTTTATCTTTTCACCAGTATACATCGATATGTAACCAAAAAAAAATTTTTTTTTTTTTTTTTGCAAATTTTAAAACCAAAAAAAAAAGTGAAAAAAAAAAAATCCAACCAGTTTTATAGAATTTTTTTTTAAAAAAAAAAAAAGAAAATGAAAAATTATAATTTTTTTTTCTCTTTTTTTTGAACTTTTCATTATTATTTCAAAGTAATATGAGAGAAAAGTAATCAGGAAAATTATTGATCCGGAAAATTTTCAATCTAAAATATGTGATCATACAATCTTATCAGTTCTATTATTTATTATTATTTTAAATTTTATCACTTCTTATGTAATCATTATTTTTTCTTCCATTTAAGAATTATCATATTCTAACCTGAAAATTCAATTCTAACTCATAATGCTCCTAATAGGTTGAATTCCTAAAAGAGTAATCAAATTAGACATTTTTTAAAATTAAAAAAAGAAAAAAGTAAAATCAAAATTTAATAAACTCCGGAAAAAAAAAAAAAAACATAAATTGCAAAAAAAAAAAGAGGAAAATTCGATGATTAAAATAATCGAAAATTTGAAGAATATTAAATAAATTAATCGGAACCATAAAAGACTAACATTTTGAGTTTTTATTATCAAATAAAAAGTTAATCTTTGCCTAAAAAATTAAAAAAGTTAATCTCAATCTTTGTTTCTTATAAATTCAATTAATTCATTTAATTAAATTATTTATTTTAACATTTAAATTCTACACCAAACATTTACTCAATTTTTGCATTTGAAAAACAAAAACGAAGCAAACTTAACTTGAACTAATGTCAATATTATGGAAAAGGAATAAATCATGTAATCTAGTTTTTAAGTAATTAATTACTTTGATAAAAAAAAAATTCGAAATTCATGTTACTAAATGTTACAAACGGAAACGAACAAAAAAAAAAAGCGAAGTACTTTTCATCAGTGAAACAAAATTTATAAATGAAAGAAATTATAAGTCGTTTCTCTCTCTCTCTCTTTCTCTCTCTCTCCCTCAAAAAAAAAAAAAAAAAAAAGGAAATGAAATGATGGAAAATTTCAATTGTTCATTACTTTATAAATTTTAACAAAAAAAAAATTGAAATGACTTAAACGAATTTCCCAGATGATTAACTATTAACTGGCATTACTCATAGCACTTTAGTATGACTAATTTATTCATTGTTAATCAAACATTTTTATCGCAAATTATAAAGAAAAAAAAATTAAAATTTACAAAAATTTTAATTAACAATAATAAAGGAAAAAAAAAAGCGTTAATTTAAATTTATAAAATTCGATTTTTTTTTTCTTTTTTTTTAATTTATAAATTTAATTAGAATTAACTTACAGCGATGTTTTCTTCAGTAAATTTTGAACCACTTGCAACTTTCTTAATTGCAGTAGTAGTCGTAATTGTTGTTTCAGTGGTAATTGTTGAATCAGCAGGCAAATGAACAGCTATTGATGGACTACTATTGTACAACGTATTTCTTATTGGTAAGCTATAATCATATTAATTAATTAATTAATTAGTTGGTTAGAAATATCAGTAATTAATCAAAAACTAATCATAAATATGCAAATATTTTATATAATACAATCTATTTGAAGTAAATTTAAAAAAGAATTAAATTTTTTTTTTATTATTAAAAAAGCAAATGTAAAATTTAAAAAAAAAAAATTTATATCATTAATATTTAACTATTACTAACAATATTAGATTATCATTGTCTGTTATCATTATTATCATTGTTGCTATAGCTATTATTATCTCATTATTATTGCTATTGTTATTGGTATTATTATTGTTTCGGAATTTTTCATGAGGAAAAATTAATTTCAATACTTGAATTTAAAAATTTTCTCAATTTGATGACAAGGAAAAAGTAGGAAAAAAAAAAATTAAAAGGTTAAGAAGAAAGTTAATTTTATTAATTAAAGGAAAGCTCAGAAATAGCTTTTTTATTAAGAAATAAACATTGCATAGAAATGTTTTAGCTACAATAACGTTGCAGCTAAAATGAAAAGTGCAATAATGTTGCAACTACAATAAGATCACATAAAGAGTGCAATAATAGTGTTGCAACTACAATAAGATCACATGAAAAGTGTAACAATAGTGTTGCAACTACAATAAGATCACATGAAAAGTGTAACAATAGTGTTGCAACTACAATAAGATCACATGAAAAGTGTAACAATAGTGTTGCAACTACAATAAGATCACATAAAGAGTGCAATAATAGTGTTGTAACTACAATAAGATCACATGAAAAGTGTAACAATAGTGTTGCAGCTACAATAAGATCACACGAAAATGCAATGACAATGTTACATTCATTTAATCGCCAAATAATACTTCAATTTTCACAAAATGTTATTTACTTATAAAATGATTTACTGTATCATTTGTCATTGATATTCTTTCTTCGGTTTTTTAAAAATATTACATTTAAAATGCTACAGTGTCTCACTGACAAAAGTTAAAAATATATTTCGAAAAGGTCACTAAAAGGTCATTCATATATTCTGATACATTTTCTTTCTTTCTATATTTCACTCACATCTATTCTAATCAATTTCACATTTATCAAATCCATTTAATAATTATTGTTAATACTTCCTTATTTCTACTATATTATAATTTTTACTTTTATATTTGTACCATTTCTCTGGCATCAAAGTACCTAAACAATACTGATAATATGGTTAATTTCTTAAAAAAAGAAAAAGATGCAAATTGGTACTACAAAAATGCTTCGAGCAAATAAGCATAACTTTTTTGTTGTGGTAATATTCAAATTAAGTTAGTCAAATTTAATATATTCTGTTTTTTTTTTTTTTTTTTTTTTTTTTTTAATTTTCAAAATTTCTGAAATAAAACATAAAAAGTTATAAATTGGAATAAATTTTGAATTAGAATTTGCAATTCTTTTCCATTATGTAAATTTTTATATTTATTAGTGCTATGTTTATTTTCGTTTTACACATTTTTATATTTTATATATGCGTTTGTTTTAATATAAATTTTATTTTCATTTATTATTTTTTATTTTTATTTATTTTCTATTTTTTCATTTTATATATTTCTAAATGTTTTTTCCTCTTTTTATTGTAAATACGATTAATAGTTCAAAAAAAAAAAAAACAAAATAAAAACATATATATATATTCTTCAATAATATAATTGAATATTAATCATGCAAAAGATAGAAAATATTTAAAAGTGAAAATTTAAACAAAAGCATTTTTTATTGATTGCGAACAAAAAAAAAAAAAAAAAAAGAGGAAAGAAGAAGAAAAGTAGTAAATAAGTAATAATTCATTTTTGTATAAACAATTGTGGCAGTTGAAAAAATAAATCGAAAAAAGAAGTAAAAAACTTTAAAAGAAGTTGAAATGAAAAAATTACAAAATTTTTTGTATTTAAAGTAAAAATCAAAAAAACAAAAGCAAAAAAAAAAAAAAGATTTTTATTAATTACGCAAATAACAATTAAAATAAGAATGAAAAAAAAAATTTTTTTATCACTTCAATTTTTCAATTAATTATTTATTTGATAAGATAAGCATATTTAATGAAGCAAATGTGATTAAAGCAATATTATTTAATCATTTCTAATTCTCTTTCTTAATTAATTAATAAAATAAATAATTATGAAAAATTAATTGGAAAAGTTTATATTTGATGATAATAAACAATGAAATTAAATTGTTTAAAGTTCATATTAAAGTAAAAAAAAGAAAAGAACTGCTAAAGTTAAAGTTTAAAACAAAATAACTTGTTTTTTTTTTGTTTTTTTTCATTCCCATAATTTTACATCCTATTCATTTGTCAACCAAATTGTCAACCAAATTACATTATTTTAAAAAATTAATTATTATACAATAAATATTGTCATTTGATAAGGTATTTGATTATTTCATTACTTTTATCATACAATTAGTAAATCAATTTTGTTTTAATACCATTTCTTTTTCAGTTGTTTTACAATAAAATATTAATACAATTATATTTAATTAATTATTTTCTTTTTATATAATTATTAAAAACTTTTAATCTACCTGTATTCAGGTGTACCAGCAGAATCTGAATAACGAGTTGTGGATATTGTTTCTTCGTATGTTGTTGATTCACTTCGATAACCTGATTCACCAGCTCGTTCGTTGTTTGCTTGTGATAATTGATTTCGATTATTTATGATATTCTCGTAATCACTGAGAAATTCTCGTAATGATCCTGATTTAGACCTAAAAATTTTGACCTACTTTTTATATGCTAAATTTGATCTGAAAAAATTTAGACTTATTTTTATATGCTAAATTGTGCCTAAACATTTAGGCTTATTTTTTTTTTTTTTTTTTAAGCTAATTTGAGCCTAAAAATTTAGATTTATTTTTATGTGCTAATTTGTATCAAAAAATTTACACTTATTTTTATATGCTAAATTTGATCCTAAAAATTTAGGTTTATTTTTTGTATGCTAATTTTAATCTAAATTTTAATTAAAATTTTAAGCTCAAGAAAATTTTGATTGTATATACACATGCAAAAAATGAAATATTTAATTATAATTTTTAAAGATTATGAAAAAATTGAAAATTTTATAATTCTAAAATTTTATATTTTATAAACAAATATTTCTAAAGAGAAATTATGAAAAAAAAAAAAAAAAAAAAAAAATAAAAATTTTTATTTGCTGTTTAATGAATTGAATAATTTCTAATATATTTTATATAGCACATTTATATCTAAAAAAAAAGAAATAAATAAATAAAAAAGAAAATTTTAACAATCAAAAAGTAATATAAATTCGTTTATTAGTACATACAAATTTTATAAATTAATATCAAAAAAACTAATATTATAATTTATAAATTTTAATGAAAACAAACAGAAATTTTTGTTAATCAAAATTTACGCTATTGTTAAATCGAAAAAAAAAAAATTTTTTTTCAAATACTAAAAAAATTCAAAATGAAATTATTGGAAAAATTTTTGCTAATATATAATTTTTTCAATAAATACAATTAAAAAATTTTGCTAATTTACGAAAATATTTGAGTCAAATAATTTTATTAAAATCAAATTAATAATAAATAAAAATTAAATTAAATTAATAAATAAGAATCAAATTAATAATTAAATCATGAATGTAGTTAAATACAATATAATTCAAGAATATTTTAAATTATTAATTGCTTTTAAAAATAAGCAAAATATTTGTTTTATTAACAATTATAGTCATTAATAATTTATTTATTAAAGTAATAGGTGATATCAATTTAATGTTATCATAAGTAATATCAATTTAATGTTATCATAAGTAATGTCAATTTAATGTTATCATAAGTAATATCAATTTAATGTTATCATAAGTAATATCAATTTAATGTTATCATAAGTAATATCAATTTAATGTTATCATAAGTAATATCAATTTAATGTTATCATAAGTAATATCAATTTAATGTTATCATAAGTAATATCAATTTAATGTTATCATAAGTAATATCAATTTAATGTAATCATAAGTAATCTCAACTTTCTCTATAATTCATCCATATAACAATTTGATTTAATTAACTTAATATAAAAGATATAAGTTAAGAAATAATTTACCAGATGTTATCATCTGTAATACTATCTTCGTTCTTATCATTATCATCAATGCTATCAATACTTTCATCGATATCACTGCTGCCATTATCACATTCCTCAATTGAGGCTATGAAATTATTCAAATAAATATTAAACAATCGATGAATTTCGATTGATAATCGAAGACCCATTCTTTTCTTTTTCCTTTTCCTATCACTGATTCATTCTTATCATCATAGTGATAACATTATCAGAGTGTAATTTAAGCATTAATTATCACAGTAGTAAGTAGTAGTAATTTAATTGATTTCAGCGAATAATCAATGAAAAATTTTTTTTTTAATAAATTGAATAATCACTTGTAAATTAAACGATTATTATAATATGTTGCATTTCGAATGGAATTTTTTTACGAAGAATTTTCATTTGAATAAATTTCATAGAAATAAATGTTTGAAAAAATAAATTACAGTAACAGAGTGATAAAAAATTATGTGAAAAGCAGTTAAAATACAGTTTAGAATGATGTAAAAATAATTATTAATGAACAAATAAGGTGGAGCATAAAAATTTAATGGAAAAAAAAAAAGTTTCGTTCTTTTCGTTTTTTTTCTTCATTTTTAAAAAAAAAAAAAAAATATATTTTACATTTGAAATTATAGCAATCAAATAAATGAAATGAAATGAATTGAATTGAATTGAAATGAAATGAAATGAATTAAAATGGATTGGAATGAAATAAAATGAAATGAAATGAATTGAATTGAATTGAATTGAAATGAAATGAAATGAATTGAATTGAATTGAATTGAAATGAAATGAATTGAATTGAATTGAAATGAAATGAATCAAAATGGATTGGAATGAAATAAAATGAAATGAAATGAATTGAATTGAATTGAATTGAAATGAAATGAAATGAAATGAAATGAAATGAAATGAAATGAAATGAATTGAATTGAATTGAATTGAATTGAAATGAAATGAAATGAATTGAATTGAATTGAATTGAAATGAAATGAATTGAATTGAAATGAAATGAAATGAAATGAAATGAAATGAATTGAATTGAAATGAAATGAAATAAAATGAATTGAATTGAAATGAAATGAATTGAATTGACTGGATTAATCAAGAAAAGATTACAATATGAAATGATAAATTAGTAATGTAATTTGTAACAATGATTCATTTTACTTTTTTTTCATCATCCTTTTTGCATTTAATTTAATTTCCATGTCAAATATTTGTTTATTTTTTAAATTCATTCTTCTAAATTATTTTATAAATATTTTTATATTTTTTGAAATTTGCACCGTTTAATATTCAAATTTGATAATTAATATTTGATCATTTCATTCTATTCTATCAATTATTGCATTAATTACTTCGTTTTTTTTTACTGCGTTAAAAAAAAGAGTTAATTAATATAATTAAAATTTAAATTAATTGAAATCAATTATTAACTGTGTGTTTATTCATTATAACTTTTTAGAATAAATTCTTTTTTAAAAATCATTTGTAAATAAATTTTATTTCTAACTTATTCATAAATTTCATTTCTTAATTTATTTATATATTGTTCGTAAATATGATTTAAATTTTAATATTAGTATGTAAATTTGTATCAAATATTTTTTGATCTTTTCATTTTTAAAAAATTATTCTAATAAATATTAAAACAAAAACAAAGAAAAAAAAATATTTTCCATTCCTGCTATAAAAATAAAATTTATACAATTTTATTTTAAAATGTTTTTATTTATAAAATTTCAAAAATTTCAATTACCTATTGATACCTGGCATTTTTGTAATTAGATTTGCAATTAGATTAAAGTAAGCACCGCTTGATCAATCAATAAATCAATCAATCAATCAACAATAAAAAGACGTTTCCCTTTTTTTTTTTTTTTTTTGCAGATTATTCGCTCACAAATGATATAATTTTATTCAAATTTAATTGATTCATAATTTTTTGCTTTTTCTGTTAACTGTCTGAAAATTTATGGAAAATGAAAAAAAAAAAAAGAAAATTTAATTAACAAATAAATTTTGTTTAGAAAATTTTTATATATTTTTCAAAATATGACATTAAATTATAAAGTTGTAACAAAAATATTGAAATTTTTTCTCATCAAATCATTTAATCACTAATGCAAATGAGAAAAGATAAGTGATATGATAAGGCTAACATTTGATAAATAAAACAAAATTTCATTTTCTTCCTCCCTTTTTTTTTAAATATATATTAAAATTTAAGCAACAATAATGATATGATAATGATATCTTCCATTGATGAGTAAAATTTTCCTAAGTTTATCATTTATCATTTTGCTTTTAATTTTTTCATATTTTTTTTTATCTAAAATTTCTACTATAATTTTTTAAAGTAATGATAACTGAAAAGATGAAAGTAATAAGATTTTTTTTTTTTTTTTTTTGAATTATTTGAAAATGACTAAACGTTATTTAAAAATATTTAAACCAATTGAAAAACCGTTTTTTTTTAAACTATTTGATTTTTTAAATTAAAAAATTTGTTAAATTATTTAAAAAAAAAAAAAAGAAAAAAGCTTAATTTAAAATAGATTGAAAAGGATTGTTTTTACCCAATTGTGAAAATTTGCAAATAGTTTATGAAATGAATTCGAGGTGTGTTACAGAATTTAAATTATCGATTGGATAAAGAGGTGACAAAGTGGTGACAAAGAGATGAAAACTGGAAATAATTCAAAAGTGGCTGAAAGCAAATGACAAAATAATATTTTTGCAATGAAATAAACAAAAAACTGTATGCTTTTTTAGATAAATATTTTGACGTTACTTACGTTTTACTTAAGTGAAATTTTTTTATTTTACTTACGTTTTACTTAAGTGAAACTTTTTTATTTTTCTTTTACTATTTCTTTTCTAAAAAAAAAAAAAAAAAAAAAGTTATCAAAAAAAGAGAAAAAAAAAACTTCCAAAAAAAAAAGAAAAAAAATGATCAAAAATTAAAAAAAATTCATCGTTTCAGTCAAAATATTTGCCAGAATGGATGATTTTTATAAATTCAAATGACAATTTGTAAAATTTAAATCAATAAAATTTGAATAAAAATGAATGAAAATATTTTAAAACTATCCATGTGATTACAGTTATTTATATTTCATTGTAAATTAATATTATTTATCAAAATTTATAAATTTATTAAATTAGTATTAAAATTTAAATATGTGTCAGTGACATAAATTAGTTATTGTCATTTTTTCATAATAACTTTTGCCATATATTTAATTTAAATTGCATATTGTTATGATACACACATATTGTAAACATATATCATATGATTGTGTAATATTTGTTATAAATATTTATTTAATATTATTGTTATTATTATCATTATCGTTATTATTAGAATTTATTAATCATTATTTTTTTCATCTTTGCTTATTATTATTGTCATTATTGTTATTATTATTATTATTATTATTTATTTATCATTGTTTTTATTGTTATTATTATTACTAGTTTATTATTATTATTATTGTTATTGTTATTATTATTACTTGTTTATTATTATTATTATTGTTATTGTTATTACTTGTTTATCATTATTATTACTATTGTATTATTATTACTTGTTTATCATTATTATTATTGTTATTATTATCATTGATTGCATATAATTTTCGAGTAAATAAATTTTATGTGCTATTTATATGTTATACAAATTACACTTATATTATATATTTAATTTTTCTTATTTATTATAAAAATTCGCAATATAAATTATTTGTTACTACTTTTATTATTATTAATTACTTTTATTACTTTTATTTGTTACTTTTATTAATTTTTTATTATCATTATTAATTACTAATATATATATATTAGCAAATTATTTATTATTAATGAGCATTCCTATTCTATATATGACAATTTCTCATTTCAATTTAAAATTCAATTTATCCTTTTTTTCTTCTTTTCAATTTATAATAAAAAAAAAAAATGAAAACTTTGATGCACCAACCTTATATGTGTCCGTTTTCCATCATTTTCCACTATATTTCGATAATTTTCATTAATTTGATATCCCATACGATCACTGCTACCTGATGATATCCATTGATCGTTCATATATTCACGTTGTCTCTCTTCACGTTGCTCACGGTAACGTTCACGTAACTCTCTTTGTTGTACGTGTTCATCGATTATTTTTGGTTCACAATGTACTTTAATTGGTCTTCCCTAAAAAATTTTTTCTTTTCTTTTTTTTTTTAAAGAAAAAGAAAAAATGAAAATAAAAGTATAACAAATTAGTATTATTTATTAATTTTATAGAATATATTCCATTTCTAAAATATAACATTTAATTTTAATACTTAAATTATTTTTTCTATGAATATATATGATTTAAATTTTATAATTTGAAATGATGAAAAAAAAAAAAAATTGAATAAACAAAACATAGTGTGATGGAGTGGAATCATCAAGGATTGTTTCAACAGCCATTGAGATCTGAAATTTTAATTCAAATTAATTTTTGATAATATTTATTTACACAAAAAATAAACATAATTTTTTTTTTTTTTTTTGACCAAAATGATTTATGTTAGAAATAATTTCAAATTTCTAAACAATTTACATTTTCCTAAAGCTTTCATTTTTAATTTTCAAAAAATTTTTTTTTTGAAATTTTTTTAATTTTAGTTATTGTTTACATTCCGCTGAAATTTAAATAATAACTCAATTTAGTTTTTCTTTTTCTAAAAACTTATTTCAAATGTTTCAAAAAAAAAAAAAAATGAAAAATGAAAAAGATTTTTTATTAAAATAGTTAATTTTTTGATTAGAGAAACAAGAATGAGTTATAAAAATGAAAATTTTAGCTCATATTTTAAAAAAATTTTAATCTTTAATCCGAAGTATATTTTAGTTTTGTTATACTAAAATTAAATATGAAATCAATTCGAATAATTATAAATTCTAAATTAGATATTGAAAAAAAACAAAAAACAAACAAAAGGAATCACTGAAATGAAAAAGTAATTTAATAAAAAAAATTATCATTGATTAATGAAGAAGATAATTCTTATGATATTCCGTTTCACTTTTAAACTATTAATTAAATTAAATTAATAAATTTCAATCTTTTCATTAAAGAAAAAAAAATTAACAATTCATTAGATTCTAGAAAGTATTTGAATTTTTGATATAATAAAATAATTTTTATGTTTTACTGAAAATTTGAAATGAAAACAATTCCTATTCATTGATAAACATTAAATATTTAATGCTAACTTTTTTTTAAGCAACAACAATTTCAAATTTATGATTATTTGATTTAAATTATTTCATAAAATAGTCTTATTAATTAATTCCTATAACTTTTAATATAATAATAATTAAGTTTCACAGAAATATTTAATTATATATATATAATTAATTATAATAATAATTAAGTTTTACAAAATTATTTGAAATATTTTTTTCATTTCCTAAAATGAATAAATCAAAAAATTGAAAATTAAAAGAGAAAAGATAAAGAAATAAAAATTTAATATTGAAAAAAAAAAAAAGGTTCAAAATTTTTGAACTTAAAATTGGTTTATTTTAATACCAAATCATATTGATAAACCTCGACTTGCATATATCCTCCTCCTCTGCTATTGTCACCATCATTGACACATTTATCATAATCTTGTCTTATCTAAAATTATATTACATTTTTATTAATCTAATAAATTCATTAATTTTATTAACATCGTAAAATTTAAAATTTTTTATTTTATTTTTGTAAAAAAGAAAAAAATTTTTTTTTAAATTGTTCAAACTATTAAAAACATTTCAAAAATTCAAAAATTTTGCACACAATTTCAAATTTAACAAAAAAGTAATTTCTCTTTTTTTTTCAGTTTAATTTATAACAATCAAATTAGATAAATAATTGAAATGTAAATTTTGCTAATGGATTTGAAGAGAAAATTAGCAAAAGGTGAAAGTTCACAAATGCAAAATATAAAATTGAAAATGACTTTAACTTCTTTTTTTCTATTTTTTTTTTGAACCTTTTTGAATTTTGGATTAAAAAAAAAAAAAAATGATTATAAATAATAAGTATCCGTGGAAAGAGAAATTACAATTTGAATAGAAATCTATTAAATTTAAAAATTAAATTTTAACTAATCAATTTTTAAAATAAAACAAACGATAAAAGCATTGAATAAATGAAAATTCAAATTATTCGCATTTATCAAATGCATACAATTTATCGCAATTAATTTAGGTTAATATTTTTGCAATTCAGAAATTAAATTTAAAATTTTTTTTTTTTTTTGAAATTGCTACATTAACTTACTTTTTTTTCTTGTCCAAGTAATTTTGGTAGTATTTAAAAATATGAAACTTTTTTTTTTCTTTTAAAATTGAAAAAATTTTAATTTTTCTTTTTTTTTTTTTTAATTATCAATTTTCGTTAATATTTTGTAATTAATAGTAATTTAATGAATACATTTGAAATGAATCAAATAAATAAATGCTAACTTCAGTTCGTTCAACAACCATACGATTGCGAGTTCGAGATTGCGAGCGCTGTTGTTGTCCACTATGCGCCACAGGTGTTAAATTTGAAAATGATTCCGATTCTAACCGATGTGGCATCGTTCGATCTAAATACAAAAAAAAAAAAAAAAAACAGGTCAAAAATTTAAAAAATAATTTAATTTCAAAAATTTGTATATATATATTTTTTGGATACTTATTGTATTATAAATATTTACTAATGATTGATAGCTTTTTAACTAACAGAAAAATTATCGTAAAATTATTAATCTTAAAAAAAATTGTCGTTTTTTTAGTGTTAAAAATAAATTATACAAAAATTTCTTTTTAATATTTTTTTTTTTTTGTTATTTTTGATATAACAAATATTAAGTTTATTTAACATCCAAAAGTAATACAAAAAAAAAAAAAAAAAAGAGTAAACCAAAAAGTTTTAGAATGAAATTAGTAATTTAATATATGTATGACAATAAAATATTTATTCAATTTTAAAAAAGAAAAAAATTATGAATTGATTTCTTTTTTTTTTTTTTTTCAAAAATTACAATTTCATTTTAAAAATTCGAAAAAAAAAACAAATTTATTATTTAATTTTTAATACTTTCAGCTCAACTTTTTTTTTTTTCTTTAACATTCCTTTCATTTCATAAATTTCTTTTTTTTTTTTTTTGAAACTGTCATTTTTATTAATAAAAAAAAAAAAAAAAAATGAAAATGATTCGTATAATTTTAAACAAATTTAAATCATTCGCTTTCCGCAAAAAAAAAAAAAAATTCAAAATTAGTTGAACGTTCAAAAATGATGTCAGAATTCTGTTGAAATAGAATGATGACACAAATTATTTTAGCTAAAATATTAATATTTGAATCGATGGATCAATGGATCAATAAATCGATTGATCGATTGATCAATCAGATTGAATTTCAAATTACAAAAGCAAATAATTGAAGAGAGAGGAAGAGCAAAAACAAAAAAAAAAAAGAAAAGAAAAGAAAAGAAAACTAGCAATATTTTAACAAATTATAAGCAATAAAATAGTCTTATTCAAAATAAGCAAGAAAAAAGAAAGGGGAAGAGAAAAAAAGAACAGAGAATGGTATAAAATTATGAATATGAAATGATTATGAAAAGTTTGTTTTTTGAAAAAAAAAAAAAATTTTGTATGAATTGCATTTGCTTCTTTCTTTTCTTTTTTGCTTCCAAGAATTTTCATTTCAAAAAAAATTATTCATTGAGTGATGAATCATTCATTTAAAAATCAATTTCAATTTGTCAAAATAAAAATCAAATATACGAGAAAGTTTTTTAAAAAAAAAAAAAAAAAAAAAAGGTACAAATTACTAATTTATTTTTTATTTTTCAAAGTTTGTTTATCTTTGGTTAATATAAAAATTCTATTTTTGATAGATAATTTCAAAAAGTAAAAAATAAAATAGTATTTTGGTTTGATTTGCAAAAACAAAAAAGAAAGAAAATTGAAATTTGCAAATTTCTTTTCTTTCTTTTTTTTTTTTTTTTTTTTTTTACAATAAATTAAATAAGAATTTTGCACACTGATAAAATTCAAATTTTAAAAATTTTTAAAATTTGCAACAAAAAGCATTTCGTTGTCAAAGTGAAATAAATAATAACCAAAAATTGTCATTTAGTTATTTTTTTTTTTTGTTTGTTTTTTAATTTATATTACATTAAAAGTTTATAAAACGATAATATATAATTTTCTTTGGGAAAAAAAAATATTTTAATAAATTAAAAATTTTTAAGCAATTTCTTTTTTTTTTTTCTTTAATTTAATAAATAAACAAATAATTGTCAATAAAATGTCAAAAAAAAAAAGAAAAAATTTGTGTTTTTTTTTTTTTCAATCATTATAATATCTGGTAGAAAGGTTACCAAAGTAGGACAAAATTCTTAAAATTATTCAAATTAAAAAAAAAAAAAAAAAAGAAATTTTTGTAGTTCTAATAAGAACCATAAATGGTAGTAGTAATTTTCTTTTTGCCAATTTCTCATAAATGTACCATTTTCTGGCATAGTTTTTTTTGATTACTTCGAGAAAATTAATGCAATTCTCGATCGATTTATTTAATTAATTCTAAAAATTAATAAAATATTATATATTAAATCGATTTATTTCGATTTATTCATTTAATTCGATTTATTTAATTAATTTTATTTATTTATTCATTCATTCGATTTATTTAGTTTGTTTTTTTTTTTTTTTTTAATTATTTTTAAAAATATTAATTAAAAATATTAAAAATATTAGTTGCTAAATTATTTCTTTCAATTTCTAACTAATTTTTAATTTTATCTCATCTAAGCTACTTATTAAAAAATTTTAATAGCAAAAGATAGTAATTATAAACTTTTAAACGTTTAAATTATTATTACTTAAAGAAAATTTTAATACTATATCTCAAATCAAATTTTACAACTGTAATTTTCTTTTTTATTGCCTTTATAAATCCTAAAATGATTGATAAATTGCTATAACAAAATTTATTTTCTGTATCTGAAATTGAAAACTTATTAAATATATCAGAAATGAAAAAAGAAATAACAAATTTGACATTTTTCAATAAATAATTGTAAATTTTTTTTTTCTTTTTTAGGTTTTATTGCGAAGTTACAAAAGAAAGAAAAAAATATGAATGAAATATAAAAAAAATCATTTTTTTTCTAATTACTACGGAAATAATTTTATTTAAACCTAATTTATTCCGGATAACATTGCCTAAAAGGATTAGTTCAATTTTTCCGGAATTTGCTAAAAGCATTTTCGTTTCATTCAAGCGAGAAAGCTTTTTTTTTTCCTCCGTAATTCTGATTAATTTTTGTCTGAATAATAACAAGATTGAATTCCGTCATAAATTTTGAATATGCTTTGGAAATTTCTAGTGCAACCGGAAGAGCAATGATTTGATCGATTAAATCAATAAATATTGAAAAAAGAATGATCAGTGAAGAATGTCACATGCAAAGTAAACAATTATTTGATTGTATGTTTCAAATTGATTGAATCGGAAATTGCCGGAAAAAAAAAAAGCGGAAAAAAACGAAAAAAAGTAAAAGACTGAATGCTGCTAATCAAGTAAGCATAATGTAATATAAACCGGAAAAACTTATAAATTGGTTATTAGCATTTTATGAATTCGAATTAAATTAATTTAATAAAACATTTCTATCTTTCATATATCACAAAAAAATAAAATTCATTTTGGCATAATTTAATTAAAACTAAAAATTGCAAACGAAGCTGTTTTAACTAAAAATTTCTCCATAGTAATCAATACTGCATGCAATAGAAGCAAAAGAGTAAAAATAGTAATAATAATAACAATAATTGATAATAATAATTGATAATAATAATAATAATAATAATTGATAGTAATAATAGATAATAATAATAATAATAATAATTGCTTATAATAATAATAGTAATTAATGATATTAGTAATAATAATAATAATTGATAATAATAATAATAATAATAATAATAATAATAATAATAATAATAATAATTGATAATAATAATAATAATAATAATAATAATAGTAATTAATAATATTAGTAATGATAATAGTAATTGATAATAATAATAATAATTGATAATAACAATAATAGTAATTGATAATATTAGTAATAATAATAATAATAATAATAATAATAATAATAATAATAATAATAATAATAATAATAATAGATAACAAATAAATAATTAAAAAACAAATAATAATAAATTAATAAATAATAATTGTGTAATAAATAGCAGAGAAAATGACAGAATTCCAAACAGATTAAAAAGTAAACAAAATTAACAATCAATTGTTCATATGATAAAATGTTATTGGCTTATTTTCTTATCATATCAAAGCAAATCTTCTCTTATCAGTAAATTTATGTACGACTAGTTGATATTAACAAATTCCATTATTCTACCTATGAAAAGTTCAATGATTTTATTGGCTGCAAAACTTATAACATTAATTAATACCTTTTTTTTTTTTTAAGTTTCAAATTTTTAATATTAAATTTTTTTTTTAAATCTAACAAATGTTAAAATTAAATGTTTTATATTTCTTTTTTTTCTAAATTTTTTTTTTCTTTAATCTTAATCTAATTTTTTTTTTTATAAATTTTTTAATCCTTCAATCTAATATATGTTTTATAGTCAAAATTTTTATAAAATAACCAATAATATTACATTTCATATAATATAAACTTATTCCAAATATATATGTAAATTTCATGAAATTCTCATTTTTCTTTTTTTTTTTTTGATTAAATTTTTAATTTTTAATTTTAATTATCAGACTTAATCCTTCAAAAATTTGCCTACTAAAATGAAATTATTCAAAGCAATAAATGTAATTTTGAAAAAATGTAATAAATTTTAAATTTTACAATCATTTCTACAGAATAAAAAAAAAGAAAAAAAGAAAAAGAAATTAAAATAAAAGATTTGTTTTTGCAATTATTATTTAAAAATTATATTAAACTATTCTTTTAAAAAATAAAATTTATTTTAAAGTTAAAATTTGTCACCAAATTAAGAAAAAAAAAAAAATAGAAATATTACAAATAAAAAATAAATCCATTGGTAAAATATAATTTAACGATTTATTTGCTACTTTGACATCTCTTTTCTTCTTTTTTTTTTTTTCTTTTTAGTATAACTACAAAATGCATACTATCATTTCGGAGTTAATCTGCAAAAATCGGATTAAAATTTTTTTTTCATTTTTAATATTTCTAAAAAATTACAACCATAAATGATTCATAAATATTTTACAATCAAATATCATCGATTAAGTTTAAAATTTTCAATTTTCTCTTTTAAAAAAAAAAAAAAAAAAAAAAAAAAAAAAAATGGAAGCAATTAGTATTTTTTGACGAAAAAAAACAGAAAGTTTTTTCTTTTTAATGCAATTATTATCAAAAATTTAAATAATACAAAATTCGAATTAAAAAAAAAAAATTGAATCGGATGAATTTGCTAAATTTGCAAACGATTATGATGAAAAATTTTTTTTTTTTTTTTTTTTTTTAAAAAAAATTTTTTTTTTTTTTTTTTTTTTTTTTTAACAAAATTATA